GATTCTCCTGCTGCCTTTAGTACGCATTTGTTAAATTCTTTAACTACTTTAACTACCATTTTCTTCATTCAGGAAGACCGGTCGATGGTCACTGCCTCCCAGTTGATTTCCAACAACTCGTTTAATGTTCCATTCCAGATCTGGAGAGTGAAATGCTAAGTCTGGGGTAGTAGTGGTGTGCCACGACCTCGAGTAGAATGTGAGTGGATCAGTTGGCCTATTAATCAGAACGAGTCTGTTCTCATCGTGCCATTCCTCCGGTTTCTCTCCTCTCTGGTCTATATGGTCATACCCCCAGCTTTGTGAGTGGCTGTTACAGTCTCCACATAGAATCACCTTTTCTTCCAATGGTATTGTGTCTAATGCCTGGGGACGATCACTTGGGCAGTAATAATTGATCAGGTAGAAGTCTGCATTTTCAGTTTGTAGTTTCAGAATCTGATATTCTGCTCCATCCATATATACTTCAGTTTGGCAGGCTGTGACATTGTTCCTTACTAGAGTCAGTATTCCACCCTTTTTCCTGCCTTTCCGGTCTGATCGGAAGCACTGATAACCTCTGATTTTGAAGACTGTGTCTTCAGTGAGGTGGGTTTCTTGTAGACAGCATATATGAATCTGAACCTCATTTAGAATATTTTCTAACTCTAGCTTTTTATTTGTAATCCCCTCTGCATTCCAGTGCATTAATTTGACTCCTTTCTTAGTTCGGCCAGATGCTCTATTCTCGCGTCCCCTGGCCCCACAGAACATTTGAGAAGGACCTCTGGTAATTTGGGTTGGGCTTCTTCGAGGCAGAGGGCCCGGCACTGCTCCTGCCTGAGAGTCCATCACAGGGCGAGCACCATATCGTTTTGCTGATTTAGACATATTTCCATGGTGTGTGTGCGTGGCATCCTGATTGCTGTGGTGCGCCTCTTGGCTGGTTGCCTCCGACCTCAGCACCTTGTTTTGCAAGGGTAGACTGTGGTCATACTCGAGGAGAGTAGGCTCATCCATTCGTCTTTCGCCTTTACCTCTTTTGTTGTCCCATCCAGTTTCCCGCTGAGGATTGAGACCTTTACCTTCAGCTGGATTGCTGGGAAGAACAGGATCCACCACGTGAAGGTGAGGTAGGCTTGAGCAAGAGAGGCTAATAGATATTAAGAGTCTTGTATTGCGCATCATTGCTCCATTATGTCCAGCATCTGCCCTCTCGGTCTCCCTCTGTCTCTTTTCCACTCCAGCTTTCCCACGGTCACGATGTACACCAGTTTTATCTTTCTCACGACATTACTAAATAATGTAGATTTTATCCTTCTCGTGTTGACAATTAATTGTGTTTGTGAGTAAATTTCTATCAAGACATCGTTATAACTCTTCTTTTTTTTTTAATCTGTTCAGACTTTTTTTTTTTATCCTTCGTGTATTGTTATCCAGAAACCTTCTTTCTTCTTCTTCGCGTTCACCAGCTGTAGACTCTGGCGGAAAGTTCTGGTTGCTCGTCCACACTGAACTGCAGTCCTGCTCCAGAACCTGAGTGTTACGTGTGCATCAGTTTTACAGATCTCATTCGCTTGAATACAGACTGTTGGTTCCTTGCCTCTCCGGCAGATGCACTCCGACTTCAAAGGAAGCTCCCCAATTAGTCGACTCTTACGACATGCTTTTGGGGAGCCAGTCGGTCTATTCTTGTTTTCCCCACAATGGGGCCCCGGAACCCACACGTGGGATCCAGAAACCATGAATTGTAACCTTTTGGCTCGGTACTATGGATATGGCAACCCTTCGTTCTGCCTTGATTCCATGATAGATATCGTAAATCTGGGAAATATGTGGCTTTTCTGCCTACCCCTGAGCATGAACACGGACCACAAGGAGTTCGTCACCCGTTCGCCGTGCAGCCGGTGTAACCAGCTTATCTAGCGCGCCAATCCTTCGTGTATAAAACCACATCGCCGCTTCCAAATCATTTGCATTGTCACAATTTTCTTTTTTCAAGGATGACATTTTTCGTTATTTGAAGCCCTACTCTGGTTTTTGCCAGGGGCCGCAATATAGCCTGGCCATAAATATTGCCTAAAGGCTGGACGCGGTTTTTGGGACCTCTCTCTCTCCACGGTGATCCTCACCCACATGGTGCCACATTGTGTCATCGGGTGTTTATTGCTTGTGTGATGTCCTGGTGGGGTAGAAAGTCAGTCAGTCAGTTCAAGTCATGTTTCACTAATCGTCCAACTGTACGTGATTCAATGGGAGCTCGCTACTGAATATTCCCAAATGCCGCAGTGAATACTTTGTATCCGACCTTCATTGTGTAGGCAGCACACTTTTTATGGACTACTAATTTTGAGGTTTTTGAACAACTGATCAACATCATGGCACACGGGTAGTAACCCATAAGTGCTCCGTTCTTCTTCTAAATAACGTCTGAGTCCGAAGAAGCTCAGCACAGTGCACAGGCTCTGTAGCACCGGCGAGGATCCTGAAATACTTTGGGTAGATTTTTAACTCCAATTTTTGCCCGGGCAGCGCTATTTGGCTACTCTTTTCGATTTCCAACTGCCAAGGGATTTTTTACGTGCGAAACAATGCACACAGGCGTCCGATCTCACTACCCAGAAACCAGGGGAAATTACTAGAATTACAAGTCCACCTGAAAAAAAATCCCAGCCATCCCAGGACATGTGTATAAGCAGTGAGCTGCTGGGCCAGCCAGCAAATATACCTTAAGACATTTGTATCTACGAATATGCCCAGTGTGCTATGATGCCAGCTGTTAAATTATCATAAGCATTTAGCAGGTCATTCTTCTTCTTCTTCTTCTTCTGCCTTTCTATCCCCCTATGAGCATAGGCCCTCAACCAACTCACGCCAAGTCGTTCTATCCTTCGCCATTGCATGGAGCTCTCCCCATGTCCTCCCCATCTTTCAAACTTCATTCTCCAGCTCTCTTCTCCATCTGTGTTTTGGCTTTCGCTTATTCCTATGTCCCTGTTGGTTCCCATGCAAAGACATTCTAGTATGCTGCTCTCCTGTTTTCTCAGTGTGTGTCCTATCCAACGCCAGCGTCTTTTCCTCACCTCTTAGTCCACTGGAGCCTGTTTAGTTCTCTCCCAAAGCTCTACATTAGTTGTTCTATCATACCATTTAATTCCCTCTATTCTGCGCAGGCACAAGTTAATGAATGTCTGTAATTTATTAGTAGTTGCTTTAGCTGTTTTCCATGATTCGCTCCATACAAAAGTACTGATTTGACATTAGAATTAAACATTTTTAGTTTAGTATTTCTTTTAATTTCTTTTGCGCTCCACAAATTCCCGAGTGCTATGATAGCTCCTCTTGCCTTTTGTATTCTTATTTTAATATCTCTATCGGTTCCTCCATCTTTATCTACATTACTGCCTAAATAGGTGTACGACTCCAAGTCTTGGAGTGGGGTGCCATTAAGAGAAACCACATTACTATTTGCCTGATTTATTCTCATTATCTTTGTCTTTCCTTTATAGATTTTCAGACGAAGCTGCTGTGATCTCGCATCAAGTATATTTAATTTATCTTGTATCTGATTCCGTGAATGGGACAGAAGAGCAATATCATCAGCGAAGTCCAGATCATCAAGCTGTTTTGTTAGGGGTCCACTGAATTCCATTCTCTATGTTAGCAGTTACTGTTTAAATAATCCAGTCTATAGCCAGTAAAAATAAGAGAGGCGACAAACGGCATTCCTGTCGCACACATGTTTTTATTTCAAATGTTTCTGTTAGCTTTCCCTCATGAGGAACTCGACATTTCATGTCTTTATATGTTGCCTTTACTAAGTTGATAATTTTTTGTGGTCCATCAATTTCCAGAGAGATTCCCTATCAATGCTGTCAAATGATTTTTCATAGTCTATAAATCCAATGTAAAGTGGTGAGTTCGGTTCAATGATTTGCTCTATTATAATACGTAATGTGGCTATCTGGTCAGTACAGGATCTGTTTGACCGAAAACCTACCTGTTCTTCTCTTAGCTTTTTATCAATAGCATCTTTTAATCTTTCCAAAATAATTCTACTTAATATTTTTTCAGGAACTGACAACAACATAATTCCTCTATAGTTTTCACACTCCTGTAGATCACCTTTTTGTTTTTGGCAGTTTCACAAGATATCCTTCTCTCCAGTCTGCTGGTATTTCTTCTGTCTCCCAGACCTTCCTTCCTAGAGAAGATTGATAGCTTTTCTAATGTCCTCTTTGGATGGTATGTCACAGTTGATATCCAGTTCCATTTCTAAAGGCTGGATATCTGGGGGAACCTAAGGACCTGGTCTATTTAGAAGCATTTCAAAATATTCAACCAATCTGTCCATTTGATCTTTAGTGTTAGTAAGTAACTTTCCTTGACTATTTTTGATTGATCCAGTTGGCTGACTATATTTACCTACTAATTTTCTTGGGTTACTGTAAAGTTCTCCTAGGTTTCCTTTTGCTGCTGCTGTCTCTGCTTCTTGTGCTAGATCATTTAGATATTTCACTTTATCTGCCCTCATACGCCACCTTGGCGAATGTCTGCTTCTGTCTCGTTTTTCGGAAACGGTTTAGAGCCAGTTCTCCTTGACATTCAGATCGTGCGTTATGTGGATGTTTTTCTTCTTCTTAGATTATTAAATCAGTAATCAATGAAAGATTAGTAAAGTAAAGTAAATATATCTTTTTACGCCTTAGGCGCATCTGGTATATGGGAAGTGTACCCATATTTTTACAGACCAATCGGCTAAATGGGTAATGTAGTCAGCATTAGGCCGGCCGGCCGGCTTGGTCGACCTGTGACGCCCCATACCATGATAAAATTCAACGCAGCCAGCAGTGGGTTTCAATTGCGGTACGTAGGAATTACGAGTCGATTCGCAACGCCTAAGACAAGGACGTCGCAGTAAAAGATTATTTCGCAAATATTGTTTTCTTGCCTGTTACTGAAGTTCAACGTTTTAAGCAGCTCATTCGTCCTTGACTTCCTCTAAGTGTCGTACAAACAAAATGGTCTACAAGAGGCCTCCCAATGTTAGAGATGTTGGTCCCATCTTACGGACCGTGAGAGATTGGCTGCTTGGCGTAAGCATTTTTTTTTCGTATTTCATATGTAAAGACTAAGCTGAACTACAGGCTTACTATACCGTCAAAGCGAAGAAAATTCACATTATATAATTTTTAACGCACCTTGCTTTCCTTTACCAAAAATACTACACTACAACAGGTGCAGTGAAAGGAATTTAAATTTATGTAGAGAACATCGAACTAAAATATTAATGAGAATTGTTGTGAGATTAAGATTATTGATTACACTAAAGCATTTGATAAAGTAACATGTAGAAATTATTAGAATTTTGTAAACCTTAAACGTTGATGATAAAGATATGAGAATAATTTTAGGCTCTACTTAGTAGTACTTAGAATAACGGTTCACAACGCAGACAGTTTACCCGAACAGAGCCTCACACACATGTAAAAGTCGCGTTTCTTTTGCGGCGATTCAACCGTGTCAAAAGTAGTATTAACTGCACACGACATTGTCGCGGAACGCAACGGATTTCTTACGGCGATTAGATGGCAGCAAAACAAGGATTAACTGCATACGAAAAAAATTACCGGCACGCGACAATACTCCTGATAGCGCTATTTTACGGCAGCGCCCTAATTATATGTAAGTTGCTGATCACGTTTCACCAACTATAGTGCCACCTCCGAGAGTAGGTGCGGCGCGGAAGGGGCTAGACTAGATGGCTGGGACTCACGAGCAGCAGCTATCACAGCTCCTGCAGCTTCCTCCAATGTATTTGCTCGTGAGTCCTAGCTTAGTTCCTTTCACGCCGCGCGTAGCGGCACGGGGGATACTCTCAGAGGTGGCACTATAGTCTGCGAATTTCAATATCGGTAAGTACTATAATTCTCTTATTTTCCTCATACTTTCCGTTCCTTATATTTCCTGAGTTATAGCTTGTAAATGTTTGTAGGGCAGGACATAATGAGGCTCTGTTTGGGATTAACTTTCTGCGTAGTTCATTTAGAACCGTTATTCCAAGTAGAGCCTAATATTAATAACAAAGATATACTATACTGGCACCAAGAAGCAGCCATAAGAATTGTCGACTATCCTCCGAGTAACGGGCACATATTATGGCGGCCGCAAAAACACGCCAACAGGGCCTCAGTCACGTGTCAGTAGCACACTTTTGGTGGCCTAATTTGCAGTTTGTTAACCAAGTTGGAACTTTTCAAAACGTTAAACAAGGCATTAGGCAGGGAATGTATGGGCAACATATGGCCTCTAAAATACTGCCCAGGCTTAGTGCTGTGGGGAGGACAAACTTCATCCCATGCCATTATTGGTCTCAAAGGTATTGAGGTGGGCTCGTAGCAACAAAATGTCATGGACCGTGTTGTGTGGAGGGGGCACATCAGGAAGGGAATGAGATTGAAGGAAGAAATGATTGCAGGAAGGATGAGAGCTGAGCGTCTGAGAAGAAACAGACTGAACACAAATGTTTACAACAATGCTCCTGAAATCCCAGGCCATAAATGTGGAAGACTTTTTTTAACGCGGGCGGGTCTTGCTAGTCATACTCCCCATCGCCATGGGCTGTGAGTTCCATGCCTCCTTATAGCGCATTATAACACTATCGTCTGGAAAGACGGAAAGGTGCCAATTGATTGTGATGCCTAAACCACATATACCAACATATTTATATGTGTGTGTGTATTATCTGTACACCAGTAATATTTTTTTTCATTGGTGTAACCCCTTGATTTAATCTAGTAGACTTCACTTGTGTACCAAATGTGTTTTTCTTTTAAATCCGTTGGTGTTTATTTTTATTGAACTGTTTATTTTTAATCAACATATTTAATGAAAATTTTGCATTTGCTTGTGTTTTAGAATGAAGAGACATCGTTAGTCCATCGATTTGAAGGCTATATTGCCAAAAGGTAAATTTTGTTTTAATCAGACCAGTTATCTAATTAGTAATATATTTGAAATGGAATTACTTGTCACTAGTTTAAGATATTTATATTTTGTAGGAAATTAATATATCCAGAGCTCTCTTCCCCCTAGCTTTTGTTTTGTTTCCTTATCTTTTCCTAAATGTTTAAGTGAGTGCATGGATTTGTTGAGTTGAGTCAAGAATTGACATCACAGGACCCTGGGCATTCCCATGCATGCTCCGTCCTCATCTTCAGCAGCCTTGCAGAGTTACAATACTGATGGTACTGGTTACAATCTGGTTAAATGTCCGTCTTGCCTTTTCTCTGAGTGTAGTGAGCCGGCCAGACCCTCTGGTTACACCCAGGTGCCTCATTCTCTCCATGCCATAGTAATCTTTTTTCTCTACTGATTCCGTTGCTTGTTCCCAAAGGGCCTTGACCACATCTGCCTTGTCATGTATCAATTCACCACCCAGTGGTGCAGATCCAGCCAGTCTGTCTGCCTGTGCATGGATATGCAAAAACATCACGTTAGTACTTAATCTAACATACATTGAATAATTTTAATCTACAGATTTTCCTTTATTTGTGTACAAGATTTTTTTTTTTTAAATCAATGGTCAAGGTAGTGTGACTGAATTAGTTGAATATTTAATTATAACACCCTTCGTTTCTGGCTTGAGAATCAGCTGTACTCACATGCCATGATTGTAAGCTGGCCAGCTTTGCACCATTTGGTGGTGAATTGATGTATAATAAGCTAGATATTGTGAGGGCTTTGGAAACGAGTGAACAGTGTGAAGGCACAGATAGATCATTACGGTCTGAGAATGAAGCTCGAGGAGTTAACCAGGGGATCTGGCCAACGCCCAACACTCAGGGAAGGATGAGATGGATATACAATCAGACTTTTACTGGTACCATAGGAATTGGCATTCTTTGCTTGCAGCTAAGGAGGGGGAGTCTCCCGAGTGCTGTGATCTTGATTCTTAATTCAACATTCTATATTTTATACTTTCTTTTGTTTATACTACCCTGATTTTCTAAATGATCTGAACAGTTTCTTTATATTTTAGACATATATCACTCAGAATAATAATTTCACACTGATATTTAAGGTAGCTGTAAAAGTTCTGTTGCCATTAGTTAATGCAAATTTAATTCACACATTGATTGTGTGATTTTTTTAAAACTGCAAAATAAGATTATATATAAGGTAGCTGTAAAAGTTCTGTTGCCGTTAGTTAATGCAAAGTTAATTCACACATTGATGGTGTGAATTTTTTATTTTATTTTTAACTGCAAAATTAGATGCAGAGTCAATATGACCTATTCACATGGAATTGTAAGGTGCAAAATGTTTTCTGCTCACCGCTAAGAGCTATTTTACAACTTGTTAGTCTACCTCATGGATGTGGGATTATGAACCACTAGCACATTCTTCATCAACTTGAGGATTTGTTGGAATGTATTTCAAAGGATATTTGATTAACGCTAATTGTTATTCCTTCTGAAAGATGTTTTTATTTACGTCAGTATGAAATAGCCTATATAATTAAGGAAAAAAATACAATTAAAGAAGGTGTCATTATAGACAGCTTTTTCTTGTACAGTGGTGAATTACTAGAGAATTGGTTGGTTGTCTATGAACTTATCAGTTATATATTTACCCTCATATAGGTCTTTTACTTAATTATGAATACATCTGTTTTTTCCATCGAATGCACCAGGACTCAGCCACCACCAAATCTCCCACCTGGAGTCTGTAGCAAACTGTCAGATAACTATTACTGTACAAGAGATGGTCGGAGAGAATCAAAACCTCCTTTGAGCATTTATGATGCCTCAAGAGTATTGTTGGGAGCTGGGTAATATTCTACATTCTTTACGTTAAACTAAATCGTTTAAACCAGAGCTATTCAACTAAGTTCACTCAGGGGCCAACATTTTGAAAATGGGTGATCGTCGCGGGCCAGAGACCCAAGTTGCAGCACAGAAAAATCATTGATATAGTACAGCTGGCAACGATCCTTGGCCCACTAAATAGGCCACCATGTGCTACCAGTTGAATAGCTCTTGTGTGCACTGTATTTAATGGATAAAAAATTTCATGTTTTTTATTTTATTTTTTGGTGATTACGAGTTTGTGTGCATGCTTTTTATTTTATTTTTAAAGGGAAATAGGAAAGTAGTGTTGCCTTGCTGGATATTAGGTCCAATACCCATTTACCTGAAAACATGTTACGTCGGGGCACACCAAGCCCTTAGCCCTCGCTGATTTAGGAGGGAAGCTCTGACAGGTGGATAGACAGTCCTGTTCTTGTCTGGAAGGTTTTGCACTGTGCTTTTATTTCAGAACATTGATGTTACCTTATCTTAACAAGGCAGGCTGCGAGAGGGACTATGCTGCAAGGGCAATAAAGGTCTCTATGTTGGGTTTGTAGCGGACTGGGAAACCTGGAAAAGGTCGGGAAATGCAAGATCCCTCTCGATGAGATTTTTATGAAAACTGACAAAAACTCCTTGAACTTTACCCACCAATATTTCAACTTTGCACACCTTAACCAGGACACAGATAACAAAAGAGGTGATTTTCAGCAATAGGTCTTATGGCCTTTTTGTGGTTACTCTAAACTGATAGTCAGCAAACTATGCATGCAAGAGTGTAGTCTATGTAGTGCTGACAATTTGTGAGCAGGCAGTGGTTACTCTAAACTGATAGTCAGCAAACTATACATGCAAGAGTGTAGTCTATGTAGTGCTGACAATTTGTGAGCAGGCAGGGGTTACTCTAAACTGATAGTCAGCAAACTATGCATGTAAGAGTGTAGTCTATGTAGTGCTGACAATTTGTGAGCAGGCAAGCGATTTGCAGTTGAGGGTCTCATTGTTTGCTTTGTAAGGGGGGGGGGGGGGGGGTATGGACAATGCCCAGGGAGCTATCTTCACTTGTCTCATTTCTAGTTCCCTCCCCCCTCTCTCCATACCTTCACTATGCATAGCAAGGTCAGCTGGTACCTGATGTAGAAAATAACCCCCCCCCCCCCCCCCACATTGATACACATCACATGTTTGTATAATTTATATAACAACATTCCCCTCCCCCCTTACTTTCTTTATCCTTTCGGTTTTTTTCTTCCTCCTCAGTGCAGACTTTCTTTTCTCATCCTTTTTTTTTTTTTGTGTGCTCTGTGTGCCCCTTTCCCTCTGTCTTCTCTCTCCCTCCCTCTCGTCATCTTTTTTTGTCCTTCTTCCCCCTGTCTCTCTTTCCCCTCTCTTCATCTATCCATTTCTACTTGCCTGTCCCTCTTTCCTCACTCTGTGTCCCTCTCTGTCTCTTCACTTTACCTCAGCATCTTTCTTCCTCTCTCTCTCTTCATGTTATAAATAACTATTTAGGGGTTTGCAGAAATTAGATATGTTTGGTTGAAAAGCACAGATATCACACCACAACACAATTTGCCAACTGGCCTTTGAAGAGCAAATACAGAAGATAAAGAAACCACAAATTGATGGTGCAGTGTTGATTTTGACTCCCTCCCCCAACATCCTAAATAGATCTGAAAGATCCTCAGAGTATCTTAGACCAAGAAGACAAGAAATATTTATATTCTAAGTGATCTGAACATCAAGGAAGATTAACTTGTAAACAGTATCTTACCTCAGAAACTGAAATATTTTGGCCATATCAAGGACCACTGCAGATTGAAAAGAATATTAGCAGGTGGTGACATACCAGGAAACAGGGGACTGACCAGCATGAAGGTGGGCACAGGATATAAGAAACACATTTAGTCAGAAAGTTCACTTGGCAAAAGAGCTGGTAAGACACCGAGTTTATTTCAGACAGGCTGTGATAAGAGCAGCGTTCTGTAAATGATCTGCTACTCAATGATGGAAGTTATGAATTACCTTGTTGTTTACTTGTTGTTTATGCTTTTTGTTAAAATACCTTCTGAATATTTTGTTTCAGAGACAAACCCCCAGCTATCCAGGAACCAGTTAAGCCAGGTTTCCAGTACAACTGGGAGACAGGAAAGCCAGAGCTGGAGGCAAAGTCATGATTTTACACTGAGAGTATGCATGAAACATTATAGTGGATAAAATTACTTTGTAACACATGGAGAGTTAACTGTGTTTATAGTTTGAATTAATACTATTAATTTTGTGTTTGTTACCTGTAGGTAAACAGATTAAAAAAATGAAACCATATTATTTTGCATAAATTGTTGAATGGTTTGTTATTGTCATCCCGTTGTCTCATTTAATATCATATAAGAAGCTGGATATAGAAATGTGAGTTTAAAAGGGGATTGGGATCATATAAAGTACTGTGTGAAAGGTATACTTTTTTTTTTTTTTTTAATATAGTCTATAAACAGTTGTCGTCTACAGTGATAATCGGTTTTTACCAAATAATTTGTTAGCAGTATCCTGTTAACAAAAAGGGTCTTTTTCTCACACCTTTCGACGCATAGAGCTAGACCTGAATTTTTGTAGACCAGTCGGCACAAGATGGGTGATGTGGTCAACATAATGCCGGCAACTTTACTTCCCAGCACTGCACCCGGTACCCACTCAAGGCTGGGTCAACTTGGGAGACAAGGTCATTTTTGAAAAAAGTCCAGCTCTCCCAGGGAGCGAACCCACAACCTTCCGTTCCGCACACGAGCGTAGTATCCCATATAGGGCCTTATTTTTGTTTTTCAGTTCTGGGGACACTTTAACACCAGCCTGCATCACTCTCAAAAGACTGATAACGGTTTTATGTTCCAGACTGTAAACGTTCTCCCACAAGGCTCTAACCACTTCTGCCATATCATGCATAAATATTTCACGAAGTTGTGCAGAGCCATCCAATCTGTTAACCTGTTCATTTCCCAACACACCAGCATGACCTGGATAGTTTTCTAGCCGGCGGAAAGCTGCACTGACCGCCTCCTCACCCATTCTTAAGCTGGGTGTGTGGTATTAGATGCTAGGCTATCCTGCACCAAACGACGATCATTAGCTTTTGCCAAGGACCCCTAGGCACTTGATTTGCCTCTTGACACTGAACCGTCTGTATAAATAATTACATCACTCGAGCGAGCATTATCCTGAATTAATTGCTTAATTTCCACCCCTGTGGCACCTGCTGGCTGCTCAATGTGATTATGGCTCTATGCAAGTGACTGTTCCGCCAGCACTGTGACCCACTCCTGTCCTTAAAATATCTTATGGCTAAGAGGTGATTAGTTTTCTGGATTCTGTAATGAATCAAACGTGAGTTAATAACACTTTTCCAAATTTCAGGTCCCAAAATCAAGGTGTGACTTATACATGGGTTTGTCTTAAACTTGGGGAAATACTGTATGTGTCAGGTTTACAGGATCAGTAACAATAACCAAAGGATATTGCGGGGATTAGTCTTCATGCGCAGAATGACACTGAGAGTCATATATTATGTTAAGTTGAGCTAAGAATCAATATCATTGTACTCAGGATATTCCCATAAGCTCTCCAGCCCCATCTTCAGCAGTCAGTGAAGAGTTTCAGTTCTGATGTTACCAGGAGCAGTCTAATCGTATGTCCAGTGAGTGTTGGGTGTCAGCCAGATCCCTTGATCACTCCCCGCTGAACCATTCTCCTTAGGCTGTGATGATCTGTTTATGCTTCTTCTTCAGCATTCCGAGCCCTTGAGGTTCATTGCTGCAGATATCAACCACCTCCATTGATCTCTCTGGTTAGCCTTCTCTTTTCAGTTGATGACACCAAGTGTTTGCAGGTCTGTTTGGACATTATCTCATCTTCTTCTTCTTGGTCTGCCTCGTGGTCTACGACCATGTTTGTGCTTAAGCACTATTAAAATATTATGTTAAAAGGAAGAAAAAAAAAACAGGCTTACCATCTGAGATCATGTGAATAAGGATACTATCAGACAGACTGTGGAATTGACACCTTGTACTACTAGTTTTATTTTAAAAAAACAGCAGATCAGATGATTTGGCCATCTTGTTAGAATTCAGCAACATCAAATACATCAGAGGCACTACATCTCAGAAGATCAGCTAACAAGAGCAAGAGGATGCCTTCACGGCATGACAGCAGCCAGTGTGCACTGAATCGTTTTTTATTTTTAAAAATGGGACCAGCACGAAATGCCTACGACATGGAAATAGAAAATTTACAAACTTGTTTTGCTATAATAATAATGGAGATTTACCATAATATTGCAGGTGTTAAACAGCATTAACTCTTTTAATGCCATGCAACCCATCAAGCATTTTTTGTGTTTATAAAGATAGTAGAATGTTACTGCCATCTTATACTACAGACATAAGCTATGTTAATTTAACCCTTTGTATCTAAATTACTATTTTACTTCTGTTCGATATTGTCTCTGTTCAGGTCCTCAGACTTTAGTATCTACTGCTTTTAGGCTCATATCCTTAAGATACAGAGGTAAGGTAACAACTGCTTGTTACTGAAAGAGTTAAAAGCCTTTGGCACAACACCAGTAAAAATTCTGAGTACTCAGGTCTGATTATACTCGCTTGCAGTTCCCAAGGTCGTGGGTTCAAATCTGAGAGGTGCTAGACTTTTTTCAGAGATGAGCTTGGCTTCCAGGTTGATGCAGCCATAAATGGGTACCAGATAAATGTCCTGGGAAGTAAAGGCGGCAAGTAATGATGACATCACCCGCCAAGTGCCGATTGGTCTATAAAATATAGTTCTAGCCCTAAAAAAGCACATGTAGGTAACAGACAATTTCAGATCAGCAGTTTGCTATTGATGTCTCTCTGGTACGACACTCATAGCTTTGTAAAAATAAACGCAAAGTGGTCTGTTAACAAATCACTTGCAGCTGCCTTCACACAAATGTGTCAGAGTTGTGGTACTATGTTTACAATCCCTAAGTCACAAACTATCAAGAGCTTTGCTGACTGGTATGGACAGTCATACTTTTCCATAACCTGTGATCTTCAACAACATGTATCAGTTCATGAGCTGACAAAACTCCATGCCATGACACAAGGCTGTCAAAAACTTATATTGTCTTCCTCTCTCTTTTTTTCCACAAATCTGTCTAGTCACAATGTGTTCCAGTCTCCCTTCTCTCATAACATGGCCAAACAAAATTATGACTGTCTCCTTCTGATGATTAGGACAAGAAGTCTTCGGTCTCTCGCCTCTTTCAAAACATTTATGTTACTCATTTTAGCTATCCAAGGAATTTAAAGTATTTTTCTGTAAAACCACATCTTCTGAAGCCTCAAGAAATTATCTGCCTTGTTTAAGCCATAGACTTCAAAACTATACTGACATTAAAAGATCATTTATAACCAGGAAAAAAACAAACCAATGGTTCAGTATAAGTTATCTTAATCAAGAACACAGAGAAATATAAATCATAAATTGTAAGAATTAAAAAAGGCAAACAGCTGAATATAGAAAATCAACATTTATTAGCACAGCAAAGAAGAATTTCTTTATAATGTTTATGGTAATTCACTTATGTGTGTAAATATTTGTAAAGGTGTTTGTTTAATTTTGTATAAGTCATACGCCTATTTAGGCAATAATGTAAACAGAGGTGGGAGAAATGAGAGTGAATTATTGAAAAAGGAATGCAGAAGACAAGAAGTTCTTATAGCACTAGAAAATAGGTGGAAGTCACAGAAAAATTAGCACTGGATTTAAAAATATTTAATTCTAAACATCAATCAGTACTGCCGTTTGGAGCTGAAGCATGGAGAATAGTGAACACAGTTACTAATAAGCTTTAAAAATGCATTAACCAGTGCCTGCACAGAATAAATAGAATTAAATGGAATAAGGGAATAATAAATGTGGACCTTTCTGAGAGAACTTAACAAATTCCAGTAAGTCAAGAGTTGTAGACAAGTTGCTGGTGTTGGATAGGACACATTGAGAAAATTTGAGAACAATATAACTAGAATGTCTTTACACTGAAATCCAAAAAGGCATATAAATTAAGGCAGACAAAATAAAAAACATGGAGAAGGCAGCTGGAGACAAAAACAAAGAATAGGATGACTTGGAGTAAGCTGGTTGATGCCCTATGCTCCATTAGAGGATAAAAGGCAAAAGAAGAAAGAAAGAAAAAACTCTTTCAGAACATTTACTTTACCTTGTTCTATCTGAAACTTTTAGTTTATACTAATAACAGGTGCATCTAAAGGAGCTCAAATAATAACCATGTGGAACAGTCTGAGATAATGCAAATACTGGGATTGTTAATGTCAAATTTCAGTAAAACACAAGGAAGTAAAAAATGCGTTTTCAGCAACCATTAAACACAAAACTGTGATAGCATGTCACCTCCAGGTGACTCAAAGGATTCCATGAGACAGAGAACTGACCTGCCAGCTGAACAAACTCCAGAAACAATTGAAATGTTATACACTGAATCCCGGCCCCCTGCAGCATACCAGTAAATGAGTTGGCGGACAGACTTGCAAAATAATGGAATAAAAGGAGAAACAACACATTCATTCATTGTCTCTACCAGAATTAAAGTCACATATCAAGGTAAAATACAGGGAATTGTGGAGAGAACAAAACAACAGTAAACATCCACAAGACCATATCAGCAGATTCAACAGAAAGCAACATACAGCAATTTCCCATCTAAGAACAGGACACAGCAGGCTTGACTACAATATGTTTAAAATAAAGACTGCATGTTAAATAGGATCACATATTCTGCAGGCTTGCCCACTAAACACCTATGAAGAGAAACCTGGCCTCGAGCAAAGTGGGTAGAACATGCTATGGGAAACTATGGAGGACTTGCAACTGACAGAGGCAGCACATCTGACGGTCTGCCTGAGCTAATGAAACCGAACACCAAGAAAAAGAAGAAAAGAAATGCAGGGTATCTAATATTTAATGAGTCATTGTATTAGGACATTGTAATAACTAATAAACTGGAAACATGTTAGATGCAAGCAGAGAGAACAGACTAGTTTTGTATCACGTTTAGTGGTACGGTTGAAAAACAAACAGCACCAAGGTACTTTTAAAAACTGAATCACAATGATACAAGAAGTAAACATTTTAAGCCCTTTAAATGATGTCATAGTTGACAGCATGACAATAATTTTTTTTATTGCTATTATGTTCTTTTGGGGGCTTTTGAGCTGAAATGCTTCAGAAAGATTATCAGAACATCATTGTAAAAAAAAAAGAAAGAAAAAAAATACTGGCGTCCTAAAAGATCTGAACATCAAGCAAGATTGGATTCGAATATCAAGCAAGAATTGGCTTTGAACATCAGGCATGACTGGCTAGTAAACTATCTTGTCTTGAATGCTAAAATATTTTGGCCATATCAAGCGCCTCAGCGGATTGGGGAAAAACCAGCAGAAGGCATGTTACCAGGAAGGAGGTACAGGGGCCGTCCAGCAAGAAGATAAGCATATGACTCCTTGGGTAAAGGTCCACGAGGTGGAAAGGTGAGCGAGAGACTAAGTTTAATTCAGGCGGTCCATGATGAGAGCGGCATTCTGCAAAAGACCTGCTACATGATGATATTATTTAGATAGACTTACAACAAATTAATGTTTAAAAAAAAACTAAATATTTACTGTATTTCTATTAAGGAGCCTAGAAATGCTGGGGTTGGTTCTGCAACATCCTGTTAAGTATACATAACTAACTTAGGGCAACAAATGATCACTTTAAAAAAGAAAAAACATTCCAGCAGTACCCTGAATATGGAATGTAACAAAACAAAAGCAGCGCATGCCTGACTGATACAAATGCCTGAGGAAACTGACAAACATTAAATGGGATTAACTCCCGAAAGGCCAAGAATAGTTATTAATTAAGTACAGAAGTCTTTTTATGGCAATAGCACATCAGGTTTATGAAGATTCATACTTTTATGGATCAGCTGACACAGGCGATGAAGTTGACATCAAGCTGGCCACCTTTAACTCCCCAAACATCACCTGATATCCATTTTATCCTGGGTTTACCTGGGAGCGAAGGTAAATTTTGAAGAAAAAAACTACAACTTGATGTAAATTTGAACACAAGACCTTTAGGCAAGCAGATAAGAATCTAGCCACTATGTCATTGTTTCTCTCAAGAGAAGCAAAGAAGAAAAGAGAAATATCTGAACAACTGATTTCAACATTTGTAAGACAAAGAAGATGGGAATACACTACACTAGGTCCCTATGTGGGTTCCGGGGCCCCATTGTGGGGAAAACAAAAACAGACCCACTGCCTCACCAACAAGCATGTCGTAAGAGTCGACTAATTGGGCAAGGAGCCAACAGTCTGCATACAAATAAGTCAGATTTGTAAAACTAATGTGTATGCAACACTCGGGATCTGGAACAAGTCTAAAATCCAGAAGTGGATGAACAACCAGAACTATCCACCAGAGTTTACAGCCAGTGAATGCCAAGAAAAAGACTACATTAGGGCTATTCAAATGGCAGTCTGCGGGCCAGATTGGGCTCACAGTGGCCTAGCAAGTGGCCTGCCACCAATCACGGCCAGTTGCATTGCAGTAATAATCTTACTAAGCTAGGGCTTGGGCCTGTGACCCATGACTATCCTCTGTTTCAAAATTGTGGCACCTGAATAAACTTAGTTGAATAGCCCAGCACTATACACATCCTGAGGAAAGGAAGCAGAATAAAACCAACCAGGTCCTGGAGTGTACTGAGGACATCCAAAAGAAAGCCTAGAGCAAATGACTGGAGATGAGGAAAATGCTGAACTGAACTCCCTCCAAGTATCAACTGCACAGAACAGAATGATGGAATATACGAGTCCAATATTGTGCATAAATGCAGAGCTTTTTGAGAATGTAAAAAAAAAAAAAAAAAAAAAAAGTCAGTACTCATCACAAAGTGTCTACAAAAGGTACCAGTACTCAGCATACAATGTCTATTACAGTTACAATGAAAAAAAATTATGACTAAAAGAGCGGCCTGTTGCGAAGCGCCTCCCCCCCACCCCCCCCCCCCCCCCCCCCCACCAAAACTGTATAAATGACACAACATGATGATGATGATTACAGTTTATATATGGAAATGTGTTGACTGCCGTAATACTGTACAATTTTAGTTTTTTGTTTTTTAAATTTATTTTTGAAAAAGGAAGTATTTGTCAGCTTTACAGAACACAATACAATTTTTAAAAAACCTGGATAAGATTTGTAGCGGTCCAGGTAAGTATCACATATTTTATGTCATTCTGTTGGTTATAATTTTGTTTTAAAAAGGTAACAAATTACCTGTTTACACCAGTGGCAAATTAGGCACATCATTCTAGGCTCAAGGTTTACAGACTGATCGCATTTTAGGTTGGGCTGACCTGAAAGCCAAGGTCAATTTCTGTCGAACCCAAGACCTTTGGACTAGAGAGCAAGCATATAACCACTGCACTATTGCAGCTCTCTTTGTTTCATTTTATTTCTATCATTCATTCATTGTCCTGCTGTGCTTTCATACGTCACACTGAGCTGGCTGTATATTTCTTAGTTCCATTCTATTATGTGCAATCATAGATGGAATCCAGTTCAGCACCTCTGGCACTCTCTCACCAACCCTACCTTAGACTTTTTCTTGAATGTTCTGTGCTTTATTAATATCCTACCCCAAACAGGAAAAATCCACAGGTCATGGGACAGTCTAATATTTCAGGGGGTGGTAGATAGGCTGCATGCAGTCGTGGGACCTAGGTTGCATGCATTTGTGGGACCTAGGCTGAACTCTCTTGTGTGGCATAGGCGTTTTGGGGTTAGAGCCAGTTCTAGATGTTTTGGAGCTGTTAAAAGTATCAGAAAGCTGGCAAACCCGGTGTTACCACCCTCCAAAATGTTGGACTGTCCTGTGACGTCATCTGGAGGGTAGTATATTAATAAAGCACCAAATGTTCTTGTTTTCTCAAACCCTCTGTTTCCTATTTCACTGCCTGTTTGGTGATTCTCTGTTCGTTTTTCCTCATAAAGTGTCCAATATACTGCCATCTTTTCTGTCTTTTAAATGTTAATACTAGTGGTTGTCCAAAGATTTCTTTTATTTCTTCACTCCTCTTGAATTCATCCCATTTTATGTTCCTCATTTACTTCAGGCATTTGATTTTTAATACATTTAACTTTATTTCTATATCTTCAGTGGTACTCCAACTTTCATTACTTTACAAAGCCATAAACATTGTAAAAGATGATTGTTAAGTATCATAAATAACCAGGCAGCTGGCTAGCGAGGGACGCTTTGATTACATCTCTCAAATTCTGTTCCTGTATAGACAGAAATCTTACTACCATAAATAAAAAGAGTTTTAGGAATTATCTTTTTCTTCTTTTTCTTCTTCTGTTTCTTCTTCTTCTTCTTCTTCTTCTTCTTCTTCTGTTTTTGCCCATAAAAAGGCAGTTGAAAAAAATTATTGTGGTTGCGAAATTTTATGGTTGCGCCTTTGGGGCCAACACATCAGATTTCAGCAATATTCTGTTGTATGATTTTACTAAAAAAAATTTACGTTTCATGGTTTGTCGCTGCTTTTCTAATGGTAAGACACTCTTATGGAAACCAATGCAAAGTGTGGTCTGCCACTAAATCACTTATTGCTGACTTTTAACTCCAATACCCTGTGATTATGAAACTAATTTAACAATCCCTGAGCCACATATACCAACTTATAAGGATTATCAGATATAACTGAAAGGCAAAAAAGCAGATACAAAAGATATAATATAAATATTTATAATGGCAACAGTGAAGTGGTTAATATGTTTGCCTCATACTCTGAAGGTCACATGTTTGTTTCACTGCTGCATTATAAGGTTCATAAGGGAATTTTTGTTTTTAAAGAAGATCCTTGGGGAGGCATTATTGGAGTTATGGAGTTTGCACTCTGTGGAACACTCTCGGCAGGTGGCAGGCAGTTCTGCTGAGAGAGATCAAGTCATATGGGATAAAACCCAGTGCAGTGAAGACAATTCATTTCCTGGGTTTTCTTATCGATAATTTTCATGCTCTCTCTTTCTATCCACTCCCCCCCCCCTTTCCTTTACTTTATTGCCTCTCTCTCATCTCTTACTCCTCTCTCTCTCTCTCTGTCTCTCTCTACCCCCCCCCCCCCCTTTTTGGCAACAGGAGTAGTACTAGAATTAGTAGTAGTAGGAGGAGAAGAAGTAGAAGTATTCGCAGCAGCAGTATTAGTATTAGTAACAGCAGCAGCGTGAAGGACCTGCTCAATTCAGACCTTTGAGACTACAGCTAATCAAGTAATGGGTCAACTATCTCCACTGTTGACACACAAGCAGATACCTCGGAGTACTAAAGTGAATCTTATCAGAACTATTTTTTGGCCAACACTATGCTATCAATGCCAAACGTGGACACTTACATCCTCCAATGAACGTAAAATTGTGACAACAAAGATGAAATGCCTTAGAAGAGCTGCAGGAGTTTCAAGAAAAGACAGAATACGAAATCATGAAATCAGACGAATGCTAGGAATAAAGCCAGTCTTGCAGGTCATCAAAGACCAACAAATGAAGTGGTTTGGACACCTAACAAGAATGCCCTGGTACTATCCGCCACAGCGAGCCACACTAAAACATTACAACGAGTATAGAGCGAGTGGAAGACCTCGGAAAATATGGAGTGATGGCATTAAGAACAGCCTTACAGAAATGAATATCAGTCTTAATAGTGCTCTTGACAGAGCTCATCAACGAACATTACATCTTCCCCCCCCCCCCTCCCCCCGACACTTCGGTGAGGTAAAAGGTGGAAGAGAAGAAGAGGAATATACTACAACTAGGGCAGTCATTTTTTTAATGTAGTTGACTTTTAAGAAAAACACGGCTGTCTGCATCTAGATAATATATGTTAAATTTTGTCATTTCCTCTCGTCATAGATTTGTATTTTAGATGCTGCTTGTCATTGATGTTTTAAATAAAGTATTTATATAATTTTTTTATATGAACTTTTTTTGGGTCTCCATTTAGCTAAGTTTTGCATCCTAGAGATGAAAGAATTCCTCTCAAGGATATGTCAGATAGTGCATTGGGGATCAACTCATGGAAATTACTGAAGTAGAAATATGTGAGTGTTCAAGCAAAAGCAGGAGATCAGTGTGTTAAAGTGGTTAAATTATTTAGTTGTATGTTTTATGTCAGACTATGTCCTTTGGTTTGCAAGTGCAGGTATTTCAAAGGTCCTTTTGGTTGACAGTGGACGTCTGGAGGTTTATGCTTTGTATCAGCAGCTATTTTGCAGAGTGAAATTGAGACAAGGATAATCAGGGTGTTTTTTTTTTTTTTTTTTTAGATAAAAAAAGGGTGCCAGTACTCACCACAAAGTGAATTTTTTTTTAATGATCTGGTACTTACCACAACGTGCTTGAAAATTATGTTAGTACTCACCACAAAGTGTCTATGCCAACAATACTGAAGAAACCAAATTATGCCTAAATGATGTGTACTACTAGCCCTATGCATACACATACGGTGAAACCCAATCCTCCTGAGAACAAAAATGGAAATGACTAAAGTAAATTAGCAGCAAATAAAAGGGAGTCACCGTGGCGTAGCGGCTAGACTCTCGCCTGCGGATCGGAAGGTCGTGGGTTCGCTCCGTGGCGGAGCCCGACTTTTTTCTGCTGCTGTACAAGGGACTTATCAGTGAATTAATAACTGTTATAAAAATATTTTTCTGCTGTCCGAAAGTGCATTAAAATTTTTTTTTAAGATGGAGCAAGATAAAACCAACGAACCTGCTTTTCTTTAGGTATCGCTGGTACATTACGCAGCTCATATACTGTCACCTGTCCTTCACTGTCACCAACAAGTAGACACTGTTTAAAAAAAAAATTGACAATAGGAATCTTTTTTACTGGGCATTTAGTGCTGCACCCATATATTAAGTTGCGTGGCACCTATTTTAGGCTGTGTTGACCTGAGCGCCAACTGTCAATTAGTAAAGTAAAGATCCATTTTTACGCCTTTAGGTGCATCGGGCATATGGGAAAAGCACCCATATTTTTACTGACCAATTGGCGTTAGGCGTGTAGTGTGGTCAGCATTACGCCAGCCGTCTATGTGTAGTGTGGTCAGCATCACGCCAGCCGTCTATGTGTAATGTGGTCAGCATTACGCCAGCCGTCTTTACTTCCCCAGGACATACATCCTGGTACCCATTTTAGGCTGGGCTTTATAAAGTAAGAAAACACTGGAGAACCCGCAACCACTCATCTCCCCCCCCCCCCCCCCTTTTTTTTTTTTTTTTTTTTTTTTTTTTTGTTCTTTTCACTCTCACATTTTATAGGTAATTAATTTGGTGGTGTTGGGGGCCTCAGAACAATGAGTGCCCTAACCCAAGAAAAAAATGTAAAGCAGAGGTGCCCCCTCTCCCCCCCACCCACCCCCCCCCCCACCCACCCAGACTGAATAATTTTGTGACGGGTCGAGATGCCTCCTCTAGCCATGTATGTCTTATTTTTATTCATATTCACAGGCTTAAAAGTCGACAGAAACTAATGGTTGTTTGTTCATTTCTAGACTTTAGTCTTGTTCCAGAACCTGACATTTTCGTGAACATTCATTTCACATATCTGGCTTTTTTGTATACGGACTATTTTTTTCCTCGCCATTATATGCGAATGCAGTCCTACTTCTCAGGACCTCTAATTAGTCGACTCTTATGACACGCTTGTTAGGGAGGCAGTGGCTCAATTCCCCCAGGGATATATATCCTCACTGCTCTAGTACTCAAATCTGTTGCACCTAAGATCTCTTTTATTTTTTCACTGTTTAGACTGTCGTCGGCATCTGTGGCTCAGGCGTTGCGAACGCGCTTTGTAATGCCGGGTTCCATCCCAGCTGCGGACCTTGCGCTGGCTTCGATAGTGCTATCGAGAAGCTGACCGTCAACAACAAAATAATTAATGGCAAAGTACTGCAGGTAAATTGGCCTAGAATAACAAAATCTGTTGACAACTGCTACGTCCTGAGAGGGCTTTAAGTAATTTTTTATATTGTATTTATTCTGACATTAATTAAATGAAGCTCCCGTAGAAGCCGTTAAAAATTGCACTAGCCGACCGGTGAAGGTCGACCGTGCGGGGTATTGGGAATAGTTTTCAACTAGCAATAACCACGCCTCGGTAAAACCTCATTGGCTATGGTACCGCCACTGCGCAAAGCTGACGATTATGCCGCGGTCAGATCACCCAGCATTTCCTCATTTGTTAGATCAGGGTAGTTAACAGCTTTTGAATATGCCTGCATAAAAATTCTAGTATTGGAGAAATAACAATACAATTGATATATTTTGAATTAAATTACAAATAGTGTAAATTAGGCAGAGCTATAATCTATTTGCAAGCTAATGTACTTAAATAAACGCATTGGAAAAATAATGTATAAAATATCAAGGGGAATGACCCATTATTTTTAGTCTATTGATACAAGGGAAATAAGATATTCTCAAACAAGGATAATATATTGTTAATTCATTTTAGTTTCGCTAATATAATACAATCACACACGTAGCAAATAAAGTGATTACAAAAAATCAAAATTTACATGTAAATGGTAAATTCGCAGGTTTGAATGCAGAAATGTGCAAAGAGTGGTTTGAAATAGACATGAATTTTAAAAAAAAAATTGAAAATAGAGTTTGGACACAGACATGAGGTGGCGTACCAAGTACAGTTCTGGGTAATTACTGCGTCATAATGTCAGAAAAAAATTGTTGTTTTAAAGCCCCACCCTGGCTGTCGCCGATGACCCTAATATAACCCACCCTAAGGGTTGAACGGGGTTTCTTAGACCTCTCCCGGGAGGATCCTCATCAATAGTGACACTTTGAGTTATCGGCTGTTTATTGTTGGGTGTGATGTTCTGGTGATGTTAAACATCAGTAAATCAGACAGTTGTTGAACGTAAAGGCAGATGGTAAACAGGGTGCCAATACTCACTTCCATGTCTAAAATAAAAAGTTGCCGTTACTCACCATATGATAGAAAAAGCAACAAATGATGCCTAAAACAAAGGTGCAGTTAATGCCTATGTACTACCAGAAAATAAAATCCATGGGTCTAGAAATATGTTCCCAATACACTGAAGGGAGTGGAATTAAACATACAATAATTAGCCTACCTTTTTCCAAGCATTTGTCCAGAATATATTAGGTATACATTTTTTGGGCGGTACGCAGTACAAGCACCTTTTTTTAAAGGCATTATTTATTCAAAGTGACAATAGACACTCTTAGTGAGTATGGGTTCCTTTATAGACACTTTATGGGTAGTAAACATGCACATAACCTGTATATAAAATTACAGTTGGTTTGAGAAAGATGAGTGTTGGAAAGGGTCGAATTTGAGAACTTTTAGCCAAATGTTACATTAGCCAAACAGAGCAACCAAAAAGTTTTGAAAGAGACGGGAGCCCAAAAACAACTAATCACAGACATCTGAAGGAGACTGTCATCCTTTTTTGGTCATGTTATGAGAAGAGGGAAAATGGAACATGTTGTGAACACTGGAAAGATCTGTGGAAGGAGGGATAGAGCAAGACAACAAGAGAAAATTGTTGACAGTCTTGTTGCATGGCATGGAGGTGTGTCAGCAAATGAACTGATACATGCTGCAGGAGATCGCAGATTGTGGAGAGGCATGATCGCTTACGCCAGTCGGCAATGCACCTGATGATGATCATGATGGCCAATTATATACCATTTTATAATAAAGTTAGTTTGTTCTTCTGGTCTCTCTCCCTCCAATCTATCTGTCCATCCATCCATCCATCCATCCATCCATCCATCCATCCATCCATCCATTCATCCATGCGTCCGTATGTCCGTCTGTCTGTATGTCATCTTTATATCATCTGTCTGTCTGTCATCTATCTGTCTATCATCTATCTATCTATTTATCTGTCTGTCTGTCTGCCTGCCTGCCTCTCTCTCTCTTTCTCTCTCTCTCTCTCTCTCCCTCTCTCTCTCTCACTTTCTCTTTCTTTCTTTCACTCTCTCTCTCTCTCTCTCTCTCTCTCTCTCTCTCTCTCTCTCTCTCTCTCTCTCTCTCTCTCTCTCTCTCTCTCTCTCTCTCTCTCTCGCCTGTCATATGCATTTGTTAAAACTTTATCAAAGGTCTTCCCTGAATAAGTAAAACTTGCCGAATCCTGTTTTGTTTGGTAGCAGAGGCATATGTGAGTGAAATAGTCATTATTATTGTTATACAATATTTAAAAGGTGGAATCTAGGCTGACAGTAATATTTTAAGTGATGTGGGGATAGGGGCCTAAATCCTTTAAGTGCTGGGGGTGGGGGTATAAATCCTTTAATTGCTGGAACGGGGGGGGGGGGGGGGGGGGGGGGCTCTACATCTTCAAGTGCTGGAGGGGACCTAAATCTTTTGAGTGCTGGGGGAAGGTGCTGCTCAGTTACATGCACTGTTCTTATTTGCAGTTTCTGTTCGATCAGGATTTTTCTGTCTATATGTGTCTATCAGTCCATGAATGTCTGAAACTGAGTGTAATTCGTGGATGACATGTATTTTTACCTGTGATATTCCTATTTGATTTCTAATATCTCTGCCTATCACATCTTTCTCAGCAAGCACACAAGTAAAATCTCCACCTAGTATATTCTGACAGCTATATGAGTATGGTGCATATATGTTGACAACAGTGTACCTATGTATGTCATTTCCCAGCTACACTATAGCCATCCTACCCTGGCTGTCCCTGTTCTTAACTAAAATCTGCCACCTATCCGATGTCTATACTACAGCTGTACCGAATAGTGATTTTCACTATTCGGCTGAATACGAATAACGGCACTGACTATTCGGCTGAATACAAATAGTGTATCATCATCATCAGGTGCCTTGTCAACTGGCATGGGCGATTAGGCCTCGCCACAATCTACGATCTCCTGTAGCATGTATTAGTATGTGTGCTGACACACCTCCATGCCATGCAACAAGACTGTCAAGAATCTTCATCGTTGTCTTGCTCTATCCCTCCTTGGACAGATCTTTCCAGTGGTCACCACATGTTTCACCACATGTTCCATTTTCCCTCTTTTCGAGCTCCCATCTCTTTCAAAACCTTTTGGTTGCTTTTTGTGGCTGTCCAAGATATTTTAAGCACTGTTCTGTAAAACCACATCTCTGAGGCCTCAAGAAATTGTTTGGCCTGCCGCCCGATTTTCCAGGATTCACAACGCATTGCCTTTAAATATAAGTGCTTACTTGACGAAGCTAACAGTGACTATTGTACAGACCACATTTTCCACTTAAAAATTTCTTCCAAAATGTAATCACAATCATACTTATCCGCTGCACCTTTATGAATACAGATGGAGGATCGGTTGCACCCCGAGATAAATACAAAGAAAATCGTTAGCACGCTGCGTGGCATTTTATGCAGTATGATACACTTTGAGGCTGAAACAAGGATAAAACTATTTTCTACTGTGGTGAGGAAAGACAATTTAAATTTTAACTTCTAAGTATCTTCATGCCTTCTTTAATAATGTTGCAATTTACAGCCGAATTTTCTTTATTTTTGCAGCTGCACCCCTGGCATACGCACCCAGTTTGAGAACCTCTACTGAAATGCCTCGGTCGAGTCAGCCAGCTGCTGTACCGGGTCACAGTTTTCCCCGCTATGACAGACTTAGGAAACAGTATTTCAGTCCATCGCAGTGTATGCAGAAATGGGTGTAAGGTAACCACTATTCGTATTCAGCCTGACCGCAGGTATTCTGCCGAATACTGAATAGTTATTTGGTCCACTATAAGGCCTCAAAGCGAATACGAAGCAAATTTTCGGTACAACCCTAGTCTATACTATCGCTGTCAAAGTGTTGGGTACTAAGGCTAAAAAATGCTAGTCTCAATCCTAGGTACAATGTAATGTAATGATGCATAATTGTCCACATGAATTTTGGTTTTTTGGATGAGTAGGAGATATGGTTTATATTTGTGTTTTTCTTCTTCTTCTTGTTTAGCGGCCACGAATTTTGGGGGAAAATCCTGGCTGTTTGTCCATTTGGCTTTTATCTGGACCTGAGTTTTGCATGTACATCAGTTTTAATCGCTTATTTGTGTGCAGTTCTCGTTCCCTGGCAGATGTACTCTGACTTTGAGGGAAGACTTTTTCACCCATAGGATGGACACTTTTTGAGACATTATCCATGGTGCACGATGGGGACGTGCAGCAGGAGTCTTGCATGAGGTTCCGTAAAAACAGAACAGTGAAAGGCTCGTGCTTGAGTGAGGTACGAAGTGTCTCCTTATATAAATCACATCAGACTTAACTTTCCCCCATGCCTGTGACCGAAATCACCGCGCCACATATTTGTGTATGAATGATATAAGGTTACTTTTGTACTCACACCATGTATGTTAACAAGGGCTATTCTTAAATCAGCCGCTATGTTCGTTGTTCCCATTAAAAAAGCTTCATCTTCATTGGCTTGTTGCCAATGTTTGTATTATTTCTGTTCACTCTGTCCACCTCAAAAGATGTGGGGTATTCCACCTTATAATTCAAAAATGCTTCTTGGGAAGCTGGAGTAGTTATCGAGTAGTTATAGACTGGTAGCCAATGAGGATTTCGCTAAAGGATTGTGTCCTTTTCTTGTTAACCTGGAAACCCTCACGGTCTTCTCCCCAACGACCCTTTGAAATGACTGCATATTATTTGGAAGATAGAAAAAAAATGGTTTGTTAAGCTTTGTTTTTTTCGAGACAGGTATGGCTTTGCTAGATTTTGTACATTTTGGACTGGGTCTTGTCATGCTGGTTTTTGTCTGTTTTGGGGGAAGTTGTCTGCTTGGAATGGTCAGTGGATAAGCTCCTCTGTATAATACCACATGGACCCATCAACACACTGGCTACTAAGGCATAATTGAAGTGGGCTACATGTGGCCCTGATACAGAAACTACCAACATACTGATACTGTGAAACGATCCACCCAAATGTTTCGCTTGCAATAATTTTAACATGTTTAGCAATCTAGCTTGAAGTTCTTATATTTACTTTGTAATTCATGGCAAGAAATTTAAAAAGGAAAAACATGAAAGTTAGTTCACTGTCAAGCTAGAAAACTAAACCCTGAGAATTTCGAACAGTATTCAGGGATTTCCATTAACTAGTAAATCTTTAGAAATTCTTGTGCAATGGGTTTTAAAGAAAAATAAATCAAATGCATAACCTGCACTGATGAAATTTTAGTTTCAGAAATATATGGTAGAGCACTCCCCCGATTGGGCACACTTGCAATGCCAAAAAATGGCTGAATGAGCAATACTAAACCCCACCAGGACCACATGACGAGCGATAAACACCTTGTGATGCAAAATGCCATGAATTGAATGAGAATCACCATGGCGCTAGTCCCAGAAACCCCGTTAACCCATTAGCTTATTTTTAGGAGTCTCAGACAAAAGCCAGGGTGGGGCTTTAAAATTTATGAAAAAAAAATAATAATAATAATGCACAGACACAAAAGTAAGTAAGTAAATTTTACCCCACCAGGACATCACACAGAGCGATAAATACCTGGTGACACAAGTGCCACCATGCGGATGAGGATCACCTGTGGAGAGGTCCCGGAAATCCCATTTAACTATCAGGGTGGGGCTTCAGAATAACGAAAAATTGCATCTCACTAGGGCACGACTAGACTATACACACACACAAAATCATGCTGTTATTGAGGATCAAACCCTAAACCACCATACTACGTGCAACCATACAACTTCCACAGTCAATGAACGAAAGTTTAAAGTAATAAAAAAATAATGCATCTTTTCACCTACATACCTGAGCATTCTGACTGAAAGAAACACTTGTCTGCTTAGCTCCTGACATTGAGGACAGGCAATATACTGCATCCAACCTGAGAACATGTAAAACATATGTTGATTAGCTCCCTTCTTTATCATGTTAAGTTAAAAAAAAAAATCAAGGAAATATTGCGGCACAAGCTGCACCAGAAATATAATGTAGCCGGACCGCAACATCTATTGATTTTAGTTTGATTGCACATGTGAAGAAACCTGGCCAGCCATAAGTTATAACAGATTGAGGCACCCAAAAGATGGTATAGCAGTCGGCTTGCTATGGTCAAACGCCCTGGCTGCCGCTGCTTGACTGCACATGATCTCAGCGCAGTGCAGATGTGTAAGATTGAGTCAACAGAGTGATGGCTGACTTCATGGTAGTAGTATGGTTTGATAGTTAAATCTTAATTTAGTAGTTAAACTGTGTAGAGATATATCAGTGTGTATCATTGCTCAGAGTTATTTAATTTTATTAGTGCAGTGCTTGGCATGTTGATGGTTGTTAATGTGGTTTTTTTTTTGTGTTTGAAGAGGGCTTAGTTTTGTGTTCAGTTAAATAAACAGATGTTGAATATGATGCTTATATTCACTTGCTTGATTCAAGATAGAATTTGGTAGTTCAATAGCCACGTGGAATGACTAGGTGTTGCATTAGTCATGTAGTTAGGCTGCTGTTGTGTAACACATCTATTTCACATATCCTTTTTCTGGATTTTGGTGAAACATTCCAGGGCCCCTGCAGAGAAGAACACCTTGTCTTTTTTTTACTTTCCTGTTTTTGATGTTCAGCGAGGAACTACAACAGCTTTCACAAGACATTCTATCTAAGTAGGCAAACCATTTTATTTTCTATCTTTGTATGTAATTTTGAATTGGTTATGTGCCGACTCCTATGACCTCATTCCTGACTGTGATTCCTGACTTAAACTGGTCACTGCTGCGGCACTTCTCATGAATCTCATTTCCACGGTTATTAATTTTCTTTTCAGGTTTGTTGTGACCATGTCTGGCACTGGTAGCATAGGGTGGGGATGAATTTGCTTTGAATGAGATTATTCTCTGGGATTTTCTTATGCTGTAAGAGGAGAGCTAGCTGTCCCGATGCTTAGTTTGCTTTACTGCATCAGATGTTAAAGTTTACACCCCATTCACCATCTTCAGTGAATACTGTTCCTAGATATTTAAACTCAGATGCCTGTTAAATGCCTATGCACTTACTGCTATATTTGCTACCCTTTCTGTACTTATAAACAAGTACACAAATCACTATGCCACCGCCCCCCCCCCCCCCACCTAACCAATATTTTCTTTAAAGAAAGCATGATAGGGGTGGGGAGAAAGGAGCTGTTGAAACTGTTTTAAAAGCACTGATTTTGACTGATTAGTCCATTATTTCTTCACTCTGTCAATATTGGCAGTCCAGATATTTGGGACATCTGAGGCAAGATCAACATCAAAACTTAGTTCCCACTGATAAACTTTAGATTTGATGGACAAGAATAAGGGGAAGAGAAAGCGGCTAACATCTGGCTGGATTGGCCTTTTGTTTGTTTGTGTGCATGTGTGCGTGCATACATGCATGCGTAGGCAGGCGGGTGTGAGTGCGTGTGTGTGTGTGCATGCATGCATTTACCATTCATCCCTTTGTGGTCTTACTTCATGTTTATGTAAATTGCTTTGAACATGACATGCTTTTTAGATCAAATACAATTTATGTTTGAAAGATGCGTGTTTGAAGGGTCGTTTGTTTATTCATGGCATGAGCAGGACAGGAATGAAGACCTGACCTGTAATCATGAGATGTGACAAACTATTACCCTCTAGTTCATTGATGACATGAGCAGGACAGGAATGAAGACCTGACCTGTAATCATGAGATGTGACAAACTATGACCCTCTAGTTCATTGATGACATGAGTAGGACAGGAATGAAGACCTGACCTGTAATCATGAGATGTGACAAACTATGACCCTCCAGTTCATTGATGACATGAGCAGGACAGGAATGAAGACCTGACCTGTAATCATGAGATGTGACAAACTATGACCCTCTATGCTTGACGGCCTGGCATTTGATGTTGAATCTACGCTCTGTCATAATGACCTACAATGGACAATGATTTATAATCATAATACTAACCATAACCGAACAACTGCTTAACTTGCTTTTTGCTCTCTAAGGTAAAAATTATGTATTTAACTGCCCGGCTAGCTAGCTCAGTTTGTTAAACCTGACTGCATGGCGACTGGGTGACAAACTCCTTTTGGTCTAGGTTCATGCCAGGGGTAGGCAGAAAGGTCACATTTCTCCCAGAGATATGGTATATATCATGGAATCAAGGCCGAAGGGTTGCGATATCCATAGTACCGAGCCAAAGGGTTGACAGCTCATGGTTTCCTGGATATTTTAAAAAGAAAAATGTATTTAACTCACGTGCTGCTGGCCAGGTTCCAGACCTCAACAGCTCCTTCATTCACACAGGCAAACACAGTGGAAGACCACGGCGACCAACAAATATCATTTACAGCTTTCTGAAACAAAACACACATAAAAACAGTGAATATTATATAAAAATTTCATTCATCGGGAAAAATATCGTTTCTTAATACTAAGTACTGAGCAAATATAAACAGCAAGTATTTTTGGCTCAATCAATGAGGTTTATTATGGAACAATTATTTCTGCTCCTCACTCATAGAAAGACACCTCTGTCAACCAAAGTAAATCTCATAAGAACAATTTTTAAGCTGATATTGTGCTACCAGTGCCAAACATGAACCCTTACTACAACTAACGAGTGGAAGATCGTAACAATAGAGATGAGATGTCTTAGGAGAGCTGCTGGTGTGACAAAAATAGATAAAATCAGGAATGAAAAAATTAGAAGAAGAATAGGACTGAAACTAGTCATACAGTTCATTCAAAAACAACAAATAAGATGGTTTGACCACCTGACAAGAAAGCAACTCTGAAGAAATATCACGAGCACAGAGCCAGGGGAAGACCATGCAACATCATCAGGAGCAACCTAAAAGAAATGAACACCAACTTGTACAATGCATTGGAAAAAGCCCACAAATGATCATTACATCTTCCCATTTTTCCCCAACTTCTTGCTGAGGTTAATGGTGTAAGAGAAGAAGAAAAGATGAAGAAGAATCAGGTGCTGTCTCCAAAGTAAAGATTAGCTGCAGTGAATCTTTAAAATTCTATGTCTCTAGTCTTCTTGCCCATTCTCTCAGACTGCTGTTTGTTCACAGCCTGACATTGTCCTCCCACTTGTATCATTGTCTACCTCTTGCATTCTTGCCTTCAATCTTTCCCTCCAGTATGGATTTTGAAAGAGTGTTATATCTTTGAATGTGGCCAAAATAGCCCAATTGCCTCTTTATTTATTTCAGTATTTTATTGTCATTTGCAGTCTTTCCAGAATCTCTGTATTTGATTGTTTTTGTTTCCATGAAATGTGATCTATTATTCTGTATATCCATTTTTCCAGAGACTCAGTTACATTTTCTAGTTGCCTGCTCATTGTACAAGTTACTGCACCATACAGCACGGTTGCACACTGTGGTCTAATCATTATGAGGGCAATTAATTTACATTTATTTAAAATGTTTGACTGAAAGGTTTTGAATGCAGTTTAATAATCTTGAAATATGAGAGTTCCAAGGCAGACAAAGGTAAGTTTTTATTCCAGTGATTATTAAAATTAGTTGTGTTTTTTTCCCAGAGGGGAAATAGTAAGCAAGAGATCCTAAACACATAGGCAAGAAACCTACAAAAATGTATGTGAATCGCTTAAATATCTAGAAAACAAATCATTGTTTAAGCACAACTGATGATCCTCGGGCTTGTGGTCAAAAGATTGCATTCTATGCACTGTATTGCACAGTCTTTCCTTAAGTGTTGATACTTCTCTTATCTTTGAGTAGATCCTTTTTTATCAACAATTAAAAGTAAAAATGAGAATCTGTCATTTAGATTAATGAGTTACAAAGCATTAACTAATTTTAACACACTTGGCAAAATGACATAGAAGACAGTTCCCGACAATACCAAATAGAAAGTCCTGAATGAACACACAGAATAAACAGTTTTACTACACAATCGACTTCGCAGCCACATGTGCACAAAATTTAAGATTGGTGAATCAGTCATGTGTACATGTGGATTGACGCCTGAGACAACAGATCATTTCCTCCAAGACTGTCCCAAATACAACATATCATAGCAAAACTGTTGGCCAAGAGAAACACCGGTGCAAGAAAAACTTTACAGGTCGCTGATTCAATTACAACAGACAGAGAAGTTCATAATAGAGACCACATTTCAGCTATAGATATCCACGTGTGGGTTCCAGGGCCCTATTGTGGGGAAAACAAGAATAGACCCACTGCCTACCCAAAAGCATGTCGTAAGAGTCAACTAATTGGGAGCTTCCTTCGAAGTCGGATTGCATCTGCCTGAGAAGCAAGGAACCAGCAGTCTGCATACAAATGAGTCAGATCTGTAAAATGGATGCACACTCAACACTCAGGTTCTGAAACACAACTGAGTCCAGAAGTGGATGAACAACCAGAACTTTCTGCCAGAGTTTACAGCTGGTGAACGCGAAGAAGAAGAAGAGAGATAAAGATAATCTGTTTCAAGCAAATGAAAGAAGAAGAACAAGAGAAAAGTTTTACTTATGCAACAGTGGATAGTTTAAAAAAATTTTTAACTTACTGTGCTTGAATGGAATGAGAGGATTGGTCGTGTTTTGTCCTGGTGCCACAGCTTCATGGTCCAATCAGCGCTACAGCTCAGAAATATGTCAGACACAAATGGTGACCACTGGATTGAATACACAGGGCCCTGAACATGGGAATGTTTCATTAAAAGTTGAAATTAGTCATGTATTATTATAATCCAAGCAATAACTAAAAATCAGTTTTCACACCTTTACCAGTGACCATGCAATGACAAACAAATAGGTATTATCTATCCCAGTCAAGTGTTTCTAGTGCTCACTACTGGAATTAGGTATGACTCATTCATGAAGACAGCCGTAGCCATGCGGCTGTAAATCCTCAGGCTCAAAGACCCCCCTGCCTACACCAAAGGAAATCGCCATGGCGAAACGGCTAGACGCTCGGTGTGGATCGGAAGGTTGTGGGTTTGCTCCCTGGCAGAGATGGATTTTTTTTTAATCTGACCTTGACTCCCAGGTTGATCCAGCCTTGAGTGGGTACTGGGTACAGTCCTGGAAAGAAAAGGCGGCCGGTGTGATGCTGACCACATCATCCATCTTGTACCAAAAGGGCTATAAAAATTTAGGTCTAGCCCTATATGCCCTAAACGCATAAAAGTCTGGAAAAGGGACCTTTACCTTTTTTTTTAAACATTTCTGAAGATAACTGGTGATCAGAAATTTAAAATGTTTGCCCAATAGAATAGACAATTTTTTCTTTGTGAGAATAAAAGATTTTAAAAAGATGCTTTTGTTATTCCTTAACCCATTTGTTTTTTCTTAATCAGGGTATCAATCATTATAAGTAAGTGAACACTTTCAACCCTTTTGCCCCACTGACCTAAAACAAACAAAGCCAATGACCATATTTTAGAAATTTTCAGACAAAAATCATTTGAAAAAACATCAATTTTACACAGGCCAGACCAAAAAATCATAACAATTGGATTTATGGACCTAAAAATATTAAATTCCATACAGAATAAAGGGAGCATTCAGTAAAAACTAAGCAGCTGAGATTTAACCGGGTTATATCTCTTTAAATTTGAAAAAAAAAAATGTCATGACCCACTCCTAACCCTGTGACCCAGTCGCTGGTTTATCACTATGTCTAGTAGGAAATTGTGACATCATAATTTCTAATTAAAAACCTTTTTATTTTTTTCAAAAGAAAACCACATCTAAATACTTTTTTTTAGCAAATATTATCATTCCTGGTCATCGTAAATGTTTGCACAGGCACAAACATAACCAATACTGCTGGCTAGGCTTCTCATGAACAAGCCAATATAGATTCATTCAGACTCGCGACATCCGTCTTTCCAGACGATAGTGTTATATTATATACCACTGAAATAAAATGTTTACGTACTATGCTAGGTGTAACGAGGAAAGATCGACTTAGGAACGATAATATCAGAAGGAGAGTCCGCACAGTACCAATACTGAACTTTATAGGTAGACAACAAATCAAATGGTTTGGCTATGTAATAAGACAGTCATCAGACAGGGCACCACAGAGAGTAATGCTATACAGATACAGCAGTAACAGAACCAGAGGTCGACCACGCAAAAATATCAGAGACACTGAAAAGTACTTTCTACAAAGTGAACAGAAGGGCCTGTTCCATAAATTTATTCCTTCCCTGACGCCTTGAGGCATTCCAGCAGTAGAGACTAAAGAAGAAGTGTTATACTGTGCAAAGAGGAGACATGGACTCATAGCTTTTGACGACGGCGAGAGTGACTAGCAAAACCAGCTTATGTTAAGAAAAGTCTTCCACAATTATAGCATGGAATTTCAGGACCATTGTTGTCAACATTTGTATTTAGTGTGTTGTATCACAGACTCTCAGCTCTCATCCTTTCTGCAATCATTTCTTCCTTCATTCTTATTCCCTTCCTGATGTGCCTCCTCCACACAACACAGTCCATGACACTGTGTTCCAACAAGTCCACCTCAATACCTGTAACATTCATGTCCCTCTTCTTCTTCTTCTGCCTTCAAATCCCCAATAGAGCATAGGCCCAACCAACTCACGCCAAGTTGTTCTATCCTTCACTATTGGATGCAGCTCTACCCATGTCCTCCCCATCTTTTCAATTTCACTGTCTAGCTCCCTCATGTACACATCTTTAAATCATAGTAGAGGTCGGCCTTGAAATCTTCTACCCATCTTTAATTCACCATAGGGACTCTACCATCTTCTATTCTCCAGGTGTGATCCGGCCATCTGAGACTTCATACTGAGCATTGAGAAAACTATTATTCTAACTGTTCTTTCTAATACCTCAGTGTTTGTGTTTTATATTTTTGTTTCAATAGGTCACACACACATAAAGCAGGATCATTATGATAACATAATTGCATCAAACGGTAGAAGTAAGCATAGGGTATTTTAGTGTAAGAGAAAATTTAGTTTTTAATAATCTATGCAAGCAAATTTTCATTTTTATTATTATTACTATTGATGATTATGTTCATAACATAAGGACACCTGTCCTCTGCATATTCTCTGTCAATCTATCCCTCTAATAACCTTGATCTTTATGATGTCAAAAACCTTCTCCACATTCTCTTGTCTTATAACGTGACTGAAAAAGGTATCTTTTCCTTTTTTTTTTCAAACATGTGACAACATTTTTTCGTTTTCTTCTTTGCATTTACTGGTGGTAAACTCAGGTGGACAATTCTAGTTCTTTGTCGACTTCTGAACTTTAGTCTTATTCCAGTGCTTGAGGGGGCTGCGTGGTCTCAAGGCATGGTGTCTGCCTCGAGTGCTACATAGAGGTTTCGGGTTCAATCCCCGGTAAAGGCTGGGATTTTTTCATGTGGACTTGGACTTCTAGTCCCTGGTCTCTGGGTAGTGAGATCGGACGCCCATGTGCATTGTTGTCCATGTACAAAATCCCATGGTATTTGGAAATCGAAAAGAGTAGCCTAATGGCGCTGCCCAGACAAGATTTGGAGTTTAAAAATCTACTCAAAGTATTTCAGGATCATCGCTGGTGCTACAAAGCCTGTGCACTGTGCTGAGCTTCTTTGGACTCAGACGTGAGTTAGAAGAAGAAGGAAGCACTTATAGGTTACTACCCGTGTAATGGACACCTAAACAGAATACAGCCACAACACTCCCCAGAGTGCCAGCTATGTAACTACCCCTATGAAACTGTTGAACACCATCTCTTTGAGTGCCCAAAACTCAGTGAGACAAGAAGAACGCTACTCCCTCCGAGACCAGACAAGTGGAACACCTTGTACGGAGGAAAAGAACAGCTTGTGAAAACATGCAAATTCCACTACATGGCATTGGGCCAAAGGGCGAAAGCTCATGCGCCGCTGGATCGATAACAACAACAACAACAACATACTACCCGTGTGCCATGATATTGATCCGTTGTTCAAACCTCAAACCCCCAGAACTTGAGTTCAGGATGTTGGTTCCTCACCTCTTAAAACAAGAGGCAATTTAACTTCATTTTAACACAAATCTGAATGTTTAAAAATGTGCAATTAAGTGCATGACTCTACCGTGTGACCTTGATAACTTTCTAGGTATTGTTCATTGTGAGAGCAGGAGCACTTGTGAATGTAGCCTTCCTCTGTGCCTGCTAGATATCTGAAATAAAGAGGGAAAAAATACAGTCCTCACCCACAAAGTATGGGACACAAAAGGACATAGAGATTACCTTGCTACATCTGACTGGTGTAGCTGTCACAGGTGCCCTGACTGAAACTTCTTTGGATGTTGAGCTGGGTACTGTTGGTTTGCCATCCAGACTGAGATTCCTTCATCTCAGACTGGCCAGGCAAACCTTTAGGACTATCTGCATTTGCTCGTGCATGATTTAAAATTGGACTAACAATCAGGGGGAAAAAAAGAAGAAACAGATTATGGCGCAAAGTGTTTATGATAGACTTGCTGCAGTCTACATTGATGGTAAATAGCTGGAGACTGTTAACTTTCTTACATAACTCAGATTCACCATGAATAGCAAGCTATCACTGATGGAGAAATCAACTTCAGGATAGTTAAGGCAGCAACAACAATGAACAGATTAACAACAAAGAGTTTGGGAGAACAGAAAGCTCAGGATTAAAACAAACATGCTCTTCTACCGGGATTGAGTTCTCACAGCAGTGAAACTTGGTCAGCTTATTCGCATGAAGTGTCTAAAAAAGAATACATGGCATAAAGTGGCAAGATAAGATCAGAAACACTGAAGTACTGGAAAGAGCAGGTATTACAACAGGTTTTCTCAATGTTCAATCTCCGAAGGCTGAGGTGGCTGGGTCACACCTGGAGAATGGAGGATGGTAGAGTACCTAAAGACATCCTCTACAGTGAATTACAGCTGGGAAGAAGATGTCAAGGTTGGCCTCTACTACAATATAAAGATGTGTGCAAACGGGACATGAATGATATAAGTACTGAGATAGATTCATGGGAACAAAGTGTCATGAACCATGTTGCGTGGAGGGGACAAATCAGGAAGGGAATTACTAGCCAACTAGCATTTTTTTCTTGTCTCTTGACAGATCTCAGCCCTCTGTGCTCTGGATTAATTCTAATTATCCATGATAGACCATCTAGCATCCTTTCTGTTAGCTCTGCCTTTCCGATCATGTATTCTTGAATTGTAAAATCACATTTTGATTTCATCAGTTTCTTTGATGTTACAACTGCACCTATTTTCTTGTTAATCAAGACAAGTCCTTGTGTTTTTACTTTCTGTTATTACTGTCTCAAACATCTGTTGAAGATTTTCATATTCTAAGTTTCTGAATATTTTACAAGATTTGGTAGACCTAGTCCAACAGCCTTGCAAATATTAACTGGAAATTCAATCCTATTCCTCTACCTTTCTGTTGCGTGACTTATCTTCATCCATCCTTCTCTTGATTATTCTCTCTCTTTCCCTCAATCTTATTATCCCTCCCTCTCCTCAATTTTTTAATCACTTTTTCTCCCTTACTGTGTCTTTCTATGCCTTCCCTCTCTTTCTGTCTCTCTCTTTCTCTCTTACTCTCTCTCTCTCTCCCTCTCTCTCTCTCTCTCTCTCTCTCTCTGTCTCTCTCTCTCTCTTTCTCTAAAGTGTATGACAACACACATTTTAAGACTTACATATTTGAGTCTTTGATATGAAAGTCAAAACACATCCCGCCTGCAAATCGAGAGACAAATGCTTCCCCTTTCTTTTCCCTTGTTTTACCTGCCATTCTTGTGGGCATCTTCTTTAGTTTCATCACATCTGAAAACACAGGAATGGTGTTCAAATGTCAAGAAAGAAAAATAAAACACTGTAATTTGAAAATTATATAGAACGGTGCCCCTGGTAAGTTAGGGAAGTAGCAGTAGCACAGTGCATAGCCTGCATGCCTGGTGGTCATGTCAATAAATCTATTTTAAGTTTGAGTTTTTTTTTTTTTTCATTTCCAATTACCTGGCCAATTTCGATGCAGGTGTTTTGGGAAATAAGCAGGCAAATAGACTGGCTGGTTCTGAACCACTTGGTGATAAACTGAATTATTACAAGCTGGATACATTGAGGGTCCTTTGGGAGCGAGTGAACAGTGCCAAGGCACAGATAGATTCTTACATTCTGAAGAGAATGGCACTGCGAGGAGTTACAAGGGGATCTGGTCGACACTTGACACTCAGGCGAAAGGCGAGACTGACATACAATCAGACAGTTTCTGGTACCATCAGAATTTTAACTCTTCGCTAGCTGCTGAAGATGGGGACAAAGCGCATATGGGGGTGTCCCAAGTGCTGTGTTGTTGATTCCTAATTCAACATTCAACATCCTTTGACCCGGCTGCTAGTGTGATACTGACCACATTTCTCAGTAAGCGTAAAGAAAATACGGGGCTAACACTATATATATATCCAGTATGCCTTACGGTGAGGCAAACTTTCATCATCATCAATATTATGTCACATTGGGCTTGCAGTGTATTCCTCTATTTCATTCTATCCGGTGCAATCCCTTCGCTATCATGGATGGAATCCAGTCCAACACCTTTGGTTTCTCTCATCACTGTTCATTTTGCTTTTGAGCTGAAATGCTATAGAAACATTCTCAGAATACCAAGGACACAGAAGAGAAGAAAAACTTACATTTTAAAATATCTGAACATCAAGAAAGACTGGTTAATAAACAGCATCTTGGAAAGAATAAAAGAAGAAGGCATGGTACCAAGAAGTAGGGGTAGGGGCCGACCAAAACGAAGATGGGAACAGGATATAAGTGACTCCTTAAATATAAAAGTACTCGAGGTGGGAGAGCTGGCGAGGGACCAAGTTTCTTTCTGCAGACCGCGTTGAGAGTGATGTTCTGCAAAAGACCTGCTGCATGATGATGATGATGATTTAACTACTAACATAATTATATTTTGTAGCAGTATTCAACAACAAATGAAGTGGTCTGGACACCTAACAAGAATGCCCTGGTACTATCTGCCATAGCAAGCCACACTAAAACGTTACAACGGGTATAGAATGAGTGGAAGACCTTGGAAAATATGGAGTGATGGCATTAAGAACAGCCTTACAAAATTAAACATCAGTCTTAACAGTGCTCTTGACAGAGCTCATGAATGAATGTTACATCATCCCCAGACACTTCTCTGAGGTACAAGATGTAAGAGAAGAAGAAGAAGATTCAATATTATTCTTCAACATTTCCTGGTCACCTTGATGTATATATAACATGTGTATCCTGCACAGCAGCTTAATTAGCATGGTCTTTTTTAATGTGTTACACTCCTCAAATTTCTAAATATCATTAACCCGCTTGATCCTCTGATGCTAAACCCGTTGGTGCCAACAGATTTAAAGCCTGTATATCTACAATAATCTAATAACACCATGGGGGCCACCAAGGTGTAGTGGCTAGATGTTCACCTGCAAAACTGAAGGTCATGGGTTCAGGTCCTGACAGAGCCAGACATTTTTCAAAAACTACCTAGGCTCTCATGTCTACTGAGCCTTAAATGGGTACCAGGTACAGTCCTGGGAAGTAAAGTTGGCCGGCTTAGTGTTGATGACATCACCCACCAAGTGCTGACTGGTCTATAAATTATTAGTCATATATGCCTAATACGCCTGAAGGCATGAAAACAGGCTCGTTATAATAATACCATGTTCTGAAGGAAATCAATATATTGAGGTACTTGGTACTCTGAAAAACAGCAGACAGAAGATGTAACAAAGAAGTTGAATGTTAAATAGCTCAAGCAAAGGTAAGTATTTCACAAAACGAAAAATAATCTGAGTAATCTATCTTTATCGACTGGGGTGGGGGGAAAAGTTCTTAAGAGCTATAGAAAGCCGGTCCTGATATATGGAAGTTATTCATGGACAGTCAGCTAATTAGTGACAAGCTCTGTTGAAGCTGAGGAAATATGCATTTGTAGATGTATGAAGAGAAATTATCATATATACATTATATAATAAATACCATATACATATATATATATATATACACACACACACATATAAACATATACAATAAAATAGATAGATAAAATAGATATATAAAAAGAGTACTAGGATGTCTGGAAAGAAATTAACACACAAAGAGAATCGATTACCCACAAGAAAAGGAGATAATCAAATTTTTTTCTTTGGTAACATCATGAAGAGATGGGCCACATTAGCGCAGTTGATAAGAGACTCGCTTTCATTTCCAGCTGCGACTCGCTGCAGCCCACGGCCGGTGTTCGAAACCAGGCGGTTCCCAGGGTTCACACAGCCTCTAAGTAATAGGTACCAGAGTTAACACTCTGGGGTAAATGGAGGAATGTCACTGTTGCTACGGAGTTGCATGCGGATGGCGACACAGGCAGACAGTTTCTTATCGACTGTCCGTACTGGTGGCAGAGCACTTATGGTTTTTAACCGTGTGCAATGACACTTGTTCACATCTCCCAACTTTACCTTTATGAGAAAACTAGAGTACATTGTGATGCTGAGACAGTTGAAGAAGAAGAGAGACAGAAGGAAATCAAGAGAGAAAATGCTGGACAATTTGGCATCATGACATAAAGCAGAGCAATTCAGATAAGTTAACTCAGGAGCCAAAATGTTGAAAATGGAGATCACCACGAGCCTGAGGCCTGAACTCCAGCATTAAAAAATGCTGAATGTTGCATAATGAATTGAGAATCGACATCACAGCACTCGAGACACCCCCATAAGTTCTCTGTCCCTATCTTCAGCAGCAAGCAGAGAGTTAAATTCCAAAGGTACCAGTAACTGTCTGATTGTATATCCATCTCACCTATCCCCTGAGTGTCAAGCGTCGGCTAGATCTCCTTGTAACTCCTCGCAGTGCCATTCTCCTCAGACCATAATGATCTATCAGTTCCTTGGCACTGTTCACTTGCTCCCAAAGGGCCCTCACAACATCCAGGATGTCATAGATCAGTTCAACACCAAGTGGTGCAGAACCAGCCAGTCTATCTGCCTGCTCATTTCTAAACTCACCGGCATGACCTCGAGAATATATCCAAAGAATGCTAACTACCCTGGACCTTTGAAGTTATGCTTGCCACTCTGCACGAAGCATGCCTATCTCCACCTTTCTCAACATGCTTTGTGAGTCAGTTACAATGACAGCATGTGTGTACAGCTGATTCTCAAGCCAGCAGAAGGCAGCAGTGACTGCCTCCACCTCCATTCATAAACTAGACATTATGATCATAAAAAAAAAACATAAATACAATATAAATTGCAATGATCCTTGGGTCACTTGCTAAGCGTCAGCGGGCAAGATTCAACCCAGGGGTGACAGTTGAATAGCCCTGACATAGAAGATTATTTGTGACAAACATGACTGAAAGTACATGAGACAGAAATCTGTGAATAGACACTGACTAACAACGCTACATGACATGGACTATAAGAAGATATTTACCATAACTTTCAAGTCCTTTCCGTATGGACCATTGACATACACGCCCATCAGATGAAATGGAAATTAGTACATGAACCCTCTCTTCACCTGAGCCTCTTTCCTTCTCAACCCATCTCAGCTGCCAGACTGGACCTGAATGTTTACCTGGTGTGGCACTAAACATGAAAAATATCGCAGGATAAGTCACATTAGATCACAAAGAAAGAACCTAAATAACATAAATGAATGAATAACTTGATTTTAAACAGTTTGTGAAAATATTTTATTTCAAGGATTTTAATCTTTGTTATTTTTAAACATGCAGTATTTCTGAACAGTGATTTGTTCAATTTTTTAATCCTTTTAGTGCCGTCTCCAAAGGAAAAGTGGCGTTCGTGGCTAAGGCGTTGCGAGTCCGACTTGTAATCCAACGTACCGCGATCAAAACCCACTGCGGGCTGCATGGATTTTTATCATAGTATGGGGCGTCGCAGGTCGACCCAGCCTCAAATGGGTACCAGGATGGCTGTATTGGGGAAGTAGAGACAGCTGGCGTAGTGCTGACCACATTACCCACCGAGTGCCGATTGGTCTGTAAAAATATGGGTGCTCTTCCTATATGCCCGATGTGCCTAAAAGGCGTGAGAAGGGATCTTTACTTTTTTTTTTTACTCCAAAGGAAAAAGTTGGCTGCAGTTGACATGTACATCAACTATTGTGTTTGAAAATCTTTCAAGGTGAAGTTCAATTCTCTTCCATGGTGAGAATTTCAGATCACTGTCAGAAAGCTAGAGGGCTGTCTTTTATTTTAATTCATCATGAAGTGCCTTGCTAGCTGGCGTTGGTGTTCATGCATCTCCACAGATTTCGGTCTTTTGTGTTCTGGATCAATTCCACTGATGATATTCCTCCTTGACATTGTCTTAGGCCATCCACCGTAATTTCTCTTGGTCTGCCTCTGCCCCTTCTAAAATTGATTTTTCCAGTCGTCATGATATTTTCCAGTGCTTCTCATCACATGACCAAAGAACTTTGTCTCCTTCTCATTGTTGTATATAATGTTCTACTTTCGTTAACCATTTCCAGGCAATCATTGTTAGTTATTCTGGCAGTCCAAGGTATTCGCAACATTCTTCTCAAGAACTACATCTCAGTTGCCTCCAAACTCTTGCTCACATTCCAATATTCACTGCCAAACAACAGAACAGTCTCAATATAACATTTCAGTATTCGTTTTCTGATGTTTAATGAGAGTGATTTATAACATAACTCCGCTAAGACCGGTCCCAAGCCCGGCTGTAAAAGGAGGAGGGTCTGGCTGAACCTGAGTGCTTCATGCGTCTCCGGAAGTAGTGGGTAACCGTGAATCAGCCAGACGGCCTGCATGGAGGCCGCAAGGAGGCAGCCCCTCCACCATGCAAAGGCACAACAGGCCAATCACCTGTTTGCCTTAAACCACGATTACAAGTAACTACAGAGAGAAAACCGGACGGATCTTAACGGCGACGAACTGGCATGGCTTACGGACTACGATTTATGGAACATGGAATATAAGAGGCATTAACGGAAAGGAAAACGAATTAGTAGGGGAGATGAGGAAAGCAAAATTAGGAGTCTTGGCTCTGACTGAAACCAAGAAAAAGGGGCAAGGAATCACAGATCACGATGGAAGTATGCTGCTCTACAGTGGTGTCCCTATGACGGAGAGAGCCAAGGGAGGTGTTGGCTGTATTGTGGCCAGGAATCAAGTTAGTAACATCAAGGGATGGAAATTCATCTCAGAGCGAATAATGGTGTTAGATCTGAAAGAAGAAGATAAAATTGTCAATTTTGTCATTGTGTACGGGCCAAATGAAGGTGAGCGAGTAGATGTTAAAGAAGAATTCTTTGAACTGCTCCAAAAGACCATAGATGACTGTCACGATGAAATTATCCTCCTAGGAGATCTAAATGCCAGAGTAGGAAATGATCACTCTAGATGGGGTGGAGTGATCGGGAGATATGGTGAAGATGTTTTGAATGATAATGGCAAGCGACTTCTCAGATTCTGCAGGGAACAGAACCTTGTCATTACAAACACAAAATTCCCCCACAAGCGTATACATGCATACACAAGATATGAACCTTCAAAGAATGAAAAATCCATCATTGACTACGCCATAGTTAGGAAAAGTTCATTCAAGTTTGTGAGAGATGCCAGAGTCATGAGAGGACCAGAGATTGGAAGTGACCACTATCTGGTCACAATAAAGAGAACAACTGAAAGAACTGCTCCAACAAGGCAACACCGACAACTATGCAAGAAACCAAGCAACCAAGAAGGGATGAGGATTAAAGCATACAAGCTAAGAGAGCCAGATATTAAGGCTAGATACCAGGAGCTTATAGTGAAAGCAATAGGAACTGAAGAAGAATCATCAGAGGACACTGAAACTCTCTGGTGCAGATTCAAGAATATCCTCACAGCAGCTGCAGTAGAAGCATGTGGTGAAGTCTCAAGTGGAAGGCGGGGACATAGGACACCTTGGTGGACAGAAGAAGTCAAATTGAAAATAGGAGAAAAGAAAAGGGCATGGAAGCAATACCTGGCAGCCAGGAACACAGCTGAAGAAATAGAAAAATATAAACAATATGTGGCACTCAGAACAGAGACCAAAAATATTGTGCTTAAAGCAAAACAGAAATCATGGGAAGAGTTTGGAGAAAAGTTGGAAAAGAATGCAAGAGAAAACCAAAAACTGTTCTACAAGACCCTTAAGAACATGAGGAAGGAGAGAGAGTGCCCACTTAAATTCATAAAAGACAAGGAAGGGGCTCTGCTTACTTCTACAAATGATATCATGGGCAGATGGAAAGAATACTTCTCAGAGCTCCTCGGCGCTGAGGGAAGTCATGACCCAGAAATAATGGACCTCACTGCTGAGAAGGAATTCAATCATGGGGAAGATAACATCAGGATGGAAGAATTGAAGGCAGCTATTGAGAAGATTAAGCTGGGAAAAGCAGCAGGTCATGATGGTATAACACCAGAGATGGTCAAATATATGGGAGTCGAAGGTGAGCGCCTTCTACTGAAGGTTCTCCAGGCAGCCTGGTGTAGCAAAACTATACCAAAAGATTGGGAGATTGCCATCATTATACCTATATTTAAAAAAAGGTGATAACAGACAATGTGAAAACCACAGAGGCATATCCCTCCTCAGCATTCCCGGTAAAAGTTACTCTAGAATTCTTGAGCAGAGACTTAGAAGTCTGGTAGAGCCACAGCTGGACGAGGCCCAGTGCGGCTTCAGAGCAAACCGAAGTACTCAAGACCTTATCTTCACACTGAGACAGATGAGTGAAAAAGCCCTGGAATATAAGAGTGAGATTCACTTATGTTTTTTGGATCTGGAAAAGGCATTTGACAAGGTACCCTGGAACAAGCTCTGGGACTGCTTGGCAGGGAAAAACATCCCAGCACCCCTGATCAGTGCAATACAGAGTTTCTACAAAAAGTGCAGAAATTATGTAAGAACAGCAGACCAAAAGTGAGAAGAATTTAAGACCACCAGCGGTGTTAGACAAGGTGATATTCTCTCACCTTACCTCTTCATTCTTATGATGGATGATGTCATCAAGACCTGTAAGGAGAAGACAAAAAAGTACTCTGTAGGGTACTGGAAGATGAGACCAATCTGTATATCAGAGCTGGCTTTTGCAGACGATGTGGCCCTGATAGCTAAATCAGAGGCACACCTTCAGTCTAACTTACTTGTCTGGAAGGAAGAGCTTGAAAAGAAAGGGATGACCATCAGTGTCTCCAAAACTAAAACCATGGTGATCTCAAGAGAGGAGAAGAAACACCAGATCATGATGGGTCAGTATGAGTTGGAGCAGGTTAACCAGTTCAAATACCTTGGAGTTGTATTAGACCAAAATGGAGGCATTAAGACTGAGCTGGCTACACGAAAAGCAGCTGCTGGGAGACTCTTCCAGGCCATAAACCGAGGGTTTCTTAGCAAAAGAGAAATTGGCAAGAGGACGAAAATGGCTGTTTACCGCTCTACCTATGTACCAGTCCTGACCTATGGGTGTGAGTCATGGGCAATGACAACAGCTCACAGAAGCCAGCTGCAGGCCTCGGAAATGAGATACCTGAGAAAGGTGGTCCAAGTGACAAGAAGGGACAAAGTCCGCAATCTGACAATACGTCAAGATCTTGATACCCAGCCCTTACTAACCCGAGTGGATCAGTCACAGTTACGATGGTTTGGACATGTGTGCAGAATGGGAGAAAATCGGCCACCATGGCAAGCATGGGAGGCTAAGAACCAGGGAACCAGACCTCCGGGACGACCCAGGGTGCGCTGGGAAGACAACATCCGACAGTCCCTGACTGACAGAGGACTGGAATGGAACAAAGCCAGAAAGAAAACTGTTGATAGAGACGTCTGGCGATCTCTCTGGCAAACCTCTACACCCCAAGGTAGAAGAGGAGCGACTAAGTAAAGTAAGTAAGATTTATAACATAAGATACTTTTCATCCTCTGCACAGAGATGTGCTTTCATAGACGAATGAGAACATCCTGGACAGATCAAAAGAGAAATGGAGATGTCTTGAAAGAAATTGACTCATCAGAACTGCCCTCATCAGAAGGAGACAAAGCAGATTTTTTGTCATGTCATGAGAAGCAGAAAACTTGAGTGCATCATGATGGTGGGAAAGTTAGAGGGGAAAAGAGACAGAGGAAGACTGAGAGAGAAGATGCTGGACAAGGAAGACTGAGAGAGAAGATGCTGGACAGTTTGACATCATTTCATGGAAGATCATTTTGTCAGAACTGACTGAAAGCACAGGAGACAGACGGTTGTGGATAGACGTGAATCTAATGAATTGACTATAAGATGAAGACAGTTTTTAATATAGCATCTTTGAAAGTAATACACAATTTCTTCTTCACAGTGCTTACTGCCCTCTTCCATTACTTACAGACTTAATTTAAATACATAGCCAGTCGCACTATATCAATAATTAGTGCATTTAAAAGTATGGCAAAGTAGTTCTTTTTTTTTTATTTATTTATCAAATTTTTTTTTAGCAATAATAATTCACTCTTTGTTTCATCTCAGAATACTCAACAGCATGTCTCAAGATCTCATATTTTTACAGCATCTTAAGAAAAAATTTTTAAAAAATTACTTGAGTCATTTTAGCAACTTGTTAATGTTGAAGGATTGTTTAAAATAATATTTCTCAGGCTTATAAATATAACATTTTTATAATTTTTCACTTACAAGTTGTCCAACACTGGTTCATCCACTGACTTGCGGACATTGTATATAGCAATACCACCATCATAGTAGCCAACCTGTTTGTAAAATTAGAGCATAAAATAGCATATATGTATATACACACATTACACTCAGAATGCGACTATGATATGAAGACCAATGCAGACAAGACAGAAGTGAAGATATTCTCCAGAAAAGGAAGAACCACCAATATCAAAATTGATGAACACCAGTTAAAGCAGGCGAAGGATTTTACATATCCGGAAAGAATTTTTTTTTTCAGAAGACATAAGAATAAATAAAGAAATTCAACAAAGATGCAATAAAGCCAATCAAGGCCAAATGGCACCAATTTTGAAATGCAAGCATGTGAATATGAACACTAAAAGTACACTGTTTTACATAATATTCTTACCAACGCTCTGCTATCAAAGTCAAATATGGACACTGTCTTCAGAAGACAGAAGGAAAATAGTCACGACAGAAATGAAATGTTTACGTACTATGCTAGGTGTAATGAGGAAAGATCGACTTGGGAACGATGGTATCAGGAGAAGAATTGACACAGAACCAATACTGAACTTTATAGGTAGACAATAAATCAAATGGTTTGGCCATGTAACAAGATTGGCAGCAGACAGGGCACCACAGAGAGCAATGTTACACAGATACAGTGGTAACAAAGAGGTTGACCACACAGAATACGGACCGCAGAAATAACAGAGACACTGAAAAGTACTATACACGAAGTGAACAGAAGGGCCTGTTCTGGAGATCTCTTTCTGCCTTGATGCCATGAGACATTCCCGGAGTAGAGAGAAGAAGAAAAAGAAGAAGAAGAAGAAGAAGAAGAGAGTAGGATAAGATTTGTATTTGCTAAACGTTTTGCTCATAAGGAAAAGATACATTTACAGAAGAAGAATCAAGAAATTAGCCTTATGTGATGAAATACATAATATAAGGGGCAGAGAAAGTGGTACATTAAAAACTTAATAAGCAAGATTAAACAAATATTTAAAAAAATTATGCCCCTGCCATCATTTCTCAGCATAACAATTGACAGAGAGTACTGAAGAATCCTGATTACCAATGTGAGTTCCTAACAGACACTGAAGAAAAAGACATAAAATAAAGACCATAGTAATAAATAGTAACATCAAAAAGATGCTTTCAAACAAGCCATCATGCAGCACACACTGGAAAACTTAACCATTCAGCTTCCCCGTTAATGCAGAAACAGACATGGCTGTTTGCCACTAAGTTCTAAAATGTGCACAAGGTACACCACAAACTCAGTATGTCAAGTGCAAACAAGCATAATTTTACAAGGGACGATCAAAGGAAATCCGTCACGATAGCCTAATCACAAACCTATGAAATGTATATTAACAGGTGTTGCTTTATTAAACCAAGCAACTGTCAGAAAATCAGACATGCACCTGGGGTCAGCAAAACCATACAAATTTTCAACAGCATATCTACTCACAGAGCATGCTGAGAAAGGTGGAGACAGGTATGCTCCGTGCAGAGTGACAAGCATCACTTCAGAGGTCTAGGGTAGTTAGCATCCTTTGGATATTTTCCCCAGGTCATGATGGTGTGTTGGGGAATGAGCAGGCAGATAGACTGGCTGGTTCAGCACCACTTGGTGCTGAATCGATGTATGACAAACTGGATGTTGTGAGGGTCCTTTGGGAGTGAGTAAAAAGTGCCGAGGAACAGACAAATCATTACGGTCTGTGAAGAATAGCACTGTGAGGAGTTACAAGGGGAACTGATCGACACTCAGGGGAAAGGCGAGATGGATATACGGACAGTTACCGTCAGAATTTTAACTCTCAGCTTGCTGCTGATGATGGGGACGGAGCGCTTATGGGGAATGTCCTGAGTGCTGTGATGTTGATTCTTAATTCAACATTTAACATTCAATTGTATATCTCTAATGTGTACTCAGGAATTTGGTACTCACAGCCAACAGGTTAGGATTTGAGGCAGAGAAATCAACTGCTGTCACTCCCTGCTTTGATGTAAAAACTCTTTCTGGGTACTGAAAAAGTTCAAATATGAACTGTAAAATAACACGATTAAGACATTAATAATAGAAACGATTAAAGTGATTAGCAGTTAGTGAAGATTATCATAACAGCAGTCCGGACAGATCCACAAGTTCTCTGATCTTCTCCTCAAAAGCTCTACAAGGTAAAATGACTGATGAAACCTGTTCTGTGTTGATTGATCAAACATCTTGTCCCCTTGGAGAAATTTTAATTTCTAGCAGCTTCTGGCTGCATCCTCAAGTCGATCAGCCTAGACAGGAATACATAGTTATGCCCATATTCATCGTCACAGTAGATGCTACGCACGGCACTGATAACTTTGCTTTTGTCCATTACCGTACCAGTCATAGCAACAGTGGTGTCTGCAAGATAATCTGTATGCTTGTTTCCTTGAACTCCTGCATAACTTGGCAGAGAGATGAAGGTTAGGCCAGCCAATCATGAAGTGCTTTATAATAGCAATACCATCATCATAGCAGCCAAGTTGTTTGTAAAATTAGAACACAAAACAGCACTGCTTGACAAGGATTAGTAAATAACCTTCAAATGATTTGAATAAGAAATATGGACACAATTCTGTATCCGATGTTTGTGATATTTGTTGCAGTAATAACCTTAATCATATCATTGCAGAACACATGTTTTTGTGCGAGTGTGTGTGTGTGTGTGTGTGTGAAAGATTACATTACTTTTTCTTATGCGTATACCCTTAAAATGGCAGCTGACACTGTGTACTGTAGCTAACAGATAGACTGTAATATCTGTGCTCTTTTGGCCCAACATATCTGATTTCAGCAAACCATTAATCAAGGTTAGACCAGCCAGCCAAGAAGTGTTTTAAAATGGCAATACCACATCATAGCAGCCAACCTGTTTATAAAATTAGAATTTAATACAACACTGCTTGACATGGGCGATCACGCCATCCATTGGCTGGCCAGTGAAGCCCCTTCATTGCCGGCTGGAACAGTATTTGGGTCTGTCTCTACTGATCGCATCAACACTGCAAGTTTCCTTTTCAGGGCTACTTGGTTGTGAGCAATGCTAAGCCATTTGTATGACACACATAAACCTAGTCACAATTATAACCAAAAGCTCCTCCCTTCAGGGGATGCTAGTTAAACATAAAGATTTTAATTTTTTTTTTTCGCAAAGCAAGTCAACTGCTTAACAGGGACTAGTCAGTAACCTTCAAATTATTTGATAACATTAGTTACAAATATGGACACATAATCCTTTATTTGTTTTATAAGACATTTGTTGCAGTAATAACCTTAATCATACTTTTTCTTATGCGTATACCCTTAGAAAATGGCAGCTGGCACACTGTACTGTTGCTAACAGATAGGCTGCGATATCTGCACTTTTTGGCCCAACATATATGATTTCAGCAAACCATTAATCAGTTGCGTTTTACAATGTGTTTGTTAAGGGACATCAGGTCTATTCTCTCCCCCCCCCACCACCCCCCCCCCCCCCCCCCACCCCCACTTTTTTTCTACAAATGGAGACCAGAAACCCAAAAAAGGGAGGATTGTAACACAATATGTAGTTTATTGCTGACCGCATCACCCATCTTGTGCCGATTGGTCTATAAAATATAGGTCTACCCCTATATGCCCTATACGCCTAAAGGCGCGTAAAAGGGTCCTTTACTTTTACTTTTTACCATGTAGTTTATTCCTCCATCTCCATCCTGACTGGTGTAGGTGATAATGCCTCTCCACAACCAGTTTTCAAACTTGTTATTAAATTTGAAACAATCACTGTAATAATCACTCCAGGTCATGTTTCCCAATTGTTCAGCTTTCTTAATCAGTGTAATTGTTTCATTTGTGTTTTGTTTTTGTTTTTTAAATGGATATCAATCACTTCAGTTCTCTACATTTGAACTGTTTAAAGAATGTTTATTAATTGAATATGCTCACTTGTAAGCAGAGACAATTATATTCTTTTTTTTTTCAATGTATTTGGGTCAAGCAAGTGAAGTGGTAAAAGAAGAGGAGAAGGAGAGGAAAGGAGAAGAAAATGAAAATGAGAAAGGAAGAAGGAAATGTAGAAGAACCAGGAGACGGAGAAAGAGGTGGGAAGTTGGAGAAAGGGAGGAGAAGAAGAGATAGAGAGAAGAAAAAGCAAAAGAAGAACTCTCTCTTTCTAATGCTTCAATTACAGTTATTCAATAAATACATTAAAATAAATAAAATGTATGTATTAAAAAAATGTATAGTATTAGTTGTTTTCTAATCAATATAGAAAAAAAAGATGAAGATGAAAAAGAGGAGAAGAAAAAAGAGAAGAATAACTTCTCAATCTAATACTTCAATACAACTTTAAACATCCCTCATGCTTCAATTGCTTCAATATGACTCTAATAAATTGCATTAAAATTAACTAACAATATATTTAAAAGAATACAGCTATATCTAGTGTTAACTATTTCTTAACTCTTTGAATCCCAGGGGGTTTAGTATCACATCCAAGGGGGTAGTAAAAAAGTCATAAAATCGGCGCATTATGCGTTCATTGGGCTTCTAGGTAGGAAGCCATGAACGTATGATGTGTTCCTTGGGACTCAAAGAGTTAAACAGTAGGCAAATTTTTTTTTGGTGCTTAAATGTAAGCCAAACTTCAGAAAGAGATAGTCATTATTATCTGGCCACAATATGAAAAGAAAAATAGAAAATGTTGTGACATCTGGCAAAATTTGTGAAAAGATAGATACCAAAGATTTTTGCTGCCTTTTGTAATGTTGGAGAAAAGGATCAGTATATGAAATGATTCACACAGGTGGAGATTGCAAAATATGAAAAATCATGAGCGCACATGCCAGTCAGCCTGGCACTTGATGATCTTAAACATGAGTTGATAAATTACACATATACAATGAAAAGGTATTTTAGTTGCCAAAGTTGGTGTGGTTTTTAACACATTTACTTCTGAATTTGACTTCTTCTTCAAGTAAGTGAAAATGTAAAGGATTTTTTATTTACACCCATTTGTTTCCGCACGTGATGGGTGATATGGTCAACATCACACTGTCCACCTTTGCTTCCCAGGACTTTAGTTGGTACCCATTTCTTTTTCTTTGCTTCTTAAATTCAAAAGTTTACCTTAGGGTTTTTGATGCACCAGCAGCAGACTAATCCAGGCTTTTGATTGGTGAATTCAAACTGACCATAGCCTACAGCAAGCAGATCCTGCAAGCAACAGTGAAATGAAGGTTTGTATTTAAAAAATACAGTATACAAAATTAAATTTATTTGTGCAAGTTGTTGACAACATAAGTATTTGTTTACTACACTGCAACATATTGTATTTTTTCCACCACTTGAAAACAATTGTGAATATTGAAACAGCTGTAAAATTAATCACTATAAATAGGCAGGAAGAAGCCGCGGTGTTGGCGGCTAGATGTCCGCCTTCGGATCAGAAGGTCGTGAGTTCATGTCCTGTCGGAGCCTGACTTCTTTTTTTTTTAAATGACTTGACTCCCAGGTCGACCCACCCTTGAGTGGGTACCAGGTGCAGTCCTGGGATGTAAAGGGGACTGGTGTGATTATATTTAAGACACTAACGTAGTCCCTTCTTCTTCAACATTTAGTTAAAAGGTAGTTGGTAGACTGTATTGTGGTGTACAGCTAAGCTATGAAATCATCACCTTTCAGCCCTACATATCTGATTTCAGCAAACCCAATTGAGTCGCCTCTTAGTAAAGTATTTAAGTAAAGGACTCCTTTTGATGCCTCCAGGCATATTGGACATATAGGGCTAGACCTATAGTTTATAGACAAAACAGTATGAGTGATGTCGTCAACATCATGCTGGTCACCTTTACTTCCCAGGACTATACCTGGTACCCACTCAAGACTGAGTCGACCTGGGAGCCGAGGATATTTTTTTGTAGAGTCTGGTTCTGTTAGGACCTGAACACACGACCTTCCGATCTGCATGCAAGCCTCTAGCTGCTACACCACGGCGGCTAATCGCCGCTTACAACATGCTTGTTATAGTGTAGTCTGTCTACTAAAACCCCCCCCCCCCCCCCCCCCCAAAAAAAAAGGGGGCAGGACCCACACGGGGAAGTACTTCATACTTCAGTGTATTAGGCCTTCACATCTTCTCAGGATAACCATGTACCATGGTGACTGGCTGTAGGCAGTCAACCTGACCATCTCATGTGAGCAAAAGAATCCCACGATAGGTCTGGTGTCTTGTCCCACCCATGCCACATGGCCAAGCCATTCAGACATTTATTATATTTGTCTTTGGGTGTTGAATTATTATTGAAGCCTCCTTGGATGGTGGGGAATGCCATGTTCTGCCCCTGCTTTCCATTGAGAGTCAACCAAGCTGCACACAGTTGGCCTGGACAGCATCTCTAGGGGAAAAACCTGTAGATCAGTGAATGATGAAATCACCACACATATGAGGTTACAAATGTCCCATGAACCTAACTGGAAAGGCTAGCCTGGATTTTTTTTTTAAATGCCTGAAGACATCAGATGTGTCGGCTGAAAGGCGCAAATATAACAGCCATGCTGTATACAATGCACTTATGTCACTTGGTCAAAAATGATGAAGAAGAAGAATCATTATTTTGCTTGGCATTTATAACAAGACAGCTTGTCACAGCTTCCCTTGTCACTACATACTGTAAAATATGATGCTCTATTCACCATCTGAGAACTTGAGATCCACGAAAGTCAGTAGAAAAATTATGTTACTCCTAGCTATTGAACCTGGACCACCACACAAGTAAGTAAAGGCACTATCCACCAAGAAACCCAGGCTATAAAATGAAAAATGAAAAAAAAATCATCACTATCATCATGTAACAGGTCCTTTGCTGCAGTTATCACAGCCTGCATAAAGGAAACTTGGTCTTTCTCTAGATCTCCCACCTCATTCATTTTCCTACCAAAGATGTCACTTATATCCTGTGTCGATCTTTGCCCTGGCCGGCCCCTGCCCCTCTTTCCTGGCACTATGCCTTCTTTCCAATCCACCATGGTGCTTGATATGGCCAAAATATTTCAGTTTCTGGGACAAGATACTGTTTACTAGCCAATCTCCCTAGAGGTTCTGATCTTTAAGGATGTCAGTTTGTTCTTTTTTTTCTTTGTCCATAGAAATCTTTCTACAGCATTTCAGTTCAAAAGCCCTTATTTTCTTCTATAATGGCCACGAGATAGTCCAGAACTGACATCCACATGTTACAACATGGAACCATTTATAAATGAAGAAACAATTGTAACAAATCATCATGAAATCGTTGGTATATTATAACATAGTAGGTAGCAAATGACATCAATACTTTTCACCTTTGCATATAGCGTTAAGCAATTCTATAGGCAGTGAGGTTCTGTTGACATGATGCGTAATACTAAGCATTTGTTGCCCGTGCCATATTTTTATACATCAATTGGCACTGTGGAGTAGCCAGGTGACTCCAATTTGTCCAGTGTGTGTTATTCAACCGGTGTGAAATTTTTCAGTGTTCTCAATGTGAATTACGTGTTTTCCAGTGTTCTCTTAAGGATGAATCTGTGTCAGGTCCAGCAAATCGGCAGTGGATTTAAGAGTTCACAAAAATCTGCTCTAGAAACAATATACGAGATTAGAAAATCCATCAAACGTAACAACAATCAGGGCTCGAGAACAGGTCAGCCATCTCTCACTCATTGTAAACAAACTAGCCAAGCGACAAAAATCGGAACATGGAATGTTTGTGGTCTTACAAATAAAGAACCAGAAATAGTAGAGTTCATGATGAAACATAAGATCGATATAATGGGAATATCAGATTGCAGGAAAAAAGGCAACATAACAAAAGAAATTCATAACAACTATGTCATATTTTGGAGCGGCGTTAAGAAAGAGCAGAGAGCGACTCACGGAGTCAGTTTTATTCTCCATCCGGATATCGCTAAACATGTAAAGAATATAGAATATGTATCTGAAAGGATTATAGTATTGCAACTCTACGGGAAAACAAGAAATACAAGCATTGTGCAGGTATACGCACCCAACAATGATGGTTACACCTTGGAAGAGAAAGATAACTTCTTTGACTCAGTGTCGGTTGTCATCAGTCAGATACACGCAAATGATGATCTTATGGTAATAGGTGACCTAAATGGGCATATAGGGCAGAGGCGAACACCGTGGGAGGAATATATGGGGCCACACTCAGACAACAGCAAAGTCTGCAATTACAACGGGCAGCGTATTTTAGAACTTTGTGCAGAGCATGGCCTTTATGTCACCAATAGTTTCTATCAGCATCGACAAAGCCAAATAAATACCTGGTATAAATGGAGCAACCCAGACCAGGCCGCACAGTTGGACTACATACTAAATCGACAAAAGAGAAGAAGCTTAGTAAAAGACGCAAGAGTAATTCCTAACATCTCTTTAAATACAGACCATCGACCGCTGATCGTATATCTAAGCGAAGCAACAATTAACAAAAAACCAAAAACATCAGTACGTACCTCAATGATTGACATAAGACACTTAAGCAATCTAGACAACCAAGCAAAAGTACAGGCAGAAATGACGGCGAAGATGGCTGAGCTAATAACATCAAGTGACAATGTGGAAGCTGCGTGGCAAAAATTTAAGAACACTCTTCTGAACTGCCTAACAACACTCTGTGGTATTAGATACACAGGAGGAACGTTCAGGAAAAAAAAACAGCATGGTGGAATGATAAAGTAAAACAAGCAGTGAAATGTAAAAAGGAGCAATACAAGAAATGGCTAAGATCCCGCTCAGATGACGATTATATCAAGTACAGAATTGCCAGGCGACAATCTGCAAGAGAAATTAAACAATCCAAGGAAACATCCTGGATCATGTATGGGGAAAATCTTACCAAAATCTGTGCTAAATCTAGTAGACAGTTTTACAAAACCATTGCAAAAATGAGGACTAGAGATGAACCATTCCAGCCATCTGAATATGTCAATGATAGTCAAGGCAAACCCATACATGAGGAGGGCAAGATCAGAGAAAGGTGGAAAGAATATTTTCAGACTCTTCTGAATGTAACAGGAAATGAGGAAACAGTACCATTCACACCCAGATGTACAAACGAGGAACAGCCTACAATAATCGAACAAGAAGTCAGAGAAGCAATCAGATGCAGTCCCAAAAATAAGGCATCAGGTGTTGATGGAATATCAGCCGAGGCAATACAGGCTTGTGGAGAAATTGGAGTCACCTGGCTACTCCACATATTTAGGAAAGCCTGGAATTAAAGAACTGTACCAACAGACTGGCAAAGAGCTCTTATAGTCCCAATTTGGAAAAGAAAAGGCAATAAGCAAGATTGTAACAATTACAGAGGCATCTCCCTTCTAAGCCACGTGGGAAAAATGTTTGCCAAAATTCTGGAACAACGAATTAGATCCATTGTAGAACTGATCCTGAGCCCATCACAGGTCGGATTTAGGAAAGGAAGAGGGTGTACTGACGCTATTTTTGCTTTAAGACAAGTTAGCGAAAAGACAATAGAACACAGACATCAAATGAACATCGCTTTCATAGATCAAGAAAAAGCTTTCGATAGAGTAAACATAAATTTATTATGGAAAGTTCTTGAAAACTACGGTATAAATGGAACAATTTTAGATTGTGTTAGGGCTATTTATAGACAAAGTGAAAGCGCCATTAGAACAAGAGCTGGCATCACAGACTGGTTCCCAGTAACATCAGGAGTAAGACAAGGTTGTGTATTTTCACCTTTACTTTTCATAATATTTATGGACAATATTAATAAAATAGACATAACACCAACAGATGTCGATAAACAGGAGGACTTCAATGAGCTGCTCTTTGCCGACGATCAATGCATATTTCACAGTGATAGTAAACAGCTGCAAGACCACATGAACCTACTACACGACAGTTGCCTCAAGCATCATATGAAGATCAATACTGAAAAGACAGAAGTCATTAGCATAAGTAGAGAGCAACAGACCATCGACATAAAGATTCTAGATCACAGCCTAAAACAAGTGCAAGAATTTAAATACCTGGGAAGTATCTTTACATCCAATGGTAAAATAGACAGAGAGATCGAAGCAAGAATCCAACAAGCCAACAATGTCGCATACCAGCTTGCCCCAATTTTAAAACACCCTGCTGTCCCAGCTGAGATAAAAAGACAAATTATAAATACAATCTTTATACCGACATTAGGTTATCAATGTCAGACTTGGACATTAACAAAAGAACATGAGAGAAGACTAACCACCTGTGAAATGAGATGTTTGAGAATGGCTGCGAATAAAACCAGAAGAGATCGAGTGAGAAACGATGTGATTACAAGAACTATTGGAACCATACCCATCGTTAAATTTATTGAGAAGCAAAGAATGAAATGGTTTGGTCACCTAATGAGAATGGAACCAACGATGCCAGCATCAAGAGCATACAACATGAAAATCGAAACAACAAGAGGCAGGGGAAGACCAAGAAGAAGATGGATTGAAGGAGTCACGGACAACTTGAGACTTCATAACATCACGGCATATGAAGCGACTGAGCGCGCCCTGGCTCGGTTGCCGATCATCTGATAGACTGCGACGCCTAGCGGCACAAGCAGATTTTGACAAAAGAAAGAAGAATTGGCACTCAGTTCTCTGTATGGGTTCCAGGGTCCCATTGGGAGATAGACCAGTGTCCCCGTAACAAGCATGTCATGTAAGGTGACCTAACTTCTTTCTACATCAGAGTGCACCTGCCTGAGAGGGGAGGAATCAACATTCTGCATACAAATAAACAAATAAGGTCTGTAAAATGAATGAGCATACAATACTGAAGTTCTGGAACAAGACCAAAGTCCAAATTGGAGGAACAACTAGAACTTTCCGTGAAGTTTACAGCAAGGGAACATTAAGAAGAAAAAGGCACTCACTAATAATGATAAACTTTAGCCATTTCTGCAAACAACCTTTCCTGGTCATGTTATTAGACTGCATCAACTTTGGAGAACAGGTTACTTAGAAAAAAGTGTCTTCATAGGCATAATAGTCAGGACGTATTTAGAATGTATGATGCTCCTGTGCAGTCCTTTAGGTCCCTTTTTCCCTTGGCTAAACTTCAACATCCTTATTAGTTTACTGAATACTATCAGTAAATTGTGGAATTATTTACTTCGGTTTTAAACTGTACTAAAATATATAAACTTGACTTAATACAAAACTTTAATTGGTGAATACAGGGAATTAAATAGTATGATACAATCGCTAATGTAGAGCTTTGGGAGAGAACAAAACAAGTTCTCAGGACCAAGAGGTGAAGAAAAGATGCTGGCCTTTGATAGGACACAAGTTGAGAAAACCTGAGAACAATATAACTAGAATGTCTTTGCACTGCACTAGAACACATAGGGGTATAGAAATAAAGGAATACCCCCCCAAAAAAAAACCAGAGAAGGGAGCTAGAGAATGAAGTTAAAAAGATGAGGAGGATATGGAGAGAGCTGCATGCTATAGCAAATAGAACAACTTGGAGTGAGTTGTTTGAGAGCCAATGCCCCACTGGGGGATAGAAGGCAGTAGAAGAAGAATACACAACTGATAAAAACAAAGGTGCTAGTTGGGGTCCTAATGGAGCATGATGCACAATTCAAAATGAAAATTTCATAATGATAAAATTAATAAAGACATTACCATTTTTAAATATACCAATTATATTTTGCGCTCTTAGAATTTCGCCACATTTAAAATTGTGTAGCCCTGTGCAGATGCACATGTTGCACACATTCATCATGATAATCATAGCACTACAGAACCATATGTTTTTGAGTCATCATTTATAGACAGTCTGATCAGATCCCTCCACCACTGTCGGTCAAATGCACTGGACTTCATGTTCGCAAATGTGAGGCTCCTCCAGTCTGCCAAACTTTGCAGGTTTTTCTTGGTCTGCCTCTTCTCCTCTTCCACCACAATGAGCCCTGTAGTCTCGTTTCTGAGAGGATGTTTGATCTTATTACATGTCCACACAATTGCATTTTTTATCTTTTAACTCACACTCCTTGTAGGAAGCAAACATATTGTCAGAGCTTTTTACAGTCCTTTACACATATAGATGCACAAAAACATGCATAATATGCTTCCTATACATGAATGAAATCCAAGCCCACAATGAGTGTTGTTTGGGTTAGAAAGAGTTAAGTCAACCTGACTAAAGGCACTTTAAAACTTACCAGATTTGATTTATTCCAGGCAATGCAACTGACATTTTTGCCTCGAGTCAAAGGACAGTCGTATGACCATAATCGTTCAAGGTTTGGGCTCATATCCAAGTTTTGAGTTATGGAAGGGTCACCAACACTTGCTGTATAATCAGCAAACAATTATACAGTTTAGTAAGAACGCACTAACAATATCACAGATATCTTTAAAAGTAAACATGCCTTTTCATACTTCAACTGTACGTCAGTTTGCTAAATTAAATAACCAGTATTTAAATGGTTATTCCCTGTGTGCGTTCTGGGGTCCTACTGGGGGAAGGGGGTGGGGGGATGGATCCACTGCCCCCTAATGAACATGACATAAGAGACGACTAATTAAGGGTGTTTCCTTTAAGTCAGAAGACATATGTCTGAAAGAAAAAAACCAATAGTCTATATAAAAATAGGCCAGATCTGTAAAATGAATGTGTATGTAAAACTCAAGTTCTGAAACAAGACCAAGGTTCAGAAGTGAATGAATAGCCTGCATTGTCTGCCGGGCTTTAAACTGGAACCAACAAGGATATAGAAATAAAAGTAGACAACAAAACATGGCGAAGGGAACTAAACAGTGAAGTTAAAAACATAGGGAAGACCTAGGGTGAGCAAATATAGGAAATGATGTAAGCTGGTTGAGGGCCTATGCTCCATTTATTAGCTATTTTTGAAATGTTTCATTTTTTCCTTACTTTTTTATTTCAGTTAATTATTCTGTATGAAAAAACATGTTTGATTTTTATATCCCTCATTTTAAAGCTAACAATTTGCTGGGACTGATATGTTTTCATTAGTTTTTCAAACAAGACAGTCAAGGACATTTAGTGTGATTTCCACTGGCACAGAAAGGAAGCAAACCCCTTTTAACTTGCTGTTCATGCTGTCTAGTTATGATTGCAGATTTACAGTCACTTGGTTCTCAAAAGAGTCCTACTTCTAGATAAGCATTCAGTAAATCAGCCTGGTCCACGGCTCATCTGCCCCAGACAGTAGCGTTACCTGCAAGCCTATCAGCTTGCTTTTTTTCTTTGCATGCCTGTTTAAACTGGCACACAAATCTTCATTGTCTTTGTTCACCGGCTGTAAGCTCTGGCAAAAAGTCCTGGTTCTTCATCTATTCGAACTTTGGTTTTGTGCCAGGGACTGACTTTTCCGTGTACTTCTGTTTTACTGGTTTCTGGTGTGCAGTTGATTTTTCTTGCCGCTTAAGAAAATGCACTCTGACTTCAAAAGAAGCTCCCAATTAGTCGACTCCTACGACAAGCTTTTTTGGGAGGCAGTTGGTCTATTCTTGTTTTCCCATAATGGGGCTCCGGAACCCACATGAAACTGATCTTTGTGAGGAAAGTAAGAATAGACCAACTGCCTCCCCAACAAGCATGTCATAAGAGTTAACTAACTGAAAGCTTTCTTCAAAGTCGGTGTGGATCTGCCCAAGTGGCAAGGAACAACCAGCTGCCAGTAAAATGAATGTACATAAAAATCTCAGGATGAACTAACTGGATTTTCCGCTGGAGCTTACAGGCCTTGAAAAAAAAAAAAGGAACATCTCTGTCAACTAATTAACTAACTAACCTTAAAGTTAACAGCACTGACACTGTGCCATGTGGTAAATTACAGATATGGTAAATTAACAGTAAAGTTAGGGACCATTTTAATGCCAATACCACACCAAACTGTGATGCTAGATTCATATTGGTACTCAATGGACAATGTGATCAACATCACGGCGACTTCACTTCTCAGGATATTTCCTGTTACCCATTTTAAGCCCCCTTGACCTGGGTTGATCAAGGTCATTTAAAGAAAACATGTGCTTAAGGCAGATCCGAACCCAAGACATTTAGGCCAGAGGATAAGCACCTTGGTGCTACACCAGAGCTAACTTAACAGTATTATGGGCCCTAGGAAAACCAGTGTGTTGGGGCCCTTACATCAACCCCTCAAAGGAATGAAACATAAATGGTCAATAATATTAAACATGAATTCATTTTCCTGGCAGTTCAATAAATCTGGTGTTAAAACATAAACACAGATAAGATGACACAGTATGAAATGACTACAAACTTGACATACACAAATCAGCATGGGGTTCCTTCTTCTTCTTCTTTGTTCACCGGCTATGAATTCCAGCGGAAGGTCCCGGTTAATCGTCCGCTTGGACTTTGGGCTTTTACCTGGACCTGAGTTTTGCGTGTACAACCGTTTTACTGGCTTTTGCCGTTAACTGCCTCACAGGCAGATGTACTCCGACTTCGAGGGAAATGGGGCTCCAATAGTGGGAGGCTCCTGGCAAGTGTCTAGCGTGGCTATGCATAAAGACAGCTTTACAATGCACGACTACCACTCCCAGGGACATAGTGCTATGCCATACAGCAAATCCTGACTGGACTGAATCTTCTCTGTTTTAACTGTCTTTTACTTTCTATTCTTGCTTATGATAATTATGCACTTTAAAAAAAATATGCACACTACAACAAACAAAACCCCAAAAAGTGGTGTAATGAAATGGAATTTATATAAGCGAGAAATGAATAAAAATGCTCAAAATCAGCAAGAAACATACCTTTCTTTGAACCCTTTTTAGGATGTTTGACTGTTTCTAGACATTAAAAATAAATATTAGGTAGAATCTAATGACGTTAAACTGTTTAACCACAGATAGTAATCATGAGGAGTTAGCAAACTGGAGTAAGTTGTGTCAACAAGAAAGTTAGACAGGAAGAGAGACAGAGAGGGATCAGAAGAGACAACTGTGGACAGTTTGGTACTATGACATGGAAGAACACATATAACAGAAATTATCAGTACATGAGACAAAGAAAGATGTTGACAGACATGATTACCAACGCCACAAAGCAAGAATTAGAAGATGATTTTTTTATGACCTCTATAACGGCAAAAAACAGACTCCATAAAATACATTTCAGAAGAATAAGTATTTTTATGAAAGCTACAACAGCTTTAAAACCTCAAAAAATATACATCAGAAAAGAAAAGGGTTTTTTATTACATCTATAACAGCTTTAAAATATTTCATAAAATATGCATCAGAAGAATAGCCTAAGTTAAGTATTTTTGTGACAACTACAATAGCTCTAAGACTTCCTAACATATGCATCAAAAGAAGTATTTTGGCAGCTGTCCATAGAATCCATAAAATATACATCAAAAGAAGAAGTATTTTCTATAGTATCTATAGCAGCTATCAACAGAATCTATAAAATATACATCAAAAGAAGAAGTAATTTCTATAGTATCTATAAAAGCTATCAACAGAATCCATAAAATATACATCAAAAGAAGAAGTATTTTCTATGGTATCTATAGCAGCTAGGTCGACCCAGCCTTGAGTGGGTACCGGGTGCAGTCCCGGGAAGTAAAGGCAGCCGGCATGATGCTGACCACATCACCCATATTGTGCCGATTGGTCTATAAAAATGGAAAAGGGACCTTCACTTTACTTTTTACTATAGCAGCTATCAACAGAATCTATAAAATATACATCAAAAGAAAAAGTATTTTCTATGGTATCGATGGCAGCTATTAACAGAATGCATAAAATATACATCAAAAGAAGAAGTATTTTCTATGATATCTGCACCAGCTATCAACAGGCTATAAAATATATATATCAGGAAAAATCAAGTAGTTTTTAATGACATCTCTAACACTATAAAAGACTTCCTAAAGTGTGTATATACATTCCTATATATATATATATATATATTTCAGAAAAAGTATTTGTATGACCCCTATAACAGCTTCAAGATTTCATAAAATATACATAAAGAGAAAAAGTATTTTAATTATATATATATTAATTAAACAGCTACAAAAAAAGATTTCATAAAATGTATATCAGATTAAGAAGATTTTTGATGACTGCTAAAACAGCTTCAAGACTCCATAAAATATTCATTAGAAGAAGAAGAATATTAATGAAACCTATCAACATCATCATCATCAAGTGCACTGCTGACTGGAATGGAAAATCACACCTCTTCACAATCTGCTATCCTCAAAAGCATGTGTTAACACCCCTCCATGCCATGACGAATGGCTGTCAAGAATCATCTAGCATTGTCTTCCTCTGTCTCTTATCCGCAGATCTTTTGAATTGGGACAACATGCTCCAGTTTTCCTTTTCTAATAACATGACCTAAAATGATATCTGTCACTTTGAGATGTTTGTGATAAGTTGTCTTCAAGCCTTCACCTCTTTCAAAATATCCGGGTTGCTCTTGTTGGCTGTACAGGGAAATCTAAGGATTCTTCTGTAAAACCACATTTCTGAGGCCTCAAGAAATTGTTTGGCTTGTTTATGACACCTAAATAGCTATTAACAGACTTGACAAAATATACATCAGGAGAAGAAGTATTTTTAATGAAAAGGAAAGGACCCTTTTCCGATTCTTCAGGCATATTGGGTATATTGAGCTAGACCTATATTTTATAGATGAAATGGCACTTGATGGGTGATGGGTGTCGTGGAATGATCAAACCCACCCCTACACATTAGACTATTCATGCTGTTAACGCCCCTAGCGGACAGGTCACATTTCAAATATAGACCCGTTCGGTGGGTATATAGTCTTTCATATCTATTTATACCTTTATCTGATGAAATAGATATTTCTATATGTTCTAGGTCTCTTGTGAAGTCCACATTTTCAAACTTACAAATGTGGGGTAGATGTTCTCTGTAATAATATTCCTGATTCGAGAAGCCTATTCATTCCTCGGCGTATTGATCTGGAAGCTTCTTTCTTCGAAAGTGACATTAAGTTTCCCCCGCTTCATCCTCTGCCAGACTTCCAAGTAGATCAGAAGTATTTTGCATTTGTGCTTAAATTCTGTCTTGAACCTTGATTTTACCAGTCAATTCCTGGAGGAATCCTGAGCTTGGGTAAGTCGATTATAGTTCACGAGTACCATGGTATATATATCTATAAAGTTAACCCGCTGCTGAAGGGAGGAATGATTCAGCTATCAGACATCACAGAACGAGACCATTCTTGGTGTCCAAGTGCCAACAGCCACCTAAATTAAAACTTCCCCTTTTCTAGCATAGAGTTGGTGCCCTAACTAGCCCAATATTAATGTAAATGTTTTAATCTAGCAAGCTAATCGTTCTCTAACTAACTAGTTAGGGAATTGGATTGAGATGAAGCCGACAGATTTAATTGGGTCAGTGCACGGCGTCTTCGCACAGCAAGCGACACACAGTGACGTCAGGGGTTATTTATAGCAGACACTAACAAAACATAGGGTTGACATATGTGAGATAATGGTGGTCTGTGTGACTACAAGTGCAGATGTGAATGTGGAGAGATGATGTTCTCTGTCTAATACAGTCTATCTGTCTTCACTGTGGAACTTGTCTCCTATCTCTTTTACTGACTGACCAACATAGATACATGGAGACTTGAACTGTCTCATTATCCTGAGAGCTGTCTTCTGAGTGATTGCTAAGGGTGGAGGGTAAATAAATGAGATGACGACTTATTCTGAGTTCCTTCTTGACACAGGATGATATCTCCTTGGAGGCCAGGCAGTCAATCAGCAGTCCACAAAATCACCAACTACCAAACCATCACCATGGCAGACAGCAAAGTGGAAGCCAGAGTGTAGGCATCAGCTTACAGGCCACCCATTTGTCTTTAATCAGAGAGTACCCTCTTCAAGAGCTTGTTTGGGCTCGAGTGACTGAGAGGCAGTTGTTCCAGGCCACCCGGGCAAACATTATACCAGAGTACCCTCTTCAGGAGCTTGTTTGGGCTCCAGTGATTGAACTCTGTTTGTGACTGTTTTTACCAGATCAACCATCGAATTGAACATTCCCAAAAGTGTCAGCCTGTTCAAGTAATCATGAACTGATGAGTGCAGTGACGCCAATTTGGACTAGATAAGTAGAGAGACTCTGTGGTTTGATGCCTTGTTCCACTCTGAGTCACCGTGATGAAATCAGGCTGTCTCTAGGAATCTCTTCGAGGGTCCGTCAATGTTGCTTTGGTTTTGATCTCTCATTATTCCAGTTGTTCTTGAATATCTTTACTTGAGTCTTTTATGATATATATGTTGCATTTATTACATGTCTTTGGAAGTTTTCTTTATTGACTTGAGTGTCCATCATTCACTGTTCAAAACTGTCTAGAGTATATGTATGTATAATCAGTAATCTTAATCTGTGTTAACATGGCTGTGATATTACATTATCATAGCCTGGTGGCTATTTTCTTGTAGTAGTGGGGACGTCCAGCCAAGTTGCACCTAGGAATATTATATATTCTGTAGTGCCATGGCTTGAGTTGCCCTACTCCTAAAATAGGTTGGGTGTATATTGGCCACGGGATACCCTTTAGACCAATACGAGCCGACACCTCATCATTATACTATTTCAGAGTGCTGTTGGTTCTTAAGGAGAAATCCTTAAACAGGCACGCGACACGAGCAGTATGTGACAACGTGGTCATCATCATGCCAGCAGTCTTTACTTCCCAGGATATCAGAAAAAGTACTTTTACGACGGCTATATCAGCTTTGATCAGTGGAGCATGATTTTATGTTAGTAACTGAGATTTGAATTTCACTTTGATGATCAGAACTATTAAAATCGAGGGGGACTGGTTTTAGAGACATGTTGTGAATATGTGCATGGAAACAATCTGCTAACTTCCTACCAGTTTTCTCAGTACATACCATTTTGCATTATTTGTGTGTGTGTGCGCATGCGCATGCGTGTGTGTGTGTGTGTGTGTGTAGGTGAGGGACACGCGCACAGAGGATGGCATCCATCTCTAGACTTGAGTCTTGTTCTAAAACCTGAGTGTTGCATGCATGTCCATTTTACAAATCTGACTTAGTGGTATGCAGACTGTTGGTTCCTTGCCTCTCTGGCAGATGCACACTAACTGCAAAGGAAGCCCCCCAGTTAGTCAACTCTTGCAACATGCTTGTTGGGGAGGCAGTGGGTCTGTTCTTACTTTCCTCTAACAATGCAGCCCCAGAACTCTCACAGGAATGAATAACACTATGACATTCCAAATTAAATACGTCCTTAATTTAAAATAAATTCTTCAGGATGTGGACTGAAGGATTTTGGTCATAGATAGGCATGTTTTGCACTAAGTAGGCATATCGTTGAAAGCGTTTAAAAACTAACTAGCCAGTAAATGCTAAGAGAGTGCTTGGTATTTAAGAAATTAAATAGGGATTTGAACACCAGACCAACAAGAAACATGCTGGCCACTGCACTACTATGACTTGCTAGTATATATATGGGAAAGCGTCTACTTCTATAAACTCATATTTACGCATATAAGCTGTATAAGATAGGTAGAGCTGAAAAATATGGTTACATATGATACTTACTAAGTACAGGCTTGAACCCACGATACTGGGCTTGTTTGTTTTGGAAGGTATTCAGGCATATCACTCTCTCCAGCAGGAAAAGATGATTTTTCAGCTGTTCTGACTGAAACATGAATAATGTTTGACTAAAGAAGAGCTTCAGTACTGTAAAATATATTACAGGGAAACATATAAGCTCTTCATCTGTTCAACTTTGTCAAGATATCTGATTGAAACAAATGAGCAAGATATAACCAAATATAAATGTTAGCAATGAAGAACATTTGATATAATATGATGAAACAGATGAGCTAAACATATGCTTACACTTTATCAAAATGCATTTACAAAAGTAAGTATGATATTTAAACTTGTAGAGTTTCTATTACGTCTTCAATTTTTTTTTTTTTTTTTTTTAATTAATTTTATATTTTCACACAATGTAAAACAAAGAATATGTTCTTCTTCTCATTAGTATTCACCGATTCTATTCCTGTGAAAAGTTCTGGTTGACCATCCACTTCTGGACTTTGGTCCTTTTTTACACAGGATGTGTGCACATTCATGTTGTTGGAGATGCTTTTTAATAACATGCTTGTTAAAGGACAGTGGGTCTATTCTTCCCCCTCCCCCAAATGGATCCCATGAACCCACAAGGACAAGAGATGGTGTTTAACACACATGAAAATTAATTTAATTGAATGAAGACAATAGCACAATGTTTATATAAACATAATTTCAGTGGTTCTATTCCAGCAGAAGGAGATGTTGGTCTTGTACCATGTGCATGCATATCTGTTCTACTGATTTGGATTTTTTGTGTGCAGACTGTTGGGTCCTTGCTTCTGAGGCAGATACACTCACTTCAAAGGAAAAATCCCTATTTAGTCGGCTTTTATAATATACAAGTACCTATTAGGGGACAGTGGGTCTCTTCTGTTTTCATCCAACATGGGACCCTAAAACCTACACTGGTATTTGTTTCTACCATTTTTCCCTGAAGGAAAATTGAAAACAGTTTTCGCTTCTCAAGAACCCCCTGCATGAAAATCATTTAAACAGTGTTAAAGGCAAGAGGATTGATGTCTCTTTGAACCAGGTATTATCCCACATGGCTCAGTCTCCCTGTGCAAAGTGGCAGCTGAACACCTGTAAGAGCACTGCATGAAGCAAAATTCTCTAGCTCCAGCAATGATGCCACCTCCCCTGTCCCTCCCCCCCCACCCCCCAATCTTCCCTCCTCTAGAGATCTCCATATTTTGCATTCATGAACCCAAGGATGGATCAAAAAGCAAACCCACAGCCTTCAAAGCACAGTACAAATACCTTAACCAAATTATCATTATGACCTCAAGTGTGCTTTTTTAAAGACTAACCCACCCTGTTTGGAACAGAAAGAGTTGATGTATCATACAATAAACAATGTAAAGTACATTTACTGAATGACTCATCAACAATATGTATGTATGTATCTATGTAAGTTGTACCCCACCAGGACATTACACAAAGCGATAAACACCCAATGACACAATGTGCCACCATGCGGATGAGGATCACCCGTGGAGAGGTCTCAGAAAAATCATTCAGTCATTAGACTATATTTATGACCTGGTTATAATTAGGGCCCCTGGCAAAAGCTAGGGTGGGGCTTCAAATATTGAAAAATTGCATTCCACATGGGGACAGCATAATCTTTTGTACACATTAACAGTTGTCAAAGTAATAATCTAAAGTAACTGCTGTGTTCTGCTATGAAGAGAACAACCTTTTTGCATATTTGTTCCTGATGGGAAACTAATTAGGTTGTTAGTTTGTGATCCATTTCTCTTTTCTTTCTCTTAAAGTCCTTGCTATCTGATGTTTGTCATCATGTTTGGTGTATGTCTATAGCCTTAAAAACCTGTGTACTGCTAATAATTTTTTTATGCAGATGTCCCTCTGTGACTTGATATCAAACTCTCTGACATTTTCTCTTTTAGTCTATCTCATTCTCTCCTTCTCTCAAACCTGCTTGTTGGCACATTTCCATTTTTCCCTTTCTCATGATTTGCCATGAGTCTCTGTTGCTTAGAGGTTAGTGATTGTGAATAACAATGTTATATTCCTCAGGTAGAAGAGGGGTTGGGGGGGGGGGGGGGGCGAACAGCCTCTGTGGTGTAGTGACTAGACACACATCTGTGGATCCAGAAGGTCTTGTGTTTGGATCCTGAGAGTGACAGACTTTTTTTTTTTAATTTTTTGCTCTCAGGTCAACCTAGCCTTGAGTGAGTACCAGGTCAAGTGCTGAAATGTAAAGGCTGCTGGCGTTATGCTGACCATATCACCCACCAAGTGGTGATTATTCTAAAAAAAATGATTAGTCTAAAAAAATATAGGTCTAGCCCTATATAAGAGTTGCACTGTGGAAAAGATGGGACCTCACCATGTAATATTCCCAAAGACAGCAGTGTGTGCATTGTAGCTACTTCATTAAAAATCTTCCTGTTTGTGTTTTGGGGCCCCATTGTGAGGAAAATAAGAACAGACCCACTGCCTTCCCAGCAAGCATGTTGTAGGAGTCGACTAACTGGGGGCATCTTTCAAGTCAGATGGCATCTGACCAGGTGGCAAGGAAAAACCAACTACACACAAATAAGACAGTAAAAAAGGGATGTGTAAGTAAAACTAAATTCAAATGGATGAACAACCTGGACCTTCTGCTAGAGCTTACAGTCAGTGAACAAAGAAGAGGAAGAAGATAACAATAATAATAATTACCCTTATAGAGCCTACATATTTAAGCACATAAACATGTTTCACTATTTTCTTTTCAGGGTTTCAAAGTGAGAATAATAAGATTAGACCCACTGTGCTCTAACAAGCTTGTCATGAAAGGGCAAATAATTGGGAGTGTTTTGTCTGAAATAGAGCATCTACCTGAGAGGTATAGAACCAACAGTCTGCATATAAATAATCCATGACACTATGCAGATGTGCATGCAAAACTCAAGATCTGAAACAAGATCAAAGTTCAGAATTGGATTAATTTTCCATTGGAGTTTACCGCCGGTAAAATTAAGGAGGTAGAACAGTACTGAATGAGATTTTTTACTTCTTTGTAAGTTCCTCCCATTCTCGTGCAAGTTTTCCTCTTTTTTTTCACTTATTTTTTTTTTCAAGAACAAAATGATAGAGAACAATACTGACCGAAAATTTGTTTAATTGTAAAATTTACCTTTGACAGTTCTTCCCATTCCTGAGCAAGTTTATCTTTTTCACTGAGTTCTATAGCTGTGTCCAGTGAAGACTGAATTTCAGATCCAACAATAGTTGATGAACTGCCTGGGGTTTTGACACCTGGGTAAGATAATATTTTCTTTCATTATAAATAAGTTTGCCTGTATTTTATGTGACATCAATTTTTCAGTTTCTTTTGTTATGTCTTGAGAAGGGGAAACCTAGAGTATGTAATGACAATAGGAAAGTTAGAGGAGAGGCAGTGGAAGACCAAAAGAAAATGTGCTCAACAGTTTAGCATCATGGGATGGTAGATGGTAGTCCAAAGGAACTGATGGTACGTGCTACAGAAAGCTTCTGGATTTTCTTCTTATTCCAGAACTTGGGTTTTGCATACATATCCATTTTACAGATATGGCTTATTTGTACACAAACTATTGTTTTTCTTCTTTCACACAGACACACTCAGACTTCGAAGGAAACACTCCCAGTTAGTTGCCTTTTGCTACAGATTGTTAGAGTGATAGTGAGTCTGTTGATGATGATGATGGATCAAATAACAAACACAAAAGCAATTATAAACACACTGGACCATAATGCAGTGTTTAGAATACAACGCACATTTAAGGAAAAGATGTGACTGGTCGGTTATACTGTGTCACACTTTACCACACTTTTCACAGTTGTGCTCTCTCTCTCTTTGTCCTCTCCGATTACCATTCATTGTCTTCTATGGTTGCACTTTGCAGGTACATATTCCTTCTTCTATGAGGTGAAGTCAATAAGTAAGTCACAAAAGGTTGTTTTTAAAAAAAAACACTTATGATGATAACTCAAAAGGGTGCATTTTTACACTTTATTTTGCAACATAATTTCCACCAACATTGATGCACTTGTCCATTAATTTTATCAGCCCTCACAAACCTGCTGCATAGAACTGCGTGCTCTGTTTTATAAACCACTTTTCGGCTCTCCTGTCAAATCCGGACGAAGAATAAAAAGCCTTGGACGACTTAATCAGAGTTCTCTCCCTTGGCCGCACTGCGAACAGTGATCGGAAAAGCCAACGAAACAAACGACACACTTACCTATCATCATACGGTTGCGTGTAGGGCTGCGTACGGTTGCGTAAGGCATCGTGAAGGGATGCGTGGTCATCATATGGTTGCGTGCAGGGTTGCGTACGGTTGCGTAAGGCATCGTGAAGGGATGAGTGGTCATCATATGGTTGCATGCAGGGTTGCGTACGGTTGCGTGAGGCATCGTGAATGGTTGTGTAGTCATCATGCAGTTGTTGGGTTAGAGTTAGGGGTAGGGTTAGGGGTAGGGTTAGGGGTAGGGGTAGGGTTAGGGGTAGGGTTAGGGTTAGGGTTAGGGGTAGGGTTAGGGTTAGGGTTAGGGGTAGGGTTAGGGGTAGGATTAGGGGTAGGGTTAGGGTTAGGGTTAGGGTTAGATGTGAAAATTTTGACGTAGGGTTTCGAAATACTGGCCGACAATCTGATGTTTGTGGGCGTGGCGCCACTGAAATTCTGCTAAATATGACGCCAATAGTGTGCGGCTGGTGCCCAATCGTTGGCGAATTGTGCGTTTGACCAGCATCCAGAGGCCCTCAATTGTTTGTGTGTGTATGTGACTGTGTACGGCGTCAACGAAGTTGGTCTGGTGGACTACTACCTCGTGCAGATAGATGCCATGCCGTAAGTTTGCCACGTTGCTGTAGCCTCGCCAAGCGTCAGTCACGATAGTCGTTCCCGGCAACTAAGTCGTGCGTCGGAAGAACGATGTTAGTTATGTGAGTGCGTCTATCTGTCATGTTGCTTGAGAGAACTCTGACTAAGTCGTCCAAGGCTTTTTATTCTTCGTCCGGATTTGACAGGAGTACCCCACTTTTCACTTCGCATTCAACTTCTGCGTCATTTGCAAAATGTCTCCTGCCAAGGTGGGTTTCAAAAAGGTGGAAATGGCTAGGTGCCAAGTCAGGGCTGTAAGGTTGATGTTACAGAAATGCCCACCCTAGATGGACAATTTTCTCCTAAGTTAACAAAGTCGTATGTGGTCTGGCATTGTCATGAAGGAGCAGTACTTCTTTAGTCAGCAGGCTTGGACGTTTTCATTGAATTGCACCATGAAGCGTTCTTGAGAAAAAATTATTCCCAGCTATGCACCACTTTATGGGATAAACATTTGTCAACATAAACAGGAAGCATTTCCTTATGAATGTCCTTTGCATGCAGCCCTTTTGCCCCCCACCCCCTCCCACCTCACCCCCCAAAAAAAACGCACAACACCACGTTGTTCTTTAAGGGTACACCATAAGTACTGTCGCCATTTTGTTTCTGTCTTGTAAATGCGCATGCAACACCTAGCACCATCTAACAAACAGAGACATAAAGTTCTATGTTTCTGTCACCTAATAAAACGTTTAGAAACTACAAGCTACATTTCCCTAGGATCCCATAAGCATTTGTGACTTACTTTTTGACTTCCCCTTGCATATCTTACCTTTCTCTCCATACACGCTGCTTTTTCTGGACTTGCTATTACTGCTAACCAAAGCTGTATGTTGGTGATAGACAACAATTCATTAAGTCGGGTGTTAACAAAGTATCTACGAACTAGGTATGTATCTGTGTTTGTGCATACATACAGATGTATTTGTAAGAATGTGCATTACTGCATATATATATATATATATATATATATATATATATATATATATATATATATATATATATATATATATATATATATATATATATATATATATATATATATATATATATATATATATATATATATATATACTAGCTGTACCTGGTTACACGTTGCTGTGGCATATTTTGGCTAAATGTAAAAGAAAGAAAATAGAAATCGCACATGTCTCATATGGTTAATGTTGCAATCATTGTCTGCGCAGATATAGAGATAGTCTTCGCCCCCCCCCCCCCTCCCCCCAAATCCATAGATTACTCTCTAACTCATCCAAGGTTTTTTAAAAAGAAAGAAAATAGAAATCACACGCGTCTTATATGATTTTTAGATATAAATATATAAAACCAGCTTGCAGACAACTAATACTATATAATTTACATTACAGTTCCAAATTTTGTTGAGATTTTTAACATTTAGTATTTTATAGCCAAAATGTATTGTAATTTCTTTCTTTATGTTTACTTGGCAACCATAATAGCCACCTAAATAGGTAAACAGATCTATTACTTTTATTACTTGAAATATTTTTTAAATAATTACATGGGATACACAGGATGAACCGACCTAAAATGGGTACAAGAAAATGTCCTGGGTGGGCAGTAAAAACAAATGGTGTGACATCGACCTCATGCATCATAGCATCACTGGTCTATAACCATATGGATCTAGAACCATACGCCAGATGTACCAATTGTGTGAAAAAGTTATATTTACTTAGTTTTACACACATTTTTACACTAACTGTATGGTACAGAAACCTGGACAATGAACAAGCAATTAGAAAACTGTATTCTCTGGAAATGTGAAAATACAGAAGAACAGATCACATTTCACAGAAACAAAACCAATCAAATACAGAGGTTTTAGAGAGACTGTGAATGAAAATAGCATTGCAGGTAGAAAGACAAGTGAAATATTGTGGTCACATTAAAAAACATAGCATCATATGTGCATCATATATGTCAGAAAGAGAGTGCTACAATGTTACACAGAACCTGTTCTGCTGTATGGCAGCAAATTTTGGAATGTCAGTCAACAAATTAGGAAGAATTTGGAAGCAACAGAGATGTGGTTTCTGAGATGAATGTTACGAATACCTTGAACAGCCAGAGTAACTAGCAACGATTATTTGAAAGAAGCTAATGAAAGTAGATTTCTATTTACAACAATAAGAAAGAGACAAACACTGTTCTTTGGCCACATAATGAGAAGAGAGACATTGAAGAACATCGTGATAACTTGAAAGAAAACTGGAAAGAGGGGTAGAGACAGACCAAGAGAGATGATGCTGGATGGGCTGAAACGATGGCATGGGGGGACATCATCAAGAGAGCTGTTCCAGGCAACCAGGGATTGTGATCTGTGCAGACGCATGTGAGCCTACCCCAGTTGGCAGGGCACATGAAGATAATTAAAAAAATAAAAAATAAAAGTAAAGATCCCTTTTCAGGCCTAAGGCGCATCGGGTATATGGGAAGAGCGTCCCATATTTTACAGACTAATCGGCACTGGATGGGTAATGTGGCCGGCCATCTTTACTTTCCAAGGACAGCCATCCTGGTACCCATTTTAGGCTGAGTCGACCTGCGATGCCCCATACCATGATAAAAATCCACGCAGCTAGCAGTGGGTTTCTATCGCGGTACGTTGGATTACGAGTCGGACTCGCAACGCCTAAGCCACAGACCCCGCATGATGATGATAAGCATCATATTGAAAACCATACTGGAGAAAAAAGGATGAAGGCATGATGGCAAGAGATAGACGGTGATACAAGTGGGAGGACAACATCAAGAGATGGACAACCAGCAACCTTAGAGAATGTATAACCAAGACAAATTATAGGGCATGTTGGAGATCCATTGCAGCCAAACTTCATTGATTTACACTTACATTGCTAAAGAATCTTATTTCTTTTTCTTTGTGTTAACCAGCTGTAAAACAGAAAGTTCTGATTGTTCATCCACCTCCAGACTTTAGTTTTGTTCCAGAACCTGAGTGCTGTGTGCACATCCGTTTCACACATCTGGCTTATTTGTATGCAGATTCTTGATTTCTTGTGTCTCAGGCAGATGTACTCCGACTTTGAAGGATGTGCCCAATTGTCGACTCATATAACATGTTTGTTGGGGAGGTAGTGGGTCTTGTTTTCAACACAATGGGGCCCTAGAAGCCACAAAGGAAGAATCCAATTTAAAGATAGTTTTTAACACTAAAATCTTCAGCAGGGAAACTTGTGAGAAAGAATCAAATATAAGTAGACACGGGAGTCGCCGTGGCAGAGCGGCTAGACGTGCGCCGCGGCTCAGAAGGTCGCGGGTTCGCTCTTTGGCGGAGCCGGACTTTTCTTCAAAAATGACCTTGGCTTTCAGGTCGACCCAGCCTTGAGTGGGTACCGGGTGCAGACCCGGGAAGTAGAGGCGGCCAGCGTGATGTTGACCACATCACCCATCTTGTGCCATTGGTCTATAAAATATAGGTCTAGCTCTATATGCCCTATATGCCTAAAGACGTTGAAAGGGGTCTTTAACTTTTTTTCACTTATAAGTAGACACATACTAAGCAACTTCAAACTTACACTGTTGAAAGGCTGAACCACCTCTGCTAACAGCATGTACAGCTGACTCTCTTTTTGCACTGATTGCTGATGGAACATTATCTACTGTTTCAGCCTCCTCTTCTTTAGGACTAGTTGGTCTGCTTATTGTGCCCTCCTCATCTTCATCATCGTCCTCTTCTAAATAATCAACATAAAATAATGCAGCAAGTTATGTTCTGAATAAATACAAACAGGGTTTCATTTTTTTTGGGTCTTATTTAAGCCTGGTTTTGTTAGAAATAAAGAATTTGTTATGTTTATGTTTACTCAATTAAAATACTTTAATCCCTGTTTTCACCAGAAACTGTTCTGAAGAAGAGCTGCCAGTACTGACTGTGTGTTAGTACTGGAGAATACAGTAGCTACTGAAGCACACTTGCTGGCTAGGTGTTTTGAAGGTTTAAACCCCAGTTATTATTCAACTGATCGGGTCAACCAGGGCTACACAGCCTGAAATAAGCACCAAGGAATGGTCTGAGAAGTAAAGGCACCCAAAACGATAATGGCCGTAAGGCCCAATGGTTTTCAACCTGGGAGGTGCGCTTCCCCTCCTCCACCAAGACCGTAAATAAATTAATACTGATGAATAAAACAATCTTAGGTGACTATAAGGTTGTTTGGATTTAGAATCAGGGGATTTGGCAAAAAAGGACGCAAAAGAGGTAAAGGTGATGTGTTTGCAACCAGTGGGCTACTGAAATGATCAGCACACCCACTTTATGACATTTGCTGTATGTGTGACATTCAACCCCCACCAGGACTGTACAACGAGCGAGCAACACCCAGTGACACAAAGTCTGGTAGTCTGGTAGTCTGGTAGTCTTAGTTTCAGCTTCATAGCAAACGGGTCACCCCATCTTTGCTCCGCTCCTTTGCCAGCGAAAAACACACAGAATGTTTATCACAGTCCCTTGTGGAAAGTTCGACAGACTGCTGACTCAGCATATCTAGCATACACTTGCATTAAAGCATATGGTAGCCATCCAAAGTGCTAACACAAACAGTCCGACATTAGAAATGCAGTTCATCATTGATGGTAGCAGAAGTCACCAACAGATCTGCAGTTGCCCATGCGATCAATTTTAATCACATACGGGCACCACCAAAATTGCGACGACAGGCATTGCGCCATTTTCTGAATCTACAATTCACACACCATTACGTTGGTCAGTTGAAAAAAAATTCCAAATGGAATCCGCAGCTCACAGTGTCACGCCATGTATTCAACTCAGAAGCTTGGCGACGAAACTATATCCAGAAGCAAACAATTTGCCTCGGCTTTAAACAGTGGCCTGCCTAGTGTCCATTTTGACCGGTGACACAGTGCCACCATTCAGATGAGGATCACCGATGCTCAAGTCCCAGAAACTCAATTCCACCATCAGGTTATATTAGGGTCTTCCGACTACAGCCAGGGTGGGGCTTTAAAATAATGAAAAACTGTGTCTCATACTGGGATAGGAATTGATACGACATTTGCTGCAGGAGATAAAGCATTTATTGGTACACCCAGTGTGTTATTCTGTCGACTCTTAAATTAATATCGGTAATCCCTAAACTGCCATTACAGCCTGTATCTACCACTTTTGCAGGGTAGGGGTTGAGGGATTGAGGGTCTCTGAGCCTGAGAATTTAGTGCCGCACAGCTAGTGCTGTCACCATGGACTGTATAGGTGAGGATTTAATTTTTTCCCTGACAGAAAACTTTTAATTTAGTAAGACTTCTTTCCATGGCAAATGGTCATCCGGCTTCCCTTGCGATTTGAAGGTGTGTTCATTTTGCTCTTGTACTGTTCAGTTCATGAGTGCAATTTTTATGGAGACCTATGGGGATTGTCACTGAAGCTTCAGTGTTTGTGCTTTGTGTTATGCTCTCGGCAGCCAGCTAGCCATTTTCCAGACAGAGACCAAGCCATATGAGATAAAACCCAGTGCAATTAAATAAATCCTCTTAATTTTAACATTTAGAGACTTCTTTATTTTTTGTTCTGTACAATTGTGCAAAGTAATACTTGTAATTTTCATCCCTTTTTGTTTTTGTTCACTATTGTAACTGCTACTGTAATTGTTCACAGTAAAAATTGAAATGTCTGAAAAAAATGTTAAACGCTGAAACAAAACATGATTATTTTTTAGATAAAAGAATCAACGTGGAATAACCAGTACAAAATTAAAGCTTTTCAACATTATAAAAATATATTGAACAAATTCAATTAAAAATCTATAATTATAAAACAAAAAGACCTTTTTCATCTGAAAGTTCACTGAAGCCCTCATCTTTTACACTTTCTTCTTCATGCGTTGCTGTAGTTGTATTAAAATCATCATTTATAGTATGCAGAAGTAAAAAAAACATTAAATGGTCATATCACGCTAATGATACATTAGGCAAACAAGTTTATAGACATCACACCAGCTACCTTTACTTCCCACGGCACTTCCCGGTACCCATTTTAACCTGGGTTTACCAGTTCATTATCATCACCAAATAGGTCCTAACAGAATGTTTCTCTCTTCACGACATACCTGAAAGTCTCTCTTTCTCTAGCCAATTCTCCAGCCCTATGTGCTTTCATAGCCAATGCATCTTCATCGTCATGTATTATTATTAGTAGTAGTAGTACATTTTAGTGACATAATGTGCCACCATGCGGATGAGGATCACCAGTGGAGAGGTCCGGAAAACCGCGTTCAGCCACCAGACCATATCTATGGCTGGGCTGTATTGCGGCCCCTGGCAAGAGCCAGGGTGGGGCTTCAAAATATCGAAAAATTGCATCCCACAGGGGGATGACTAGAATAATGTAAGTATGTCATCTATCCATCCACATTTGAAGTTCTCGACCCCTGCCTCTTTTTCTAGAAACTGTACCCTCCTATACCGTTTTCTTTTCCAAGCTATCATGTCACTGAACATGACTAAAGTACCTCAGCTTTCAGGACAGGATGTGTGGCGCGGTGATTTATGTCACAGGCGTGAGGGAAAGTTAAGTCCAACATGATGGGTATAAGGAGATACTCCGTACGTCACTCGGGCGCCAGTCCTTCACTGTTCTGGTTGTACGGAACCTCACGCAAGACCCCTGCAGCACGTCCTCATCGTGCGCTACGGATAATGTCTCAAGTGAGCATTAACAGAGCTGTCAGGGGATCTCGGAGTTTGGCGGCCCTCAGAGGTGATGTGTCCTTGTGGCTCTCATCAGCCCGCCCCCAAACGCATGGGTGAAAAAGGTTATCAAAACTCATTAGGAACATGAGTAAAGTGCTTGCCGAATGTACAACTAAAATTACAACCCTTGGTTAAAAGAATGGGGAGTGAAGAGAACATTGTTCTGCTGAGACTCAACCCTTGACCTAGAGATTTACCCGCAGCACAGACGAGTAACATCTCCTGTGGGTGGCGTCTCGCAGCAAGATTCTACCCATGTACATCCTCTGTTAACCCTCAGTGTTGTCGTCACCGCGCTGAGGTACACCAAGACAGCAACCATCCATCGGCTGGCTAAGCCTAAATGTCCAACAAAACTAGAACCCACGTAACACGAGTAAGCTCAAAATCTTATCATCACAAATCGTATTGAATGGAAAAAGTCCAAATGTCCACACCAAAAGACCCCACTCTCCCTAGTGCTGGGACCAAACAGATAACGATATGCCTGACGCAGAATGTTGAATTTTGTCGGGCTAACGGCTCGTCAAAGATACCTAACGTGCGAAGAAAAAGAATGTACCTATTTGGGTGGTCACAAAAGTCCAGAATTTGCGGGCTGCTCCCCGCTGACTTCCAGAGGGCGCAGCCCTTGTCGAGCGGGAGGCCTAATACGGTTGTGAGGTCAAGCAGGCATGTGCAGGACGTGACGATTCCTTGGGTGAGCCCAGAACCAGAGCGCCATGTGCCGGCTCTGCAAAAATGGAAGCCTCCTTGGATGGCAGGGAATGCCCATGATCTGGCCCTGCCTTCCCTTGAGGGCCAACCGTTCCACAGGGGGCTGCCCCAAAGGGGTACTCCGGGGCAATACCTGCAGGGAAGGAGACAAAGTGGACACCACACAAATCAGGTAACGTCTCGACCCACACAAAACAATGGCCACAGTCATCCTAGAAATCGGTCTGACGTCTTCCCCCGAAGTCGGAGTACAGCTGCCCATGAGGCAGGGAACAACAAAACGGTTGTACACGCAAAACTCAGGTCCAGGTAAAAGACAAAAGTCCAAGCGGACGATTAACCGGGACCTTCCACCGGAATTCACAGCCGGTGAACGAAGAAGAAGAAGGACAGGATGTTTTCTACATGGGCATTACATAATAAAAGTCCACCTGGGTGCAGATTAAGGCCCAAGTACTACTTCAGGCCACCCTGCATCTTGGTGTTTCGATATTCAGATTCTCAATAGATGGCCAAACCATTTCATTCTTTGTTTCTCAATAAATTTGATGATGGGTGTTGTTCCAACAGTTCTTGTATGGTTAAGCATACATTCTCCTAATCTGTGTATTTAATGCAGAGTGTTGTTTCCACAGTCTGCGTCACAGTATCGTTTCTCAATCAGCCTTAAAAAGTTAAATTGGTAGATTTCTTCATCACACAAGTGTTTTTTTTTTTAAAATGTTTGTTTTTGAGTGTGTTTAAGTTTGGATTCATGTTAAAAATCTTAAAATTTCACTTCTCAAGTGTTATTTCACAGATTAAGTTGAGTTGAGTTCAGTTAAGAACCGAAATTACAGCACTCTGGACATCTCCATAAGTGCTCCGTCCTCATCTTCAGAAGGCAGTGAAGAGTTCCAGTTCCAATTGTATGGTGCTAGTAGCAGTTTATGCTAATTAAATTATAAAATAAAGGGCCCTTTACCACTCTTTCAGGCGTATTGGGCATATAGGGCTAGCCCTATATTTATAGATTAGTAGGCAGTAGGCAATAGGTAGATGATGTGGTCAGCACCCAATCCCAGAATGTATTGGCTGTTTGTGGTTTTACTAGGTAATATTATGTTCTGTGTCTGAGATTGCCTCTACATGGTTGATGCCCTAAATCAGTGGTTCTCAACCTTTCTAATGCCCTGACCCTTTAATACAGTTCCTCATGGCGACCACCAACCGTACTTTTGATTATCGTTGCTACTTCATAACTTTAAATGAATATGTGTTTTCCGATGGTCTTAGGTGACCCATGTGAAAGGGTCATTCAACCCACATAAAAAAGGGTTGTGACCCACAGGTTGAGAACGGATGCTCTATACCATTGTTGAAATCCATGCAGAGCAGTCTACTTCTGAATCATCCGCAGCTGAATCAAACCAGGTATTGTGAAATTATAAACCGCATTTGTAATCCCTCAGCCACAGATGCCAAAATTTGAATACATACACACAAGTAAATTTTATCTCAGAATGTTTTAACTTATCTAACAAAGGCAGCCTATCAATGAATACACATGTAAAAATAGGCAATAAGCAAGTAGAAATTTACCTGTTTCCTCTTTTTCAAACACTTTAAATGTATCATACATGTCCCAGTTTGTACATTCTGCTGCCACTTCCTGCAAATGCAATCATGAAAACAAATATATTATGTTATGTTTATATGTTAATACACTAGATATTTATCAAATATATACTACACTCAAAAACACACAAAAAAAGAGTAGTTATACAAGTGTAGCATGTGTCAAAAAAAAAATCAACCATGAATCAAGAATAAGATCAGCAGTTTTGATTTACTTCAATTACAAGATAGATACTAAATCTGCAAGAGTCATGAATAACAGTGCACCACATCTACAGAAAGTAAATCACTTATTAGGATTGAGAGTAAAGCTGATATTCTATACATAAATTGTCTTAGTTATATTCTACATGAAGTTGCTACAGTTATTTTGTAAATGTACTTGTTTTGATAGATTTCAAATGTTTACTCCAGAATATATGTTTAAAAGGCACTCTCCTGCCTTTTGTACTTTCCTATTCAAGGAGTTCCTTATATCCTGTGCCCATCTTCATGTTGGTCCGTCCCTGCTCCTCCTTTCTAGTACTATGCCTTCTGCTATTTTTTTTTCCAGTCTGCCATAACGCTTGAAATAACCAAAATATTTCAGCTCCCGAGACAAGATGCTATAGACAAGCAACTATTTAATAGCCAAACTTCCTTGATGTTCAAATCTTTTAAAATGTCAGTATTTCTTCTCTTCTCTGTGCATGGTATTCTGAGAATCTTTCTGAATAATTTCAGCTCCAAAGTCCCTATTTGCTTTCTTAAGGTCTGGGACATAGTCCACGACTCACATCCCTATGTTGCTACAGGGAAGATGCATGCTCTCAAAATTTTTTATTTTTGTTATCCTTGCTGACACTTAACCATATATTTTTTAAATGCTTTTAATCTTCACAAAACATTGAATTTAAAAAAATGTCTTTATCTGTTTTTCCAGACCATCTATCTTTGGAAGTAAACTCTTCTTAACTCTTAATTACCATAATATTCTGCCAGACACTGAAAGATAACAACAGTTACAATAAACAGAAATGAAGTTTGAGAGCTAAACTGTCACAGATGCAATACAAATACTGAGTTTGCTATTTGGAGAAAAAAAAAAGTAGCCATATTCCTACAATATGATTAGGTTAAACACAAGATCAAACTGTTTGTTGTTTGGTATACATAAACAATACCTGATTACACATGGTGCTTTGGTTGGGACTGAAAGAGTCCATATCATGTGGTGTTGGTGATCATGTCTGTCCACAGCCTTCTGTTCCATGTTCTGACAATCAATTTTTGATACAGATGTCTCTACATGACAGGATACCAATCTGTCCAACATCTTCACTCTTGCTCTCCTTCTGCCTCTCTTCTCCTTCAGCTTTCTCACTGGCATACCTAACTCCAGAATTGTTCTATTCTCATGATATGCCAAAAGAATGTTAAGTGTCCTTGTTTGCAGCAGTTCTCATTATTAAATCTTCTTCTTCTGCTGCTGCTGCTCTTCTTCTTCTTCCTCTTCCTCTTCTTCTTCCTCTTCATCTTCTTCTTCCTCTTCCTCTTCTTTTTCTTCTTCCTCCTCTTCTTCTTCTTCTTCCTCTTCTTCTTCCTCTTCCTCTTCTTCTACTTCTTCTTCTTCCTCCTCTTCTTCTTCCTCTTCCTCTTCTTCTACTATTTCTTCTTCCTCCTCTTCTTTTTCTTCTTCTTCTTCTTCTTCTTCTTCTTCTTATTATTATTATTATTTTACTTTTTCTTCTTCTTCATCTTATTTGTATTAACTTGCTGTAAACTCTGGTAAGCTCTGGCTGTTCATCCACTTATGGACTTTAGTCTTGGTTAGAACTTGAATTTTGCACACACATCCAGTTTACATATCTGATTTATTTGTATGCAGACTATTGGTTCCTCGCCCCTCAGGAAGACGTACTCCAACTTCAAGGGAAACACACCTTAGTCGACTCTTACAACATACTTATTAGGGGGACTGTAGGTCTTTACTTTTTCCCCCTAAAATGGGACTCAGAACCAACTCATGGATTGGTATCATATAATTTCTTTCAAGACATTCTCATTAGTTTTTTTTTTAACCTGTCCTTGGTGTCTCATTGTTCTCCTATTGATTTCTATCTCTGAAGCATTCACAGAATTTCTAATCTACTGATATTCCTTGTTTTACTTTCATACACCAGGATTGGCTCTATGCAGCTTTTTCATAAATTTTTTCTCACTGTAAAAAACAATCTTCTTCTAGTGAACTCCGAACACTAATCTATAATATCATAATTGTTCACTACGCTAACATGGATTCTCATGTCGGGGAAAGAACAACTTAGTTAATTAAATTAATATATACAGTTAGGAAATCAACAAATGAACTTAATAGTTAAAACACAGACAACAGAGGGACCACTGGCTAAACAGATAAAATGCAGGATTATAATATGAGAGAGCTGTGTTAGAATCTTTGGTAAGGTTATCATCAACATTTGGGGGGAGTGGAGGGGGTGTAAAACATAAAAATCCTAACTGGCACAGTTTGTAATGACTACATTAGTTATGTGACCCTAGATCTTCTCAATATCTCCCTGTTCTCCAAAGTAATTACCACTGTGCGTATTGCCACTTGAAAAGTAATGCATTTGTGCTTTTACATCCTAGTTATTTCTTTATCTGGCATTCCCTGTGAAACCTTCTGGTACTTCAAGGAGTTTAGACATACAAAAAAAGCATGTTTATTTACCTGTGTTTCTATCTTTTGTGTATGAACACTCTTCAGCTTAAGAGGTTCATTGAAAGTGTTCATACCACGCTCTGCATACAGATCATTACCAACACGACTTTTCTGGAGCTGTTAAATAATGTAATATGTGAGGTTAACGAAGTAGATAGGATCTATATAAAACCTTCAAAAGGAGCACATTTAAAATGACACAACATATTATGTATGTAATTGTATTTCCTAAACTGTATTTATTTACATAAAAAATTATTTCATTGTTTACATTTAAATAATTGCAAAAAGGTTTTCTATAAATATGTTTATATTAAAAAAAAAATTTTTTATAAATTTTTTACAGAAAGTACATGCTTACAAGAAAATCAGCTGATCTACACTTCATATTCACTTCATATGCCTCTCCACAATCTGCGATCCCCAACTGCCTGTATCAGTTCAAGTTCATGATAAAAGGCTGTTAAGCATCTTCCACGCTGTCTTCCTGTCTCTCTTTCCACAGATGTTCCTGTGGTTACAATATGTTCCAGTTTTCTTCTTCTCATAACATGACCAAAAAATTATGACTGTCTCTTTCTGATGTTTGTGATAAATTTTCTGACTTTTTTTTATTCTGGTTCCTTACCTCTCACATAGATGCACAATTTCTGTGTGGCAAACACCCCCAATAAATAGACTTTAACAAAATGCTTATTAGGGAGCCACTGTGTATGTTATATTCTTCCCTACAATAGGGCCCTGGAACCTATGTGGGGGTTGACCAGAATAAGCCCTGGTTCTTGTGCATCCCGCCTACCTATGGTTATGCACCTCTGCATCCTATAAGAGATAACAAGAGCATTGATACAAGACTGGCTACTTCATCCCATAGAAAATTCTACTGCAAAATCTAACCAATCATTACCAGTTCTACAAAGAGTTAGATGTGATTTGGTTGAGAGTTTATGCTTCATTGGGAGACAGACAGGCAGAAGATTTATCTGAAGAGAAAATGTGAAATTTCACCTCTGTATAAGCTCTAATTCCACTGATTACTTTCTCGGCTTCAGCACTCTCTGTGGACACTTTGGTGTCTGGCAAATCAAACATCCATATGGTGTCAGTTTCTGTCAGAGTTATGTCGACTATTTTATCCAAATCTGCCTCTGTTGGCACTTCCTGTATTTCCTGTCGCTTGTGGCGAACCTCTAAAATGTAAGATAATAATTTGTTTTTATTTTTAATTTTTAAAAAATTCAACAAGCTTAAGAATGTAGGTTTAACTATTTCCTAGGTATTTGTTACATTAACCCTTTCTATCATAAAAAAATCATTTAATTCTTGCCATCCTACAACCAGTTTATTTCTTACCCTAGCCACCCACATAATGTTTTTTTTTTAATGCAACTTCTTTGATCCAGACAATTTGTCTCTAAATCATGTGCTTTGATCAAAAAGTGTTTAGCCACATGAATGAATTTTTTTTTTTCTCCTTCTGTATTCACAATCAAAAGGATGTGTGGCAGGTTGTGTTATGGTTTACTTCTGGACATCTGCTGCAAAATCTTCAAGAAATGAAATAACTTTTGCAGTAGAAAATGAATGATTATATTTCTTTTCAAAGTAAATGAACTGCATTTGCTTTGAAATAGACAAGCAGAAAATACAATGCAAGGTCAATATTTTTCATAAAGGAATAGCTCATAAGGAGTAAGGTGGTTAGTATTTAGAAAATTAACCTAATTTTTCCAAATTTGTAACAATCATCCAATAAGGCCTGGTTAATCTAGGAACCACCTTAGTGGGACCAAACTAGAGCCGGCCATTACTAGACATCAATTCCAGTGCTACTGTGTAGTACAGTAAGTGAATGCTCGAACCCCAGCACTACCAGCCAACCTTTCCTTTGAACTAATCAAACTATTGTTATCATTACTGTGGTCTTAATCGTTTTATCTATTTTTCCCAGTTTGCGCCAGAGCGAACTGTTTCTTCACCTTCTTAAATTACCTTCTTTGTGAAGCACATTGTTGACATTACCTCTTCTATCATCTCTGTCGCATAACATTTTGATGAACTTAGTGTTCCTTATATTATAATTAATTGTCTAGTTGTTCCAGCTTTAGACAAACACACACTGTCCTCCTCCTCTCATTCTCTTTCTCTCTCTCTGTCTCTCTCTCTCTCTGTCTCTCTCTCTATATATATATGTGTGTGTGGGCTATCCTCCGAATAACGGTCGTAAATTATTGAGGCGGAAAATATACCCTAACAGGGCCTCAGTCATGTGTCAACTGTGCACTTCCAGGGACTATAACGCCACCACCAAATTGCGAAGTTTCGGCGACTTCCGCCAACGCCGAGAGTGTCCCCCACGCCGCACACGTGGCGTGGATTGGGGCTAAACTAGATGGCTAGGACTCACAAGCAAATAAAATGAAGGAAGCTGCAGGAGATGTGGTAGCTGCTGCTTGTGAGTTCTAGCCATCTAGTTTAGCCCCAATCCACGCCGCCTGAGCGGCGTGGGGGACACTCTTGGCGGTGGCAGAAGGTGCTGAAAGTTAGCAATTCGGCGGTGGCGGATGTCACCGGAAGCTCGCATTTTAAGACGACGGAACTGCGCAATTGACACGTGACTGAGGCCCTGTTAGGGTATATTTTCCACCTCGATAATTTATGACCATTATTCTGAGGATAGCCTGTGTGTGTGTGTGTGTGTGTGTATATATATATATATATATATATATATATATATATATATATATATATATATACATAACTATATGTTTATATTCAATCATTTCTATTGATCTGCCACATACATTGTACTGTCATTCATTTGTGGTTTTATATCAAAGATAAAATTAAAATATGCTTGTCTAACCTGAAAATGTAGTAACTTCTGCTGGTCCAAACTCATCAAGAGGAAGAGAGTCTGAGGCAGTATCATATGACTGCGTAAAAACTGATCTAAAAGACAAAAACAAAACAAAAACACATGCTTAAAATTATCCACACAAAATCTTACTTAACCCTTTCATTCTGTTGACATTGAAAAAAAAAAACATTGTCAAGATCTCATATTTCCTGTATTTCAGGAATCTAAAAAAATTCCTTTAAAAAAATGTGTTACTTATGTTACTAAACAATATTTTTTTTAATTGATTTACAGACCAAACAACTAAAATAATCTATACAGATGAAGTGAGAAAATCAGTAAAATGAATTAACTGGCTTTCATCACTCTTCTTCTTCTTTAGCATTCTGAGTGTAGATATCACCCGCCTCCACTCATCTCTCTGGTTGACCTTCTCTTTTTAGTTGGTAGCACCAAATGTTTGCAGATCTCTCTGGACATATCTCTCCATAAACTTCTTGGTATGCCTCGTGGTCTACGACCATTTATCTACCTTGTGTATACAGTTTTTACCTCTCTTTGACTTTAGCAGATGTTGAAGGGCATAGTATACTTTATTTCCAGATTGATTTCCAGATTGTATTTATTCTCTTAACATGTTGGAGCAGTTGAAGTTTTCACCCAAGAACTTATATGTTTCCGTTCATTTAATTTTCATATTATCGACTTGTGTGTGGACAGAGTTTATATCCTTTCCCTTTCTCTCAATGCTTGTCTTTCAACAACAGCATCTTTCCTCACCTCTTGATTTACTGGAACTTTTTTTCCCTGAAGCTCCATATTAAATTTGTTACGTAATAACAAATAGCAAACGCTAGTTTAGACAATTATTTCTGACCAGATATTCATAGTAGCACAACTCTGAATGCAGTAGAAATACCTGGTAAAGGGTCCTCCGCCAAAAATGCTTGTCCCAGTTGTCCCAACCTGTGTAGCACCATATACTGAAGCTGTGGTTTGGGACATTAAGTCTGTTGGCTTTGAAGAAAATTTCAGATGTATCAATTCAGTTATTGGAGGGGAAAAAAAGTGTGTTAAATAAGTAATCAAAATTAACTATCACATTAATTAGGGTTAGTGCACACACACACAAAAACAGCTGATAAATATGCTATTTATACCAACTTAATGCTATCAATGTCAGACATAGACAGTCCTAGAAAAACATAAATATAAAATTACAACATGTGTGATGTAAATAAGTAAAGTAAAGATCCCTTTTCATGCCTTTAGGTGCATCAGGCATATGGAAAGAGCACCCATATTTTTACAGACCAATCGGCACTAGGTGGGTAATGTGGTCAGCATTATGCCGCTCATCTTTACTTTCCCAGGAGATACATCCTGGTACCCATTTTAGGCTGGGTCGACCTGCGACGCCCCATACTTTGATAAAAATTCATGCAGCCAGCAGTGGGTTTCGATCACGTTACGTTAGAAATACGAGTCGGACTCGCAAGGCCTAAGCCACGCATGAATGTGTGATGAGATGTTTCAAAAAGGCAGCGGGAAAGAGCAGAAGAGATAGTCACCACAGAAGAACTAAGAACTATGTAAGGCACAGTACCAGTAAATGCTTTCATAGAACAAGAAAGAATCAAATGATTGGGTCATCTGGTCAGAATAGAGCATAAAATAAGCCACCAGTTAGAATGCACCTCACAAGAACGACAGTATATAAGGCAAGCAACCAACCAAGAAAGAGATGGGTTGAGGGAGTAAAAGAGACACTACAAAAACGTGATATGATATTAACACAAGCTTCACAATTAGCAAGAGACAGGAAACTATATCTAACTCCTCTCTGTGACACTTCATGGCATAGTTGGATAAAAGAAGAAAAGTTTACCACAAAGATCTTTTTGCTCAATATACCTGAAGGCATTTATGTTCAAAAGCCTCAGTCCTCACTTGATGCCACTTAGTCTATAAAAATACGAGTAGAACATCATATGCCCGACATTCCACTAGCGTAAAAAAAGGTTCTTCACTTTTTTCTTTTTTTTGTGTGTGTGTACATTGTGCCTTGATTGGTACTCAAAGCTGATTTCTATAATAACCACTATAACACACACTTTCTGACTGTAGCTGACAGCTTTTTAATAAAAATCATGTTTTCCATGGTAATTCTTTTTATAATCTGTGCACAATGTCTTCCGTCTGATATTATGACAGTTCATCCAAAATCATAAGTGTCCTTAACAATTTCAAATGATTCACCTGTTTGAGATTGTTTTCATCTTGGCATTGCATTTTGGTTTGTCTGTATTCTGTATTTCTGCTTTCTTATTATAAGCCTCACTGCTTAGTGCATACAATTATTAAACATTTTTATCGTTATTTCAGAAATAACAAAATCTAAAAGATTAAAATAGACTCTTCTCTTCTTCTGAGCATCCACAGCTGCAGACTCTGGTAGAAAGTTCCAGTTGTTTGCCCATTTCTAGACTTTCAGTGTGTTCTGGAATTAGGTTTTGTGAGCAATCCATTTTACAGATCTGGCTTTCTTTTTTACTGCGAAATGTTGACTCCTCATCTCTCAGACAGATACACACTGACTTTAAAGGAAACAACCTTAATCAGTGACCTTTTACTATGTGCTTTAAAGGGGGGCAGTGGATCTATTCTTTTTTCCCCCCAAAATGGGGTCCCAGAACCCATGCGAGAAATTTAAATTGCAACTTACAGTTCCTACTGATCCATCTGCTAAAACATTGGCCTGATTTTTCTTCATCAAGCTGGGATCCACATGAAGCAGGGGCAGAGGTGTAACATCATTTCCAAATTCATCAAGAATCTGTTACATAGACAAAAAAGCCAAAGGTTATATTCACTTTTCTTTTCATAAGCCAACACATTTAGTCTACAGCACAGGCAAGAGACCTTTAAGCTACAGTCTATGTTAAGTTCCCAAATGCAAACAGTGATTCAAATAGTAATTAAAAAATAAAGGACTCCTGTGCATACCCTTGTTATGTTGTGTTATGTTATGACAATAGACCTCTTTGCACACTGGGCATCCCACTGCGTGCTCAGTCCTCTGATGCAGCAGCCCCTCCAATGTACCACTACTAATTGTTCAAATGTGCAAACCCTGTGGTTTACTGACTCTATCATACTAGTCCTGTACATTAGACCAATTAGAACTCAGTGGGTGATGTAATCAGTTTCACACAGGCCATCTTTGCACCCTAGAACATTTTCGAGCAGCCATTTTTAGGCTGGATCAGCCCAGAAACCCAGATCAGTAAATAAAATCCTAACCCTAAAGGGGATTTAATTACAGAACCAGCAGACCAGAGTTGTTATTTCCTTATTTTGCTGCAAATTAACCCTTTTGTTCTGAGAAGCCGCAAAACCAACAATTCCTATTGTGGATGGGTGGATATGTGTGGGTGTGTGTTTTGTTTTTGTTTTGGGGTGTAACCTGTAAAATTGTCATTTTTCTAAGGACCTTTTTCCTGAGAAGTTTTTTTTTTTTTTTTTGGATGAAATTATCAAACTATTGAATGTAAAATTTTTCTAGAAAAATCACAACAGCCAAAAAATGCTGGGGTTGGTTCTGCAACGTCCTGTAAAGATAGTCAACTAACTTTTAAAAAAAAAATGAAATTATGAGAGCTTGGCTTTGTTTTATTCTAGGTCACCAGGGTGAAAGGGTTAAAATCTGACAGGCATTCACTACACTAACTCATTTACTTCAGCAACTGATGCTTTTTGCAGGCAAGAATAATGTTATGCATGTGTATGAGGGTCCTTTACATTTTTTCCTGCCAGGGGACACTGTCCATGCTTTATTTGTTACCACTGTAAAGATTCAGGCTGGATACTTTTTAGATGCCATATACTGCCACCTGCTAGTTAGTTTTTAAATATGTCTAACAATCATGCTTTGTTAGAATTCATGATATTCAATCAATTAGGTGCCATCTGCAAAATAAAGAAATGCAATGAATCTCTCAATAATTTTTGTTTCTTGTCCTGGCTGTACATGCTGAGAGACTAATGTCTGTATTTCCCCTTAATATTGATGTCTACCTCTTGCTCACCTGCCCTCAAAATATCCATCCATCATTGCTTTTATAAGAGTGTCATGCCTTTTAACCCTTCTGCCTCACAAAGCCAAAAATCAAACACTGCCTGTTGAGTCAAAATCCCCATAAATGTTACTTTTCCACCTTGTTTACAGTGACCTGTTTATGAGATGCATAGTTAATGCTTTTAGCTGAGTTCTTGCATACCCACAAGATTAAGTGGTCAGGATATGAAGATGTTACCTAAAAATAACACAGGGGTCCCAGCGAGCCAAATAAATCTTTTTTTAATAGCTATGTTAATGTCATATTTTCCAGTACACCTCAGTGACAGAGGCCATAGGGTCACGGTAAGAGTCACCCTATACATATAGTTTTTTTAGTTCCCGGGTAATGTATCCCATTTAATACTTCACTTTGTTCATGTTTATTGATTACCCCTTTACGAATCTCTTTATATTCAAAAGGGGAGGGTTTTAGAAATACAGATAAATAAATTGTAAACAATTGTTGTTGTTTTTTTTTTTTTTAGATTAAAGAATTTTTTTTCCAACGTGGATATGACTCACTGGTTTTAGTTTTCCTGTGGCGGAAGGATCAATGTGGCTAAAGTGTTTCACTATTCTCTTTTATTTTATTTTCAATCCAGGCTCTTTCAGGCCTAGCATATGATACCACAACATCTAGCATAAGAATAGAGGTGGAGGCGGTCACTGAAGCTTTCCTGTGGCTAGAGAACAAGATGCATTCACATATCGTAGTTGTAACAGGCTCTAAAAGCATGCTGAGAAAGGTGAAGACAGGGATGCTTTGAGGAGAGGGGCAAGCTTCCCTGGGAAAGTCTTGGGTAATGAACATACTTTGGATCTTTTATCCAGGTCATGCTGGCATGGTAGAGAATGAACAGACAGACAAATTGGCTAGATCTGCAAATGTTGCTATTCATATTCTCTTCTTAATTAATTCTTCAACGTTATCTGCTTTTACATGTCCTAATTAGAAAAATACACTGGTTACTCTTGTATATCTTGCTTATTACTGTAATGTTACCGCCTTTCCAATGTATATTATCATTATATATATATTAGGGCTGTACTGAATATTCGCTTCGTATTCGCTTCGGGGCCGAATAGTGGACCCAATAACTATTCGGTATTCGGCCAAATAGTTGCGGTCAGGCCGAATACGAATAGTGGTTACCTCACAACCGTTTCTGGACTGGTGGAAAAAAAACATCAAGACTTCCCACCTTGGTTTATATTGTGAAGCGTTATCTTTGTGCACCACCTACGAGCGTACCAAGTGCCCCTTTATTTCCATCTTGCATGTGTTGCGAGTAGTGTTGTCGGCTTGATTTCTTTGAGTGGAGTGTCCTCTTCGTTGATTCTTTGAAGTAACGGGAGTTCGTCATCATTTATGGGTGTCGTATCTGTTCTTTCGTCGTCTCGTGGAAACGGCAGCGGCTGAATGTCTTGATCGACGTTTGGTTTCTTGATTGTCTTTGTTGTTTGATCTTCTGGCGTTGGCCGCCCGGCGTCTGGTTTCGTGAGCTCGCGGGGGCGGGGCGACTTGTAAGGACGGCATTGTTTTCTTCATCGGCGTTATTTTTGTTTTTGATGTCTCGCCTTGCGGGTTTTCATTTTGACTCTCTGTATTTGTCGTATTTTCCTGTTTAGTACAGCTGGAAATACCTTCAGTGAGACAAAAAGCTGGCCTAATGCTGACAACACGGAACGAAGGTTTTTCATGGAGGTGTGTCAGCACACGAACTAATACGTGCTGCAGGAGATCGCAGATTGTGGCAAGGCATATTCGCCCATGCCAGCCGGCAAAGCACATGATGATGATGATTCAATATTCGTATTCGTATTCGGCCGAATAGTTGGTCCAGCTATTCGTATTCGGCCGATTAGTGAAAATCACTATTCGGTACAGCCCTAATATATATAACTCTTTCAGTGCCACGCAGATGTTATATTAACCCAAACTATTTTAATAATTTATTACAATAATTAATCAATGTGAGAATCTCATGCATGAAAATAATAACACTGTGGGGGAAAAGTGGAATTAAAGTAAGAATTGGAACAGAATGGGTGAGTGTAACAGCTGCACGTGTTACAAGGAGTTCAGAGAAGGTGATCATGTCAGCTGAAATTAGTAAACGCATTGTGTGTTGCTTGGCAGTGAATGACTTAATATCGAATGAACATTTCACTTACTCCATGAGGTCTTGTAACTTGCTGTTAACACAATTTTAATAATTTTATTATATGAGTTACCCCTGATTATATGAAGAAGATATTACAGAAGAAGATGTTACAGAATTACTCTTCGCCGACGACCAGGTACTCATAGCAGAAAATACGGAATGCCTACAGAACCACCTAAATCAAATTAGTAACAAAGGGGAGGAATATAATATGAAAATAAACACTACGAAGACAGAGACAATGATGTTAGGAAGACATAAAGACAATTTAGAAATTAAATTAAAAAACAACACCCTTAGACAAACAGAGGAATTTAAGTATTCAGGAGCATTTTTTACATCTGACAGAAAACTGGACAGATAAATTAGCTCCAGATGTGCCAAAGCTAATCAAGTATTGGGTCAACTATCTCCCCTGTTGACGCACAAGCAGATACCTCAGAGTACTAAAGTAAATCTTATCAAAACTATTTTTTGACCAACACTATGCTATCAATGCCAAACGTGGACACTTACATCCTCCAATGAACGTAAAATTGTGACAACAGAGATGAAATGCCTTAGAAGAGCTGCAGGAGTTTCGAGGAAAGACAGAATACCAAATCATGAAATCAGACAAATGCTAGGAATAAAGCCAGTCTTACAGGTCATCAAAGAACAACAAATGAAGTGGTTTGGACACCTAACAAGAATGCCCTGGTACTATTCACCACAGCGAGCCACACTAAAACGTTACAATGGGTATAGAGCGAGTGGAAGACCTCGGAAAATATGGAGTGATGGCATTAAGAACAGCCTTACAGAAATGAACATCAGTCTTAATAGTGCTCTTTACAGAGCTCATCAACGAACATTACATCCCCCCCCCCCCCCGACACTTCGATGAGGTAAAAGGTGGAAGGGAAGAAGAAGTTATCCCTGTGTGGTTACCATGGTTCTTTTATTTGAGGGTGGGGGAGAGATAGATCCCCCCCCCCCCACACACACACACACACACACAAGCATGTTGTGAAAGTCGACTAATTAGAGGTGTTCCTTCTAAGTCGATGTGCACCTGTCTGAGAGGTGAGGAACTAAGAGTCTACATACAAATAAGATAGGTCTGTAAAACTAATATGCATACAAAACTCAAGTTCTAGAACAAGACTGAAGTCCAAAAGTGTACGAACAACTAGAATTTTCTGTTCGATTTTACAGTAAATGAAAAGTAGAAGAAGAATTAGTACTTATTGATATATGTGATTTAATTCTCTGTTGCTATTTTTTATTAATCATGCCTTTATTGGGTCTAACAATACTGATTGAGTCATATACTTGAAGTCTGTTGGAAACTTGGAAATGCTTAATCCCCACCACCTAGACAAGCAGGGTACAGTTAGGTAGTTTTGTCTAGCTATTACATCTACCCTAAATATAACTTTAAGTGACTGTGCATCTTATCTGCGATGTGTCATGTTAGACTGGGAACAGCCTGGAGGAAAAAGCAGTGGCTCAGTCCCAACATTTGATAAAATTATTTGTTTTCAAAATTTGCTTAAATATGCATTTAGAACATGAAAAATATACAGATTCTTCTTTGAACTATCCTACCTGAACAACTTGTTTCATCATTGATGACCTCTCAGTTCCTCCTGCAGCATGTTTCTTACTAACAGAAGAGATAATATTACTATGTATACTGGCAAATGTTGGATTCCTGCTTCCAATTTTACTTCCTCTCGTGAATGATGCATTTTTGCTACGATTGGCATCGCTTGTCCAGCTGTTTGAAATATACAGACAGGCAGAAACAAATGTATAGCATGGTCAGGATAATTATTCTCTTAAATAGTGACAGTGTGCGATAAAAGGTAAATAGCAGGTGTGCTGACACAAAGAAAACATTGCCATAGGGAAAGGAGGAATGTGTGCAGTTATTATTATGGTACACAATCTATTTTAATAACAATTTAAATTTCTGTTGGTTGTAATAGCTAATCTCCTAAAGTTCTTAACCGATTGCTTTCAAATTTTCACACAAAATTATATGCTTGTTTTTATGTAACAGAGTCACACAAACCATGAACAAAGCTACAGTAATGATCACGTCAGTTTTTGTTTTGTTGCCGGCCTGGAATTGTTTTTAGTTCCGCTGGTGGGCGACCTTTGACTGTTGACCTCAAACCTCTGCACGAAGCTATGTTTAAAGGTCTATGCCGATTACTTTAAACATTTCACAGAACCTTGTATTCGAATATGTGCATGTTTTTATATAAGAATGTTGCACGAGGCATGAACTATAAGGCTCCAGCAACGATCACATAGGCATCTTGGTTTTGTTTTCCAAGGATCTGATTTATTTTTCTTCTTTGCCGCATTCATGATGCAAGTTGTTATTTATACTGATAGTCAACCTTTGACTGTTGACCTCAGAAATCTGCATGAAGCTGGTTGTTATGGTATTTAAGAGTTGTTGACAATAATGTATGCAAATGTTAAGATGTTGGCATTTCTTCTGTGAGGGAGAGAGTAGTCGGTGCATTTGGGAGGAAAAGGAGGGAATGGGGTGATGACAGAAACTGTTAACTGAGACAGCTCGAAGTTCATTTAGTCTGGGTGGACATGGATGCCAAGGTCAATTACAAATTGCCAGGTGATGAATTTTAAATCCTTCGGGGAGGGAGAGAGGAGTAGTCAGTGGTTGGGGGAAAGGGGGGGGGGGGTTTATGACAGTCACTGTTAACTGAGAGAGCTTTAAACATGATTTTAATTGAGTTTAAAACATGATTTTAAAGTTCTCTTTTTTTTTAAATATTATTTATAATTATTTATTTATATTTTAATTGTGATTTCTCTGCTATTCTCATGTTGTTGGTTTTCTTTTTTTTTTTTGCAAGTCTGTCGGTAATTTAGAAAAACAGTAGTAAGCTTTAATTTCAGCTGCTAACTAAAAAAAAAACTTTAGCATGTGTTACACAAAAAACCTATCTTTTTAAGTCCTAATAATACAATTTAAACCACCACTACTATAAAGACACTTATATGCTGCGAGTTCAAAAGTCGGTAGGTAGGTAGGGTAGTTGTACTCCATCAGGACACCACACATATATTTGGCAAGGCCATATTTATGCCCCGGCTATAATCAGGGCCCTCTGCAGAAGCCAGGGTGGGGCTTCAAATAACAAAAAAACTGCATCCACATGTGGATGACTGTATAATTCTAGAGTCCGCAAATCAAACTATCTGTCCCCATGTCGGTTCCAGGGCCTATTATAGGGAAAACAAGAACAGATCCACTGCCTATCCAAAAGCATGTCTTAAGAGTCGACTAATTGGGAGCTTCGTTTGAAGTCAGAGTGCATCTGCCTGTGAGGCAAGAAACCAACAGTCTGCATAAAAATTAGTGAGATCTGTTAAACAGGTAAACACCCAACACTCAGCTTCTGAAACAGGACTGCAGTCCAGAGGTGGACAAAAAACTACAAGTTTCCGCCGGAGTTTGTAGCCAGTGAATGTGAAGAAGAAGAAGACTGTCTGTATATCTGCTCATACAATGATTGTGATATTAACCATATTCGACACACGTGCATTCAACTTTTTTTTTCTTTTCCAGTTTGCCAGTCTGAGCCACAGAAAAGCGCTGCAGGTGCTGCTAGTGGCAAACAAAAATATACTATACTTGAAATAATATTAAATGTATTTTTTAAAAAATATTTAGAGCGGATTTGAATAAATGGTTAAAGAGGGCTCTTACTTCCCTTACAAAATTACTGGCTTCACACCCCCCCCCCTCCCTCCCCCTCCCCCTTTTCCATACAAAAATGGGGTACAATAATTGTATGTGATCAGAAACAAAGGAAACCACCCAGAATCCCCAGTCCATTCCACTGCTCCGTGGGTGTTTTGACATGACTTTATTCTGCATTCCCACAATCTGTGCAAAAGTTTGTGTGTGTGCACCAGTGGAAAACTGCAAAAACTGATGTGCATGCGAATTTTTTTTCATGCACAACTGTTTTTGTGCCAGCTGTCTTTGTGTGGGCTGCAACATTCGGTGTGCTTGTGCTGACAGTAACCCACCACATAACACCCCCTAGATTAGTGGAGTGCACTAGGATTTTTTATTTTTAAAGGGGGCAATAAATTTATTGTACCAAAAATGGAGGAGGGCAGGGAATACCTATGTTAGACAGTAGTTTAAATGGAAATATAACAGATGAAGTCAGGTTTATCACCACATCCACCCACACTGTTATTACAGGTTACTTCAAAACCGTTTTGTGTTGCCTCAATATACTGTGCTATACGGTTGAATAGGGTTTCATGGTTTTTTACCTGTTTGATTCTCATCTTTGAGATGTTAATTCTATAGACTGCAATCCTGAGAAAGAGAGAGAGACACACATTGAAAGAAATACAGAGAGATGTGGGAATCTAAGAGTGTGGACAACTTGGACAACCATAGAGAGATACAAAATACTTAAAATCCATTGCAGAACTTTTACAGTGGAGAGGCAACTGACAGATACTAAGGTTACGCTTACAGGTGTAGGAGATTCGCTGCTGCCAAATGCATTGTGAATATGGCACCTGATTGATTTCTCATGCATTTGCCCTGTTGCATTGCCTGCGGCTTATTCGCTAAGCCAATCTTTGATATTTTGTATTATCTATCCATCGTATGGTCAAATTTAAACTATAATGACAATTCCAATAAATTGCTAAAATAATTGCTAAAGTATGCCAACACTCAATTTTGAATTACTTAAATTGTGCGTAAGTGTTAGAAAGACCAGATTCAATATTATGTATCATCTTGAAGATGTGAACGTGATTTTGAAACGGGTCAGCCGTTTTTAAAGTTTCCAGTTTCTTACCTAGGTGCTGTAAGTTTCTTGCTAGGTTTAGAGGTAGACATTTCAGTGATCTTTGGCTTTAACTGTGATTATGTTATGGAATATGGTCAGTAATCTTCATAGTATGGACACTTGTTGTATTTTCTTTCATCAAAGTTGCCGCTTGCTTTAGTCACCGGCGTATTGCTAATTTTGGCGTCTCTGTTGTCATTAGAGACACCTCAATAGCAAAGGTAGTTTTGATTGGTTGATTACTTTTTGTGCGCTAGTACCGAAGATAAAAATAATTTTCAATTAGAAACTTTTGAGTTAGTTAATTATAAATTATGTTTACTTTAATAATAATGAATAACTATGTAGTTGTTATATTTTAAAATGTTATGCTTGTAAAATATTACTGAGGCGTTGCAAGTAATTTCCACCAATGACAGTTCGTGTAACTTTCACAGAAATCAATCAATCAAGTGCCATGCTGACTGGTGTGGCCGATATGGCTCTCGACAATCTGCGATCCTCAACATAGTGCATTAATCAGTTTGTGTATTGGTATCCCTCCATGTCATGTCAAAAGGCTGTCAAGAATCTTCTAGCGCTGCCTTCCACTGTCTCTCTTTCCACGAATCTTTTAAGTGGTAACAACATGTTCCACTTTCCCTCTTCTCATAACATGCCCAAAAACTGATGTCTGCTTCTGATGTTTGTGATGAGTTGTCTTAAAGTACTGGCATCTTTCAAAACATCTACTTTGCTGCTCTTAGCTGTCCAAGGACTTCTAAGTATTATTATGTGAAACGACGTTTTCGAGACCTCAAGATATTGTTGGGCTTTTTAATTAATTGTCGAGGATTTTCAGCCGTACGTCAAAACTGTTGCTGTATAAGCAGTAAATATGAGCTTAAGCCCATTGAACTACTACACCCGCTCAACATGTCTGGCGGCACAGCTCGCACCCCTCCTCCACCCAACCCCTTCAAGTGTTGGGTTCTAACCAGCCTTCCAACAGAGGTGTATTGTCGGTTGTTGTTTTTCTTTTGGAAGGTATTTTTTTTTTATACATATATTTTTTCAAATATATGATTATAGTGCAGACCTGATAATGAGAACTTACTGGGAGCTCAAGAAATGGTTCTTCTTATCAGAAATTGCTGTAATCTAGATACAAGTTTAAACAAGAACAATTGTCAGGGATAAATAAATTGTTCTTTACGAATGAAAATTTACCATAATCCGAGATGGCTTCTTAAGCTTGTGCACTGCATGTTTGTTTGCCATTTATAAACGATGAGCTGGGCAATCTTCACAACACTCCGGCACGTCCATTAGTGCCCAGACTCCTCTCTCAACATATTTATCAGCGCCTAGCGGTTAATAGTGTGTCTTATGCTGGTTGACATGACCTCTCGTTTGTCCGGTGTGCCTCTTATGTCTGGCTGACGATCTTTACTCACAATTCTCTCATTCTCAGCAGCGATGTAGGTGCGCTGCGCCCCAAATTAGCAGATGGTCCCATCTCTCTAAGGCCATCAACAGTGTCGCTCTGTCATTGATGAACTGGAGGTTTGCAGTG